GGATACGATACGTAGAATAGAATGTACATACGATCCATTGCCATTCACTTTAAGTGATTGGTAGCTTATAGTCACTCTTCGGTGAGAAACCCCCCTTCAACATTGATTATCACTCGCCCATTCACTTTTAGTGTAATTATCCGTACCGGGAGTCATCTAGATCGGATTTTGTGACACGTACCATTCATTTTTTTTTTTTTTTGTAGACAAAAACGTACAACAGTATCATTTCCTAGATACATACCTACTGCGATATCATGATATGATCGTTTGCAGTTCCGCTTGGGATATCACAAAGATTCCGAAGTGATGTCGATGCGATTGTGTTAAAATAGATTTCTAAGCAAGGAGATGAAACATTTTTGCGCAATAAACGCACATTTTCTGTCGGTCATCGAAACGGGCCACCCTCCCCCACTAGTATCGATACGGTGGTACCAAACCAGGTCGAATGAACATCAATTACCGGGCCGCGTCGTACAGGAAAAACATTCAGCACGTTGCACATAAACGGCAGAGAGCGAGGGAGAGATAGAGCAAGGCACGGCCTTCTCCACTGGGCAATGACATAGATTTCCTGTTTCGAAAAATCGGGACGTAAAAAAATATAAATCCATTTTTTACCCGATGAGATTCGATCGGCGATGATAATTGGAGTCTCAAGTGCATACTTTGTAACCTATGGTCTCAGGCCGTTTTCTACTAATTGAGCTGACGTACTACAAAGTCGTTTTTTAGCTGGAGACACTTGTTTGCAAGGACAAAACCGAATGGGTAAGTTGTTTCTGTGGTTTTGGATCGGTTCAATTAAAGTACATCCAGGGTATATTCAAGAAGTTGATTCTGCGGATTTATAATACAAGATCTAGTGACGAAGGAATTGTAAACTTGCCTACCTCTTAATCGCAGTCTCAACTAGCAACCGCTCGTGTTTATGAAGTTTTAAAGCCGCCGGTTTCATTCCACGATACTAGCACTACTCGCTACTTTGTCGGCGTTCAGACGAAACTCTGAGTCTGTGTACCGGAACCTTTTACGCATCTATCTTGGCAAGCATGTTTTCAGCGTTAACCTCTAAGAATCGTGTACGAGTAAGAGCTCACGACTTACATAATGCAAAACTGGTTTTAGCGTCTTTATGACCTGGTACTAATCAGCCCCATAATTGGTGACCCTCTAGCCTTCCTTATATGTATCAACTTAGATATCCGTACCAGTCTTCAAGGCTGTGACAATAGGTAATAAAATGCGATATAGAGGCAGTCATCATAGCGTATCACTCGATTTCCATAGAAACAAACACGTCACCCCACTACGCTAGCAATTGAGGCATTTGGTCATGTAGAACTTGTTGTTTCGTCTGTATGTGGGAGTAAAATTGAATATATCGTAGATGTGGTTTACTGGTATCGTGAATTTATCACCGGGGCTGACATTGTTGTTTTTGATGATGTGAGTCCAAACCGCACGCAGTCTTTGACTACATTATCGCCGATATTGTGACCTGAAACGTCTCACGGTGTATAATTAGCATTTAAACGTTTCTAACAATACCTTTACCGGTATCTATACTTTGAAAATGTTCATAAAGTTGCTGATCGACATATATTTACTTATGGGCCAATCAGCGAATAGGAGGAGTTTACTTCTGTCGGCTCCAGCCAGAAAAGTAGAGATTGGATTATGCTATAAAAGTAAAAGGTTTCAGTCTAGGCGGTAGTAAGCTTTGGCCCGAAAACATGTCCCTAGCCTTCTTGGTGGATTTTGCTGCGTCATTAGTATATATTGTTGAGATCTATATATTAATTATGCTTGAGGATAAGAGTTTTGGTTATGCATGCTGCGAATATAGTTCTAAGGTATTATGAAAGATATCTTGGACTAATTTACCTATTAATATTAACCTATATATCCTTTCACGATCTTTTGGTGCCGCGCTTGAATACGTGCCCGAAATAACAGTGGTAGAAGGAAACAGAGAAGATATACCTTTCCTCCCGCTAGCCACTGTACAGGGGAAAATATCCAGGCGTCTCTTGCAATAGTAACATCTCAATAACTCAGTATAATACTCTGATTGCTCAAGCCGTTGGAGGAAATGTACCATTGCCTAGTTGAATTTCGACCTATCATTGCATGCAACGGTAGGATATTCAACTCTAATTGCTCAGCCTGCGTTTGGTAGGGAGATCCTTTTTTGACAATAAAAATATTCGAGATCGTTGGAGCGGTATTGAGTCTAGAGTCTGGACGCCCTTTAGCCGAAACTAGATTCGATTAGATAGTATGTGTGGTGTATATTCATAGAATATCACTCGGTTTGACATGCGTTACGTAAGTGTTGATTGATTGATTGATTTATTCCTGGTTCACATTAAGGGCCCGATTGAGGGATTTGATTGAATAATCCAGCTCACTGAGCGGAATAGTTTGCCTGGTATATTGATATGTTCATAGGAACTCAAATAAAAACCTATTAAATTCCAAAGCGCATAACGCATTTTTGCGGCCATGTTGTGGCGTCTGATATCATGGTCTATTAGAAATTAAAGTCAAGTCTAACAGGCCGTGATCGTAGAGTTTGATGATACTACTTACCAGATCACACTACTGTGGTCTTTTGGCCTTGGGTGGGAGCTTTGAGTCGATTATGCGTTTATTTAAAAAAAAAAAAAATGCGAATACTTTTCCTCTTGCCTCTAACTAGAAAAAATAGAGGAATTGGAGTAGATTCAGTAGGCTTGAGTGATAATTTGTCTGAGTATATATGCGGGTTGACAACCTATGTCATTCTGCTGATGTAGTGATACGGAAAAAGGGATACCCAACGGTCAATGATGTCGAGATTCTTCTGGCGAGGGATTCTCATATAGGAACTATGGTAAAGCTCTGTCTAGGAGGTTGTTATCCGCGTTATCCTGGTGGGGATCGCTTTGGCATTGAGATCGGTTATGGCGAGTGGTGGAAGTCGATTTGACCGAAGCTTTGGACCTAGTTTTCCGATGAAAGTGCAGCGCTATCAAGGTCCGACCTGGATAAGCAAAGCATCTGTAGAAATAAGCATCGTGTTTTATCAACAGTCTATTATAGAAATCATAATATAAGGTGGGTGAGATGTACATGTTGAGAGATGGTAGAGCTCGAGAGAGAGAGTACGCGGAGTGGGAGGGCGATGAGTATACATGAACTCAACCGTTTCACGTATACTCTGGGCAGGTGCGAACCTGAAAATGACTTCTGATGCTAAAGACTATGTAGCTTGCAGTAAGCACTTATTGCCCGCCCCGAGTACCTCAGTAAAGTTTAAAAGTCAGGGTGAGTACACGGAGCCTGCATGTACGTATACGTATACTTGATATACTTAGTACGCATGTGCACGTGTATATAAAGTTATGTATAGCTATGTACTTACATATGGCACCATACATGGTCCTGTATACAGCATCTCATCACCTATATGTACTAATCCTCCACATATCTGTCTACGCTACCCGGCAACTTATACAGGCGCCCGGGCCCACGTCACAGTTTACGAAATATACAATACCAAAAAATGGTATGGATTCGCTACGTTATTCCCGTTAATGCGCTAGTAGTGTGGTCCATGAGCCGGCTCGAGTCGAGTCGAAATATAAGCTCGAGCTGGCCCGGCTCCTGGGAGACAGAGGCGCGCAAGGCTCGAGCTTTGGTGACAGGCTCGTAGACTGGCTCGAGCCGGTAGTCAATGATATAAAAAACAGGTTATCCTTGCACCAAGTGTAGCAAAATGGCAGTTATATGTCTCGTTTCATGGATTAATACTGTGAGAAGGAATTAATTGGTTAACTGAGCATTGGAGTGAGTAGAAATCTCCTTTTTGCTTCTTTCATAACTTCTGGAGCAGTCCAAAGCAAATAAATTGAGCTCGAGCCTAAGCTCGAGCCTTAGAGAAAACGGCTCAAGCCGGCTCAGGCTTTCTGGAGGGTAAGGCTCACTGGGCTCAAGCCGAAAGCTCGAGCCTAAAGCTCGAGCTGGCTCGGCTCATGGACCACACTATGCGCTAGTAATGCAGCAATACGGCATTACCGTATTATTCACTAAATCCCGTAGCCATACAGTACTGATTTCACCTCGTTTTTTTGCACTTTAGCTCGTGATTTTAGAGCTTTAATCCTAGGATGCACACACACCATTAATAATATTACTTAAATCCTTAAATCCTTAAATCGTACGTAACTTAGCCCATGTTGAATGAGATTTTTTAATTACTTCATACATGTATTTATGCTTACTTGATATATAGCGCCAGTACTGTACTTAAGGTGGTGTACGTATGGTGAGGACGTAAGATGACTTGAAGAGGGGAGCCTAGAAGATTGTCATGTCATCGACGTCGTCATTGACACCACCCTAAGGACCCTCTCGCCAAGGCGAGCTGTCAACGCCAGTTTGAAACCGTGTAGTACCTGGATTGGCTTGGCGCGCCGTCTATCTACGGTTTCAAAGAGAAAGTGTAAAATATATATGAATCAATTCATTGTTAATTCGAGCGGCCACCACTAGCTACAGCGATAGACCTATACATGTACATTCTGGTTTACAACCTCGATGGATAGCTCCGCAAAGCATGAGAGCTCTAGATACACCTCTCAAAGCGCGCTCTTTTCAGTACTTCGAAGTTGAATGCTGGTTTTATGTCCTATCTTACGCGTTGAGGCTGTGCATATGTCTTGGCAATGGCTGAGTCATGGAAGCTCAGAAGTGGCTCCAGTACCTAACCTTATCCGGTCTCCCCATTCGGCCATCTATCCCCGGAATCACCGCCCATCACAGATCACAAATCACTCCTCTGTCTTAACCAGCTCCAGTCCTCATCTCCAAGTACCCTTTCTTGGTCCTTTCACTTTCAACGTCTACTGTCTGCATTCCGCGCATTCTATCATCACCCTCCATCAGGCTTAAAGTCCGCGAATTCAACCCCTCATCCCTCCCCCGCGCTTGCTCCCCCCGCCCCCTGATTGATGGTATGCATTCCCAACTTCTTCCATGGACGAGATAGAGCTCACGAATATACTGACAAATATTCTCTTGTTTAGGCCGTAACTAAACGCGCAGGCCGTAAGGCTAAGAATAAGGACGATGCCCCTTCCGGCTCCTCCGGTGGGAAACAGAAGGTTAAGAAGGCGGTCTTCGAAACTCAAAAGAAGAAGGAAGTAGGGGTTACAGATCTTACACTCATATCAAAGATATCGAACGAAGCCATAAATGAGAATTTGAAGAAGAGATTCGATAATCGTGAGATCTATGTAAGTTAGCTCTTCAGGGTAGGTCTACCGGAGCTTTGCTAATAATGCAATCAGACATATATCGGTCATGTGCTCATCTCTGTCAATCCTTTCAGAGACCTCGGAATCTATACCGATGAGGTACTTTCAAGCTATCGGGGGAAGAATCGGCTCGAGGTGCCGCCGCATGTGTTTGCTGTTGCGGAGAGTGCGTATTACAACATGAATGGATACAAGGAGAGTCAGTGTATTATTATTTCTGGCGAATCGGGTGCTGGTAAGACGGAAGCGGCAAAGCGGATTATGCAGTATATCGCTGCAGCGTCTTCGACATCATCGACCACTATTCAGGAGATCAAAGATATGGTCTTAGCTACCAACCCGCTTTTGGAATCATTCGGGTGCGCCAAGACTCTACGGAACAATAATTCTAGTAGACATGGGAAATATTTGGAGATTCAATTCAATGACCAAGGAGAGCCGGTAGGAGCGAACATTACGAATTATTTATTAGAAAAGAATCGAGTTGTTGGACAGATCAAAGATGAAAGAAATTTTCATATTTTTTACCAATACACAAAGGCGGCCCCTCAGACATACAGAGGTGAGTTCAATCTGGTATCTAGGGGGCAAAATGAGAGAGTAATGCCGGGCTGATTTTATCTCGCCGAGAATAGAAACCTTTGGGATTCAGACCCCTGATACCTACTTATACACCTCTAAATCAAAGTGCCTCGATGTACCCGGGATTGACGATATTGCGGAATTTGCGGATACCATGAACGCTATGCGAGTAATTGGTCTTTCACAGGAAGAACAAGACAATATTTTCCGTATGCTCTCAGTTATTTTATGGTTGGGCAACATCCAGTTTGTTGAGGACGAGCAAGGCAATGGAGCAATTTCGGACTCCAGCGTTACGGATTTTGTCGCCTATCTATTGGAGGCAGATGGACCGGCCGTACATAAAGCCCTGACTATTAGAATGATGGAAACTGGGGGAAGGGGCGGAAGAAGAGGATCGGTTTACGAGGTGCCTCTCAATGTGACTCAAGCGACAGCTGTGCGAGATGCCCTCGGAAAGGCTATCTACAATAACTTATTTGAATGGATTGTAGACCGTGTCAATCTCTCGATGAGGACCCGCGGGCCTGTCGCTCATACGATAGGAATTCTTGATATCTACGGATTCGAAATTTTTGAGAATAATTCGTTCGAGCAGATTTGCATCAACTACGTCAATGAGAAATTGCAACAAATTTTTATCCAACTCACCCTACGGACAGAGCAAGAGGAATATGCAAGGGAGCAAATTACCTGGACCCCCATCAAGTATTTTGACAACAAGATTGTTTGTGATTTGATTGAGGAGAAACGACCACCCGGAGTATTTGCTGCATTAAATGACGCCTGTGCAACGGCACATGCCGATCCTACGGCTGCAGATGGAACCTTTGTCCAGAGGCTCAACGCGTTGTCTTCCAACGCACACTTTGAAAACCGCCAAGGACAATTCCTCATCAAGCACTATGCTGGAGATGTCATGTACACTGTTGCCGGGATGACCGAGAAGAACAAAGACCAATTGTTGAAAGATCTTTTGGATCTAGTAGGAGGAAGTAGCAATGGCTTCCTAAAAACAATTTTCCCTGATCAGATCGACCGAGACTCAAAGAGAAGGCCTCCGACAGCAAGCGACAAGATTAAATTATCCGCAAATGACCTTGTGACCACGTTGATGAAAGCTCAACCTAGTTATATCCGAACTATCAAACCCAACCAAAACAAGAGTCCCACGGAATATGATACCCCAGCTGTTTTGCATCAAGTCAAGTATCTAGGTCTACAGGAGAACGTCCGTATTCGACGAGCAGGTTTTGCTTACAGGCAGACATTCGAGAAATTCGTTGAACGGTTCTATCTATTGTCTCCCAAGACCTCATATGCTGGTGACTACACATGGACAGGCGACGCCAAGTCCGGTACGATGCAGATTCTCAAGGATACCTCCATTCCAAAAGAGGAGTATCAAATGGGAGTGACGAAGGCATTTATCAAGACCCCCGAAACGTTGTTTGCTCTTGAAACCATGAGGGACCGGTACTGGCATAATATGGCCATCAGGATTCAACGAGCATGGAGGAACTATCTCCGGTACAGAGCCGAGTGCGCAACGAGAATCCAAAGGGCTTGGAGGAAGAAGAGGGGCGGGGAGGCTTTTTTGAAAGTCAGAGACGAAGGCCATAGGATTCTTGCAGGAAGGAAAGAGAGGAGGAGGATGAGTCTGCTGGGAAGCAGAAGGTTTATGGGCGATTACCTAGGTATTGGAAACAAAGGAGGGCCAGGTGAGATGATCAGAAATTCTGTTGGCATCAGTGCAAATGAGCTCGTCTTGTTCAGCTGCAGAGGCGAGCTTCTGGTTTCGAAACTAGGAAGGAGTAGTAAACCAAGCCCGAGGATGATTGTTATGGTAAGCCTACTATGAATAATGCATAGAATCATTCCCGCTGACCTTTCATGAAAAAGACGAATAGAGCCATTTACATTATCCTCCAGGCAATGGTAAATGGTCAACTGTCTATTACCGCAGAAAGGACCGTTGTCTTGAGCTCCATCAAATTCGTTGGCATGTCAAACCTATGTGATGACTGGTTCTCACTTGGAGTCGGCTCGCCCCAAGAAGCGGATCCACTCCTATCTTGCATCTTCAAGACGGAGTTCGTAACGCACTTACGAACCGCTATGCCCGGTGGTGTCGATGTACGGGTTGGGCCTACGATAGAGTATTCGAAAAAGCCGGGCAAATTAGCAGTCGTCAAGACTGTCAAGGATCCTAGCGTGCAACGAGGGGATCTGTACAAGAGTAGTACCATTCACGTAGGGCCTGGGGAACCGCCAAGTAGCATCTCAAAAGCTACACCAAAGGGTCGACCTGTTGCTGCTAAACCGATTACAAAGGGTGGGCTACTGAAGCCTGGCGGGCCAAAGACAGGTGCCCACGCAGGCAGATCTGTCCCACGAGCCCAAAAGCCTGTCGAACCACAGCCCAGTGCTAGTTCGCAACCGGCAGCTCATCCAGTACCTCACCCAGTTGCAGCGATCATCAGTAACAGCAACAAAGAAAGCCATACTCGACAGCGGTCTACCCACTCTATCCGCGCACCGCCGCCGCCGCCGCCGCCTCCGGTTTCAGAAGAACCGACATGCAAGGCAATGTATGACTTTCAAGGGCAGTCCGCTCGGGAGCTGTCCCTTGCTAAAAATGATGTCGTTATTATCATTTCGAAGGGAGAGGAAGGATGGTGGCTTGTTAAGAGAATGACTGGTGCAGAGCAAGGTTGGGCACCAGCTGCATACCTTGAAGAGTTACCAAGAGCTCCCCCACCAGCTGTCAGTAGAGCAGTTCCACCACCGCCACCAATAAATGGAAGAAATAGCCCTGTCCCACCCAGCAAAGCTAAAAAGCCGGCGCCTCCCGCACCGCCGGCAAAGCGACCAAACGTTTCCAGGAAGCCACCTGTAACAGAAGGAGCGGATAGATCGAGTTTGACAGGTAGTACGGCTAGTGGGAGCAGTGGGGCTGGGAGCTCTACCACAAGTTTCGCGGGAGGATTAGCCCAAGCTGTAAGTTCTTTTGCTCTTTTCACCATGGGATTTCTGCTAATATTAGTGTTTATTCTAGTTGATGGATAGACAGCAAGCAATGCGAGGGAAGAAGGACGACGATGATGATTGGTAGACGATAAACGATAGACTGGAGAAGGGTTAGTTTCTTTGGTTTTGTTGGATGGGTGCGAAGCATGCAGAGTGGTAATCGTAAACTTTGATTTTCTACGCATTGTTTTATTCTTTTATTTCTACTAGTACTTTGCCTTGTCCTTTAGATAAAAGTGATGACGCTCGATGTTTATTTTTCATTTTATTTTATCCAGCTGCGTGTTTCTTTTCATGTGTTGATATAGAATTGCGGGAATGACTGATTTAGAGCGTGCCGTGGGGGGTGAGCACCTGCACGAATATGTGCGGGTAGGACAGAAAGAGATGGTGTAAATGCGCAGATAAGAATGGATGTTTTTAACACACGAGTGCTCTTTCCATGGTTTCGCTTCCAGCTTTCTGCCGCACACAAAGCCAATACCCTACCTCATACGCCCCATAAGAAGGAGCATTACCAACCAGCACACTACAAAAAAGTACATCCATCCCGACGGCCATCACCAAACCACAACCGCCACCCGAGTGACCACCCATGACCCTCCACTAAAACTATGTTCTCATCAAGTCTCCGCACCCGCGCCCCCTGGACCCTCATCACCCCATCGCTGCTCCAAAGCAACATAGTCGAATCCCCCACCCTCGCGCACACCACCACCACCGACATCGCATTCCCCAGCGGGCTCTCAGTGCTCCTCACAACCGACGACGACAACCCCACAGCCACAGCCACGAGGGTCGAAAGGGCGCTGCAAACGGCAACCACGGTGGTGGTGGTGTTCCTGGGGAGTGGCGTGTGGGGGTTTCAGCTACTGTGGGTCGTCCGCAGAGTGGATGCCTTGAGAGTGGCTGCTGATGTGGTGGGGTGTTATGCGGCGTAGGCTTGATCAGACTTTTAGAGAGGCGGTGTATGTGGTGCCGCTGTTTGCGGTGCTGGAGCTTCCTGGCGTGCTGGTCAGGCTGGTCGAGGATTATTCTGCGCCGTCGCCAGCTGGGCAGCCGGTAGTATTGCCCCGAACCTTTTATGGGGGGTGTGAGCAGTGGGATGTGGAGTAACGTAATGGCGGAGTAGGATGGGTGGACGCCTGCAAGGATGCTGTCGCTGATGGCGGTGGATGGGGGGTTGTTGTCGGTGCATTGTATGTGCATTCCCCGCTGTGACCTCCGCGGTTTTTATTTTTTTTATTTTATTTTTTTTTTCTTTTTTTTTTTTTTCCTGTGACCGGCTGATGAGGGAGAGGGATAGCGACGCTGGTGCTGCATTCGATGTTTTCGTCGCTGAGGGAGCTGGCGATGGGGGCGGATGTGGAGGCGCTGGAGGTGCTGGAGGGCGGGGAGGGGAGGGGGGTGGTGGAGTTCTTGGAGGTGGAGTTTGTGGTTGGTGGGTAGTGTGGCCATATATGGGGGGGAGCAAGGAGAACGGGGGGGGGTTTTCGATATGTAGCTACTACTGGGGGTGGGTAGGTATTCTAGATAGCTACAGAGAGCTACAGAGAGCTACATGTAGCTATTGCGTTTGATGGCGGGTAGCTTGGTTTACATACATGAGCTAGCACATGTATCTTTTCATATACGCAGCGCAAAATCACCGCATTGATTGGCAGCTCTATAATAATCATAACCCCCCCCGCCTCTGCGCCGATCAATAGCATCAGAAACCCCCCAGCCCAGCTATGAGCGTTCATTAGTCTAAAGCTACTAATACAGCAAGATGTATAAGCACATATAAAGTACATTTTTACATCACAGCCAACCAAGTAACGAAGTCCCCTCCCCGTAGCTACCCACCCAGGCCCGGCGGACACCAGTCGGGCCTACAAAAGCGACCGAGTGATACTCCATGATCCACCCTTACTAATCCCTTCCGTCTCCAAACTCCACGGCGCCGCATCTTACACCGCGCCCTACGCCTTGGTGACTTTACTTGTACATACACCGACCGCACCTTACACCATACACCGCACCCGCAACTCTACCGCGCACTGCACATCAACATCAACATTCAAACCGTAGCAGCACCGAGCTCAGCTTAACTACAATTCAACCCCCACAAACATCCATCCGTCATACCACTATATGCGTCCGTCCCGCCGCATCACACATTGCATCGCATTGCTGGTCCTACGTGTAGTTACCTAGCCTACTATTTGTACTAACATGACGTATGTAGCTACATGTACTTGCACTACTCCCCCCTCCCCCTCTCTTCCCACCACTAACTAACCATCCAGGTATAATATATAACCATACAAAAAAAGCCAAAAGAAGAAGTAAAGGACCAAAGAAGTAGTAAAAAAGAAAGAGAACTAAAGGGAGGATATCACGAAGGCCTACATCTCACATCACCACACTACATCACGACATAAAAACCCACACACAAAGATCAAAGATCAAAGAAACGAAGATCGAAGAAAAGAAGAAAGAAGTAAAAAAAACCAATCAACACGTTTCTAAGCAAACACTACCCAGCACCAACCAACCCATTAACCCCCCCCCCCCCCCCCCCCTCCCTCATTCCCTCCCCCTCACCCCTCCCCAAACTACATCTCCTCCTCCCACCCCCCCTGCGGCTGCGGCGCCCACCCACTCACCGGCAACCGCATCCTCCGCTCGCGCTCAAAGTCCGCCCACCTCTTCATGACAATCTTGCTGCTGTCGAACTCGCCCTCATACTCGTACCCGGCCTTCTTGACCGCCTCGCCGCTGACCTTGCGCGTGTCGCCCCACGAGAAGTCGTCGAACTTCCAGAACGCGTATGTCGGCAGGACGAGGTTCCACACGGGCAGCGAGAGGAGGTAGATCAGCATCCAGAGCACGTAGGACCAGCGGTGTGCGGTGAGGACGATCAGCACGGCGGGGAGACCGAGGATGAGTGCGAGCAGGATGAGAGGGATCACGGGGACGGGCTTCTTGACGAAGGAGATTACGACTGTAGGGTGTTAGCTTTCTGGTTTCTAGGGGGAGAGTTGGGGGAGGAAAAGAGGGGGGGGGGGGGGGGGGTCTCACTAAGGTAGAACGTAAACGCAATCGCAGCCGGCAGCACCACCGTGCCAATCAGCTCAATAAACACCACAAACTGCATACTGAAGCAGAAGGTGCCACACAGATCGCGCACCAGCACCAGCTCCATCAGGTTATGCACCGTACTATTGATCCATCGTCTGCGCTGCGACAGCAGCACCTTAAACTCGTCGGGCACCACCGTCTTGCACACCGCCTGCGGCACAAAGATCTGCTTGCGCTTCGGGAACGTCTTGAGCATGAGCGTGGACAGATAGCGGTCCTCGCCGAGCAGCAGCAAGTTCTTCGTGTGCAGCGTGTCGACCACGTTCTCCGAGTAGTGCTCGACAACGTCGGGGTTGGCCAGGATCGGCACCCAGTAGTTCTGCCCGCCCTTCGGCGTCTTGATGCGGTACATGCAGAAGCAGCCGGGGAGGCAGGTGACGCCGCCAAAGACGGACTCGAAGGCCTTTGTGAGGTGGTGCGAGATGAAGTACTCAAACACCTGGATCATGGACACCCACGAGGCCGTCTTGTTCGCGATCTTGGTCTCGCCGCACAGCCCCATGATGTCCGGGTCGTGCACCATGGCCGCAATCATGTGCGTGAGCGAGTCGGGAAAGACCTTGGTGTCGGCGTCGACCATGAGCACGATCTCGTAGTAGTCTGGCGAGATGCCCGTGATCTTCCAGATGCCGTTGAACATCTCGAACTCGAGCTCCGTCATGCGCTCGTCGAACATGACCTTCTGCAGGAAGCTCATGAGGATGATCTGGGAGTCGCGCTTGCCGCGGTTGCCGGCCTTGCCGCCAGAGTGCTCGTCGGGCGTGCCGCACTTGACCACCACGAGCATGGGCACGCGCTGCTGCTTCTCGGGCGGGATCTGCGAGTTGGCGCCGTAGTCGTAGAAGCCCGCGTAGACCTTGGCCATGTTGTGGCGCTTGGAGCCCGAGGCCACGGCGACGTAGGAGAAGGCCTCGACGGCGGAGGGGTGCAGCGCGTGGTCCTTCATCATGGAGAGGATGATCTCGGGCGTGGTCTTGGTCTCGCCGTGGCCCTTGATCATGCCGTCGCAGATGATCAGCATGAGCTTGTGGGAGTTGGGGTAGTCGGTGGTCGCGATTGAGTCCAGTGTCGTGCGGATGCCCTGCTCGCCCTCGGAGTAGCAAGTGATAAGACAGAGCGCATGGGCGAGCGGGAATCCAGACGGCTGGTACTCCGGCGGCGGCTGCGGCACAACGGCCTCGTGGATGAATCCGGCCGGGCCGGGACCGTCCTCGGAATACATGCTGTACCTCTCCTGCTGCCCGGGCGGGCCATGCGGGTTCAGCAGGTTCGGGTTCGACGTCGCCTCGGACATCATGCCGCTCAAGCTCCCCTTCGACCCGCTGTTGGCGCCCTGCTGATACATCTGTCCCGGCGCCAGCAACCTCGCGGTGGAGCTCTGCGACCCCATGGTCGTCGGCACGGGCTTATGCTTGCTCGTGGGCCTCTCCTGCGCATACGGGCTCGTGAACCTACTCGTGGTCGGGAGGAAGCTGCCCCTCTTCGACGGGCTGCCGCTGCCGCTGCCGCTGGCGTCCTTCAATTTTGGTGGCGGGCGGTAGATGTCGTCCGACCAGTCCTCGATCTCGTTCCTGCGGCGCTTCGCATCGTCCTTGAGGTCGCTGGTGCGCGCGGCGCCGAGGCGCCAGCTGAGGAACCAGCCGAAGAAGAGGGCGAGGAAGAACTTGATGAGCACGATGCTGACGATGAAGACGAGCGAGACGTAGAGGACGACCTTTGAGGCGATGCAGCCGACGGTCTCGGTGTCGATGCTGCCGACGCGGATGATCTCCGAGAGGCAGCGGGCGAGCTTCTTCTCTGCGGAGGCCTGGAAGAGGTGCGTGACGTCCTTGCCGCGCAGCTGGCTGTCGAGGCGGAAGTCGTCGAACTGCGCGGGGTACTTGACCTGGCTGGGGTCGAGCCACTTGAGCAGGTCGAGGTCGAGCACGCTGTTGGAGTAGACGAGCAGGTTGCGCGACGAGTTCTTGACGTCGTCCCAGCTGAAGTAGACCTCGCCCTCGACGTGCAGGTTGTAGTAGGCCTCTCTGGCCGTGCCGGACGTGTGGCAGGCATACCCGGCGTAGTACTGCTCCGTGAAGTCGGGCTTTGTGGACCCGTCCTGCCTGAAGGCCTTGCACGGGAAGTAGTAGGCCATGCCGCCGCTGGAGTCCGTGGGGATGGACGAGTTGTCCGAGGGCGTGATGAGGCCTTTGCACTGCCCGTTCACGTTCTGGAACATGAAGGACGCATCCTTTCCGCCGTACGGCTCCGACAGATCGTACAAGATATCCGCATCCTGCCTGATTCCAATCGCGCGCGGATGCTTGCTCCCCAGCAGATTATACGCCCTTCCATTGATGATTAAATAGCCCGTATCCACCTGATTAATCTTCAACCGCGGCGTCGGGCTGCCACACACGGCCTCCGTGAACCCAAACGTCAAAAAGCCCACAAACGCACAGATCAGCACAATGATGGAGATCAGCCCCATCTTCTCCCGCCACGCCCGCTGCTGCGCCTTCGCCGGCTTGCCGAAGCACCGCAGCACGGCCCCCGGGCACCAGAACGTCACGATCGCGCAGTACACATTCCACAAGCTCGGCGGGCTGATGGTCTCCATCTCCTGCATCTTCTTGAGCCGCGCCTTCTCGTCCGCCGACGCCTGCCGCGTGTGCGCCCGCGCCAGCTTCTTGCTCGCCCGCCGCCGCGGCTCGCCCCCGCCCCCGCCCCCTCCCCCCGCTCCCCCCAGCGCCCCGGCTTCGTCCTCGGAGTACCGCGGGTTCGACCGCGACGGCCGCGTCAGCGACTTCAGGTCCGACGAGTCCGTGGAGGCGTGGCTGGCGGCCTCGCCGCGGTCCTCGATGATCGGGTCGTTGCCCGTCGTGGAGGGGAGCACGTTCATCTGCTGCTGCTGCGCATGCTGGCGGTAGTGGTAGTTTGGGTGGTCGCGGTTGATGCGCGTGCGCTCAGGGCGGATGAGGCTGCGCTTGCGGGCAAAGTCGGCGCTGTTGGGCGTGTGCGAGGGGCTGCCGCTGTAGGGGTCGGGGGGCGGCGGGAGCGGCGGGTGCGTGGCGCGCCGCGTGTTGTCGCCGTGGTAGAGGGGCGCTTCGATGTCGGCGGCGCGGCGGTGCGGGCGGCGCGAGGGAGAGGCGGGGGCGGGGCGTTGCGGGAGGGACATTGTGTCTGTGGGGGAGGGGGGGGGGGGTGGTTAGTGTATGTAGGTAGGTAGAGCTGGATTGCAGATGGGGTAGATGGGGGAGGGAGTGTGTACGGACTAGCTTAGCTGGCTGCGGGCGCCCCAGAGGTCCCGAGAGGTGCGGTAAACAGAGCGATATAGCGATAATCAACCCTCACGCTGCTGCACAGTAATAGTAATTATACAACCCACTCACTCACTCACTCACTCACTCGAGGCAAGAGGCAGGCAGAGCAAGAGTGAAAGCAAGACAAGGAGAAAGAGGGAAAGAAGAAAGAGAGAGGCGGAGGGGTGAGTAAGTGATCGAGACAAACACCAAACACTACCAGTCTAGATAGATAGACAGATAGATAGCCAGATAGCCAGACCCCTACACGATCGAGCGAGCAAACAAACAACACGAGTCCAAAACAACAAGCGAGTGAGAAGCGATGAGCGAGTCGAGCGAATGGAATGCCGCCCCTGGGGTGGGATGAGGTTGGGAGGTTGGGCGAGTGCGAGTGAGGGCGAGTGGGTGGTAGATAATCAGCCAGTCGCAGTCCACCAGCCCAGTCAAGCCAACCAACCAGGCAAGCAACACCAGGCAAGCAAGCAATCAATAGGAACACACAGCGACAATAACAAACAACAAATAACACACCCAGACAATCAGATTCAGGCAGGCAGGCAGGCAGGCAGGCAGGCAGGCAGGCAGGCAAAAAAACACAAACATGCGGCCTTCCTTCCCAGAGTGCACTTTCCCTCGCTTTTCAACATTCACATCTACATTCACGATTATGTACATACATTTCGCGCTCTCCCCTCTCTCAAAGCGCAACCTTCCCCAATTAGACGCACATGCCCGCCCACACCCTGGAACGTAAAAAGGGGTTTTTGACATTTTGTGTGCTGCTATTTATAGCCCGGTGGTTGCCACGGGAACCGTCCCTTCCTCCCCCTTACTACCTTACCGAATATTGGCTCGCGTGGGGAGGAGAGGAGGAGGAGGAGGAGACCCGTTGCTTGCCGTGGTGTTTGTTACATGTAGTTATGTACATACGCGGAGGAGGAGGAGGAGGAGGAGCCGCACCAGAGAGAGGAAGGAGCACATCATCGTCGTCTTTCTTGCTTTCCCCCTGTGGATCCCCCCCCCCCCCCCCCGGAATGCACTGCGCTGCACATTCTCAGTCGGCATCCCGAGCACCGCTTCTCGCTCCTCCCCGAAGCAACCCCCCTGGTAAGCTACTCTACAGTTTAAGCGGAGAAAATAAAGCTAGCGCTCGCGCTCGCCAAACAACCCAACCTTACCCTCTAGTATCTACCCGGCTAGTCCGAGGCTAGGACCTAGGAACCCTGCAGGGCGGGCAACTAGGCGGATGCGGAAGGTGCGAGTCATGGGCTGTGATGCGGCGCGGAAAGAGAAGGGGGGGGGGGGGGGGGGAGATTTGGTAATCTTAGACATCGGCTACTTGGGATGAATCGTTTGCCGACGCCGTTGGAGACGCGGGATGGTCATTGCGCTGGATACTGCGGCATGGGGAGAAGGTAGAGTGGTGGAGTGGTAGAGTAGGGATTGAGTCGAGATTTGCAGCACGTCAAGTTTCGTAAGGTTCGGCTTGTGTGTATGGGGTTGGGGTTGGGGTTGGGGTTGGGGTTGGGGTTGGCAGCTAACGGTAACGGTGACGGCTTGCCGTTTTTTTTCGTTTCGTTTCGTTTCCACTGGGCGGGCGGGAGGGTGAGGGGGTCGAATGAGATGTGGTGCTGCCCGCACGTTTTCTTTCTTGTCCTAAGCTCTTCGCCGAGACACTCTACACACACATGTTTACAGAACCGGATGGCGTAGAGGATGAGGCTCCAACAAGGACGCCCCCAGGACCCGGGAATGTCTCTTCGCCTTTTTTTCGCGTGCGCGTCATACTTTTACTTTTACATCATATCTGACAACCATTTCGAACATCGACCACATCATATCACAGTTTTCTATAAATACCCACCACCACCACCACCACCACTACCTACACACACAAAGAAAAAAGAGAGTGTGTGTGGATGTAAAAGGGCAAAATAAGTTCTCACCTCACTATCGATCACGCCTCACTACCTCACCTCACTCCGGCCGCTATCCGTGAGAGGGTGCGGAGGGATTAGTATTCCCAGTTATACATAGCTGTACTCTACACTACCCTACCATTGCTAGCTAGCTGGCCATGGAACAACCAAATTCCGGCCTCCGAGAAAAAATGTGCGAGCTCAAGAGAGTGCGGGAGAGGAAGAAAGAGGGGAGAGAGGGCACCCCCGTGTAACAGGACAAAAGTCCTTTGTCGCACCAGACCTACATCTCTCTCTACAGCCTAAGTACATGTGTACTCAAAGCAAGTAGGGTACATACATGTGGAGCATGTAGCAGTCGCACAAAAGCCAGAGAGGCAGAGAAGTAGAGAGGCACAATCTGCGGCGTGGTTCTGTACCCGCTTTTTTTTTTTTTTTCTCGCTGCGGGCCGGAGGTCATACATGTTACGTACATGTAGGTATCGTGAACGCCTTACGTAGAGAGAGTACCTACTTACACTTAGATACATGTACTTGCCTGCAAAGACGCATTCTCAGAGTACTCCAGTGTACAGTATAAGCCGGTGTTAGGTGGTGGTCCAGCCTAACTATACGTGTCACCCTTAATATGTATAGATATGGGCTTTCATACCTACAATATTGAGTCTTCCAGCTATAGCTAGGGCAAGAGCCCATACCTCCCCGGCCGCGCCGGGACACCCATCGCTACGGTCCGTCTCTTGTCGACGTCGCACCGAATCGGAACAGTTGCGCTCGCGGGACCCGGGAGATCGATTTTTTTACTTTTGCTGATTGTTGGCGAATCGAAGATGTATCGTACGTACTGGTCGGGTGTGTAAGGTAAGGTGTAAGGCGCAAGTGCAAGTGCGGTTGTCGTCGGTGAGATTATAGTTAGTTGAAGGGTAGGTAGAGCTCTATCTATTCGCGGAGAGATATCATAGCTATAGTCAGACGAGACGAGACGAAGGCCTGGAGGAATTCCAACCTGGCAATGTGGAGAGTATGGAGATCTGTATTACGCGCGTCGTCTCTGGGGAATAGGTTAATTGAAGCTCGACACGTATCGAGTCTCTATTCCCACCACCACCACTGACTGCTGCTATCACTATCTATCTACTACTGATCGACTGCCGGTCCCCAATTGAAGTCTCCATACTGAACATGAACCGTGCTACTACAAAAAAACCCCCCCCCAGCCTTGGCACTCCCGCCGCAACAGGGCTAGTCAGTCTGTCCCTGTCTCGGCTCTGTCCGAGCTAGAGAGAGACCCCTTCGCATCGCATCCCATCCCTCCCGAGAACTGACTGACTCGCAGCTAGTGGGCGTCATGTCACAGGGTCCAATTCCAACCTCACTCACCTCCCCCCAGAAACGGTCGAGCTCGGCGAGCTGCCAGACCCCACTTTTTTTTTTTTTCTTTCTCTCGCTTTCCTTTTCTTTTCTTGCCGGGTACTTTTGTTTTTTGTTTTTTGTTTTTTCCTGGTGGTTGTGGTGGTGGTGGTGGTTGTGGTTGTGGGTTGTGCCTAAAATAGAGTAGAGTGGTGCACATCGGATTCAGGGGATGGATGGATGGATGGATGGGCCAAGTGTGTGTTGGGATCTAGGCACATACTCTAGCAAGAGACAGGAGCCATGGCATGGATGGATGGGTCTCTGGAGAAAAAAAATTAAAAACCTGGAGAAAAACGGTCATGAGGAAGGCATTGAGGGGCCCCCCCCCCCCGGGTTTGCAATTGCAGATATATATCGATATCAATCTGTGGTTTTAGATGTTTTGGGGTATGTATTAACAGACAGGATCGATACAATGACCATGGTGATGGTGAAGGGATGCATAATACATATGGGGAAGCCTGGAATATGTATGTATGAATGGGGGGATAGGTAGACGGATCGACACCCGGATCCCCTTTTGTCATTCATTTCACCCCCATGGAAGATGCGAGTAAGAGCGCAGCGCAAGCTGTGGGAGAAAAGAAAGAAAAAAAAATGTGCAACTCGAGCACAACAACCTCGTGTTTGTACCTAGAGTAGTGTGAGGTTCTCTCGGCTACTACTCTGGAGTCTAGACTAGAGTAGGGGGGGGTGGGGTGAGTGAGTGAGGGTGGGAAAAAACCATCTGACCTACTCTACTACCAGGTAATTAGTTAGCTAGTCAGTCTGTGCGGTGGTATTCTTTTCCCCTCCGGATCCTCCTGTCTCTTTTCCTCTCTCCTCCTCCACGATACGTACGCCCTGGATATATCCGCTCGTTTGAGAATTCATATTATCTATACATTCGCTTTTTAGTTTTTTTTTTTTGGGGCAGAGAAGCTAGGAAAAAAGGTGTTGCTGCTATCACTCACCTCACTCACCTCACTCGGCTCACCCGTTCGTTCTGCCACTCACCAATTCCGCACTCGCTCGCTCGCCCATCGCTGATCCACGTTCGTTCACCTCGAAGGGGGCTGTTATTAGTCAGTTACACTTGCTTGTTACCCACGATCAATCGCGCACGTAACTTGCCGGGGGGTTGTTGTTGCTTTTTTTTTTTGCGGTCTGTTAAGGTCTGGGGAAGTTTTAAATTTTTGGTTGGGGGGTCCCCTACCTGGTACTACTTGGGCTTTAATTTTGACGAGGACTGGGTTTGCACGTACGGGGTGGTATACAGTCAGGAAGGAAGGAAGGAGGGATAGGTCAGGGCGTAGATATTGTTCCCCTCGAATCGATTGTCGAGTGTGTTGGGTTTGTAAAGAGGGTTTGCGGTTTGCAATTGGCGGCTTGCGTATTCTATCTACGCACTACTGTACCTGCGGGCGATATATACAGACAGACCTACGGGTTTGCGGACAGCTGCTACCAAGTATACCCACCCACCAGCTACATACGCTACACACCTCCCAGCAGCTAGATACAGTTCTCTTTAACTCGCCTTTCAGTTCAGTCCGGTTTTTTTTTTTTAGTTTAAGCTGACACCTACCAACTACCGCTGGTACGTATACCTTACTCTGCTCTGTCTAGGAACGTTATAACGGCCGGGCTAGCTGACATTGAGCTGTTTCCCCTCTCCCCCAGACTCCCAGGGTTCCGTTGCAGCTAGTTGCAGTCGGGGAACAGCCAATTACACGCGCCTTGCCTTCTTTTGCAGCGACTGAGACACGGCGTCCTGTGGTTGAAGTGAGTGAGTGACCGCGCTGCGCTGCACTGTACAACCGGCCGGCCTACATATACATACACATACATACACATACATATACATACAGCGTTCGCTCATCGCGGTGTGGGAGTGCCCATTGGCAGAATAACATTTTTCTTTCTTTTTTCTCTTTTTTTTTTTTTTTTTTTGGCTGGTTTGGTTTGGTTTGTTTGGGAAGAAGAAAGAAGAAGCAAAGGATAGGAATATTGCAACAGGAGTAAAGTAAGGTAATATTATTAACAAGAAGCAAAAGAAGGAGAGCAGAAAGGAGATCTTAAGAAGGAGACAGAGAAAGATCAAGAAGAATGGCGACCGCAGCACTCTCACACAGCAGCGGAATGCCCGCCATGGGCGCGCCCCTTTCGACACCGGCGTCTCCTAGCAGCGTCTACAGCTCACGGAAGCCCACGGCCACCACCGCGACCACAGGCACAACCTCCTCCTCCTCTTCCTCCTCCTCCTCCTCCTCCTCCTCTACATATCCCCACAATGACCCCCCAGCAGCAGCAGCACTGGCAGACAAGAAGCAGCCCTCCCCCCCCTCTGCCTCTGCCTCTGCCTCTGCCTCTGCCTCTGCCTCTGCCTCTGCCTCTGCCTCTGCCTCTGCCTCTGCCTCTGCCTCCCCCTCACATACCACCACAAACCCCACGCAAGGGCCCGCACACCACTACCAGCAGCGCCTGCCCACCTTCCACGGCCGCGTGCAATCCGTGCAGTCGCTCGACTCCTCGTCCACCCGCGACCTGCAAACGCCCTCGCCCGACCTCGACCTCGACCTCGACCTCCACCGCCGCCGCGAGCTCGACCCGCCCATACAGCCCCCGCTCGCATCGCCCATCACACGCTCGCAGAGCACGCACCACCAGCACGGGCCCATGCCGCAGCCACAGACCGCCGTCATCAGCTCGGGCGCGAGCCTGGCCTCGTCGTCCGACTACGAGCTGACCCACCACCAGCAGCAGCAGAGCCCGATCAGCCCTTCGTCTGGATCCTCCAGCGGCGGGAGACAGCACTACTATGGCGGCCAGCACCACCCGAACGGCTCCGGCTACGGCTACGGCTACGCCCAGAACGAGCACCAGTACCGCGAGCGCAACAGCAGCGGGCCCTCGCTGTTCAGGGAGCGCAATGCCAGTGTCCCACATAACCACTACTACGCGGAGCGCAACGGCAGCGGCCCGCTCCTCGGCGCCCCCGTCTACCAGGAACGCAATGCCAGCGGGCCCCTCCTCACCACCACCGGCAGCGGGCAGCCGCAGTACACCCGCCGCAACTCGGCCTCGCCCGTCCTCCACGACGGCGGCAACCGCCACGGCGCCAGCAGCAGCAGCCGGCATCTGCAGGCCCCCGCGCCGCAGCAGTACCTCGGCGTCTCGCGGCCCTCGTCAATGTACTCGACGCTCTCGACCGACGGGCGCCTGCGCACGCCCGGCTCCGGATCGCCGCACCAGCGCGCCGTCAGCAGCAATTCGTATGATAGTAGACTCTCGTCATACACGGACCTCACGCAGCCGGCGCACCACCAGGCGCCGGCCCCCGTGGCCTCGCTCGACAACTCGCACCTGCGCGGCCAGGTCGGCGTCAATGCGTCGCTGCTCACGAATAGGCAGACCCTCGAGATGTACCGCACGAACGCAAAGAAGTCGCAGGACCCGCGCCTGCAGTACGAGCTGGCCGTGTTCATGATCCAGGCCGCGCAGCTGCACGACTCCGCCGCCGCGCCGTCCGCGTCCCCGTCCCCGTCCCCGTCCCCGTCCCCGCGGGGCTCCGGGGGCTCCGCGGGCCCAGACAGCAGCCCCTACGGCGGCGACAACCACGCATCCAAGAACGAGCTCCTCCGCGAGGCGCGCTCAATCCTCGAGCGCCTCTCCGGCAAGATGGCGCAAGCCCAGTACTACCTGGCCGACGCCTACGCCTCGGGCCTGTTCAGCCGCGGCAAGGAAGAGAACGACAAGGCGTTCCCGCTGTTCGTGGCGGCCTCCAAGCACGGGCACGCCGAGGCCGGCTACCGCGCCGCGCTCTGCTACGAGTTCGGCTGGGGCTGCCGCAAGGACCCGGCCAAGTCCGTCCAGTTCTACCGCCAGAGCGCCAGCAAGAACCACCCGGGCGCCATGACCCGCCTCGGGATGGCCTGCCTGCGCAGCGACCTGGGCCTGGCCGGCCGCTACAAGGAGGGCGTCAAGTGGCTGAAGCGCGCTACGGACGTGGCCGACGAGCAGTACCCGAACGCGCCGTACGAGCTGGCGTGCATGCACGAGACGGGGTACGGGGACGACGTGTTCCAGGACGGGGCGTACGCTGCGCAGCTGTTTACGATGGCGGCCGAGCTGGGCCATGCGATGGCGTATTGGCGCATGGGCGATGCGTATGAGCATGGGAAGCTGGGGTGCCCGAGGGATGCGGCGCTGAGTGTGCATTTCTATACGGGGGCGGCGCAGAGGGGGCTGCCGGTGGCGATGATGGCGCTGTGTGCGTGGTATCTGGTGGGCGCCGAGCCGGTGCTCGAGAAGAATGAGGATGAGGCGTATCAGTGGGCGCTGAAGGCTTCGGAGTCGGGTATGTTCTCCCAACTTTGGATGAGTGCCGGAAATGATCGTGGTGGCTAATGGGTGAATTGTGTGTGAGATATAGGACTGCCAAAAGCAGAGTACGCAGTCGGATACTTCACCGAGATGGGGATCGGCTGCCGGCGCGACCCGCTCGAGGCCAATGTATGGTACGTGAAGGCCGCCGAACACGGCGACCAGCGCGCCGTGGCAAGGCTGAAGGTGATCCACGAGGCGGCGTCGGGCGGCGGCGGCGTGTCGCCGGCGAAGAAGGGGAAGAAGAAGGATAAGGGCAAGGACAAGGACAAGGAGAAGGAGAAGGAGAAGGAGAAGCAGAAGGACAAGGACAGGGAGAGGGACAGGGAGAGGCCGAGGGTGCTGGAGAAGAAGCAGCACCATGAGGGCGAGGAGAAGGAGTGTGTGATAATGTGAGGGGATAATTTGGGATGCTTTTTCTTTTCTTTTGTGACTGGTTTTTGCTTGCAATTGCGTTATGTGGTGTTTTTTGTGTTTGTGGTTTTTCTTTCCTCGTTTTCTTCGTTCTCTTTTCTTCTTCTTTTCTTTCGGTTTTTTTTATGGCTCCTCTTGAGCTCTTTTTATTGCTGCAGCTGCATGCCACAGCGCATTCTGGTCCATAACTGCTACTCCCGCTCCGATTGTCAGGACTAGAGTACTACTACCCACATACACACTGGGCCCAAAATACCTTTTTCCTTCCTTCCTCCTTTCTGGTTTCTGTTGTTTACCACTTTTTATTCTTTTCTATTACCAAGCATCAGGCGTGTGTCTGTCTGTGTCTGTGTCTGTTACATTACATCCGTGGCGTGGCGTGGCGTGGCGTGAAATGGAAATGGTGGTCCTTTTTTTTTTTTTTTTTTTTTTTTTTCGCCCTTGTGAATCGCGCGTGGTGCGTGTATATGTTGGGAGTGAGATGGTGCGAGTGAGAAGCTGTGATGTGATCTGATATATGCCAAGCCAATATGTATGAACCCCCCCCCGGACCGAATTACAGACTGGGGGCTTATTGCTATGAGAGCACTGGAAACTACTGTTGGATAGATCTAGAGATTGGTGGGTGGGTGGGTGGGTGGTTGGGGGCTCTGCATGTATTTTTATGTAGGGCCAGAGTACTACTACTACTCCACACATGTAGATACAGGCCAAACCATGGCGAGGCGGTCGTCTATCCGCCCACCAACCACCAACCGTCCCTGTGGAAGGAAGGTGAAAAAGTATCCATTAGACATACACATACAAAAGCTTACACTACATTTTGGTGATATCTGGGGCGGTTACACGCGGTGTTTGATGGGTCGGCCGCGTTGATGGAATTGCGGTCATGGGTTATCACTCGGGTGATTTGTGGCTTGGCGTTTGTTTGGTTCGGGGAGGTACGGTGTAGAGGCTTTTTGGGCGTTGTGGATGTGGTTGCGTTGGTTATTGTATTGCTTGGGGTTGCCTTTAGGAGAGGGGCTTAGGTGGGGGGGCAAGATATTACGCCTGTAGTCATTGTGGGTCGGAGCATAGTGGGGAGAAGAGGAGAGGAAGTATGGTTTAGAACACAGCACTTGCTTATGAACTCGAGCGAGCAATTGATTGCTACAAATTATCGTGCTACCTTGTCTATAGTAACACCTAAAATCTATCTACACCTATGCTACCCAGTCCCGCGGGTTTCGTGGTAGTTAACTACCCTTCACAGCGCCAGAGACCCCACCATCTCGTTCACGATTGCATCATACCTTGCCTGCGCCGCCGCACGCTTCTGCTGAATCGTCAACCGAGTAGTGGCGACAACAGTGCTCTCACCATCACTATGACCGTCAGCCGGCTCTCTCTGGCCCCTCACACCACCATTACCGTTTTCTCCAACGTTCCCAGACGGAGTTACCGCCCTATCGGCGGCAGGGGAGGTGTTGGTGGCCATGCTTTGGCTAAAAGACGTGTACTTCGCCAGGAAGCCCGCTGCCCCCAATGTTCTGGTTTGCTGCCTGCCAATGGCCTTTCTCAAGTGCTGCTGGTCCCTCTCGCCAAGACCGTGGTTGTAGTCCACGGCGAGGTCTTCTACCACATCGTTGTTTCGGGAGGCGCTGAGTTGGGTGCTTTGCTGCATACCGAGGGTTTTCCTTTGGTTCTGGGTTGTCTTCTCGCCGACCTCTTGAAAGTGGTCCATTGCGATGTCGACTATAGCGCTCTCCTCATGCCCCTCCATCCCCTTTAGCCTCTTGTTGCTTCTTTGGCCATCTGCTTTTCGTCCGTGCTCTTGAGATGTTTCGGCGATTTCTTGATCGTGAGTTAGTGCAACATCAGCAACGACATCGTCTCTCTTCAAGTCTTGTATTTTGTTGTTCTGAGCGTTTCCCGTGGCCTTTCGACGCTGCTCTTCTCCCCTTTCTCCTAGCTCTTGGTCATGATCAAGCACGATGTGATCGACTGTGTCATTTACCAGAACTTCAGTCAGCTCCTTGTTCTGAGCCCTGCCGTTGAGAATCCGACGTCTCTCTTCTACCCTTTCCCCCAGCTCTTGGTCATGATCTATCGCCATATGGTCAACCGTATCATTTACTAGAACGTCAGTCATCTCCTTGTTCTGAGCTCTGCCCTGGAGAACCCGACGCCGCTCTTCTACCCTTTCTCCCAGCTCCTGGTCATGATCTATCACCATATGATCAACCATGTCGTCTGCCGCAACATCGGCCATCTTCTTGAATAGAGCCATGCCAGCGGACCTCCGACGCCGCTCTTCCCCTCTTTCTTCCAGCTCTTGGTCATGGTCCATTGCCAGGTTGTCGACAATCTCAATCATTCGGGCAGGCAGATCCGACAGATTTTTGGTTTGGACTTTGCCAATAGCCCTTCGACCTTGCTCCTCAACCATTTCTCCTATTTCTTGATTGTGATCGAGTGCCATTTCGTCAACCATGTCATCCCCCCAGAGATTATTGATTCTCCTGGTTTGAGTTTTGCCAATGGTTCTCCGAGATATCTCCTCTCCCCTTTCCCCTAATTCCTGGTCATGGTCCATTGCCATGCTGTCAACTATGTCGTCTATTCGAGCTGGAAGGTCAGAGAGATTTTTCGTTTGGGCTTTACCAATGGTCCTTCGACGTTGCTCCTCGACCATATTTCCTAATTCCTGGCCGTGATCCAGTGCAATATTGTCAACTGTATCATCCATCTGTAGATCATTGATTTTCTTAGTCTGTATTCTACCAGTGGTCCTCCGATACTGTTCTCCTTCCCTTTCTCCCAGTTCTTGGCCGTGATCCAGTGCAATATTGTCGACCGTATCATCCATCTGTAGATCATTGATTTTCTTAGTCTGTATTCTACCAGTGGTCCTCCGATACTGTTCTCCTTCCCTTTCTCCCAGTTCTTGGCCGTGATCCAGTGCAATATTGTCGACCGTATCATCCATCTGTAGATCATTGATTTTCTTAGTCTGTATTCTACCAGTGGTCCTCCGATACTGTTCTCCTTCCCTTTCTCCCAGTTCTTGGCCGTGATCCAGTGCAATATTGTCGACCGTATCATCCATCTGTAGATCATTGATTTTCTTAGTCTGTATTCTACCAGTGGTCCTCCGATACTGTTCTCCTTCCCTTTCTCCCAGTTCTTGGCCGTGATCCAGTGCAATATTGTCGACCGTATCATCCATCTGTAGATCATTGATTTTCTTAGTCTGTATTCTACCAGTGGTCCTCCGATACTGTTCTTCTCCTCTTTCCCCCAGTTCCTGGCCGTGATCCAATGCCAAATTATCAACTGTATCATCCATCTGTAGATTATTGATTTTCTTAGTCTGCGTTCTACCAGTGGTCCTTCGGTACTGCTCCTCTCCCCTTTCTCCCAGTTCTTGGCCGTGATCCAGTGCAATATTATCAACTATATCATCCATCCGTAGGTTATTGATTTTCTTAATCTGCATTCTACCAGTGTTCCTTCGATACTGTTCCTCTCCTCTTTCTCCCAGTTCTTGGCCGTGGTCCAGTGCCAGATTATCAACTGTATCATCCATCTGTAGATCATTGATCTTCTTGGTTTGTATTCTACCAATGGTCTTCCGATACTGTTCCTCTCCTCTTTCTCCCAGTTCCTGGCCGTGATCCAGTGCAATGCTGTCGACTGTATCGTCCATGTGAAATTCAGCTATTTTTTTCATTTGAGATCTTCCCATGGCTCTCCTATGGTTCTCCTCTTTCCTTTCACCGATCTCTTGGTTGTGGTCCAAAGCGACATCATCGACAATGTCATCAATCTTCAGACAATTCAAAAGCTTTGTCTGTCTCTTTCCTACCGTCTGCCGGTATCTTTCTTGTCCCCTTTCTCCAATCTCCTGAACATGGTCCAAAGCCAGATCATCCACTTTATCATCCATTTTTTTGATGTTTCGGAACCTTACTGACTCTTTCCCCCTGATCCTCCGGAGGTGCTCTAGGGCCCTGTCCTCAACACTGAACTCGTGGTCGATGGCGACATTTTCGTATTCATCCTCGAAAAATAGAGCATTCTTATACCGGATGTCTTCCTTTTCGCGCTGTACATTTTTTTGCTGCAGGGCAATCTCGAGTAAGATGTTTTTGATGAGGGTATGGATTTGCTTAGCTAGTTCGTTCAAGCGCTTTTTCTCTTCAACCTTATAATCACTTATACCCATTTTTCTACGCCAATTTGCAACATTTGTTTTTTCCCACCTCGCAACCTGTGCTATTTCTAAAGGAGTTGGTTTGGTGGGTTTTACTTTGATGTCCTCTTTGACTTCTTCTTCTTCTTTGATTTGGTCGGGGACCTTTTTCGCCAAAATCTCCTCGAACTTCGCACGATTGGCCGCCTCCCTCATGATCCGAATAGTTTTGCGGGCCTTCCCTTTGTTAAAACGTTTCTTTTGATCGATCTTATCCTGTATTTTAAGGCGTCTCTCAGCCTCAGCAGTAGCAGCGGCCTCATCTCTCCGCTCTCGGTCTGCAGCTACCCTCTCTTCGTTACCAGGGTCGGAAGGAAGGCCGGAAGGCCCCTCGTCTTCTTCACTAGGAGGACGGGGCCGTTTTGCAGCGGGAAACACGATTCTGAAATTTTCTTCTTCTCGACCGTCTTCTGTCGCTTCCGCCTTCAGCGAACTGCCGGCAGAACCATCGAGAAGAAGATATTCAGAAAGTTCACCTATAGTAGAGGCGAGTAGACATTGCATTGGGTTGAAAAATTCGAACTGTGGGCATGTGCAATCGGACTTTATACATTGATAGAGTTCGGTGGCTCGGGGCTGATGACTAGAATATCTTTGGTGAATATCCGATCGAATCTCGGTATCCGAGATAGAAAGATAACCGAGGCCATCGGCAGTTTCAGAGGTAAGTTTGAAAGACTTATGAGCATCGCTTTCAAGGATGTGTTTTTCAAAGCGTATCTCTGTTGGGAAATGGAAATTACAGGTATGACAAGAATACTTGTAAACACGGAAATCCGGCGAATCGCGAATAGATTCCATAGACGGTATATGGATAGAACTTTTTGCGAGTCTCTTCCCCTGCTCTTTACCATTTTTGGCCAATATTAGAACGAGAAACTTCATCATGGGGAAATAGGCATATTTATCCAGTAAACATACCCATTGGTCCAGGAGTCTTGGGTCTAATGACATGAGCAGCGCCCATTAGGCTTCCTGTTGTGTACTTTGGGGGAGAAGGAAAAAAAATGCAATCTCGTGGTAACTGATGTAGGTGTGGATGAGATGGAGTGGATAGTCAAAGTGTAGGTACGAAGATATGGGGTGTTGAGAGGATGACGTCCCTAGCGCGTTTACACATGTTTCAGGTGAGATGGAACATGAAAAATCACTCGGTCCCGGAATAAAAACAGAGTGGGATTATTCTCCTCTAGGCACTCTCCGCAGATTGGCATGATATGTACAGAATAAAATCCCTGCGCCTATAGTTCAAATACAAAGACACAGATATTAACGAAAAAGTACAAGAAAGCCCTCGGAAAAATGAACCTAGAGAGAGGATGAGCAAGAGTTCATGAATAGATAGGTAGTGCCGAATACTATATAGAGAACTTTTATGATGTTTTTTTCGAAAGAGCTGGGGGTGTCCTCACAGGAGTTTCAGCTAGTTGCGACGAATTTGACATTGGTCCCGTTTTCGTGGACACTCCAGCTTCGATGTTCTTGTCTACCTCAGCATTGGCGGCGTCTTCCTCGCCGCTAACACCAAAAAGCCATAACTTTCCCCAGAGACTCGTTCCTTTATCCGACACAGATTCCCATAATGGCGTTGGTTCGATAATCTTTCGTTCTTTCCTTTCCCCACCGTGTCCTGGATAGACACCCTTTCCACCCCCTAGCCTCCAGGTTTCTTCCTCCAAGGCTATAATTCTCTTCTCATCAATGGAACCCTGTTCCTCTAGTTGTGCCAGGCGCTCCTCATCCTGTCTCATTCTGACTTCTAGAAGATCCAGGCGCTCCTCTATCACATCACGCCTATTTGCCTCCTTCCGCCTAGACCTTATCTGTTCAGCAAGGATGAGTGACCCCGCTACAATAAAAAGAAACAGCTCGCTGATGAAATTTGCACCGCTCTCAATTGCTTTTGCTTCCGAGAGCGGTCGGACACGCGGACGTGCAACAGGTGTAGGGGTAAAATGAGCGTGCGGTTTCTGTGAAAGCGGCTTCTGTGCGCCAGGCTTTGGGGAACCAAATACGGCCGGTGGAGGGACAGCCTTGGCCGAAGAGACGGTGCTGAGGTCGGAGGGGAAATTTGCGGCTCCTTCCGATAGTTTTTTCGCAGCTTGACGAGCAGCTTCACGATCAGCTTGTTCGGCTTTTATGAATGCTGCGGTGTCCTGGAGGAGACCAAGGCGTAAACGAACATCGATTTGATGGATTGTTTGGGCGACATTAACGCAGATTTTGCGGAAGCGGGGGTGATCACGGGCCTGTTGTTTGATTTTACTCTGTTTAATTTGGATAGTCAGTAAATTTTATAGAAGAAAAAAGGAGAAGAAGAGAGATAATTACAGCCATAGGCTTGGCCAGTGTTTTTATGGCTAAAGAGCCAAGTTTAATCGCCGTTGTTGACATAGTTTGTTACGCTGAAATTACCCCACGACCCCGCGTTAGTAAGATGTAGCTGTCTCGCAATTTGTTTCGGGAAAAGAATGGTAGATACATGTATGTAGGTGGTATAAGTTGGTTAGCTATAAAGAAACATAACGTACATTTAGATGGACGGCCCCGAGGTCCTAAAAGCTATAGTTAAGGAGGGGAATGAGAGGGGAGGTCTGATCTGTGAAGAAGTCATTAAATATTGTGGTCTAGATTGAAGCTAAGCCTCAGGCTTCGACTCATAGAGTAAGATAAAGATTAATTGGGTAGACAGCATGTATGTACGGATATATTCTTTACATAAGTATGTATGTAAGCCCGGACCTATTAGCGACGATGAGCAACAAGGTACATAACCTCATGGCAGAAGGTGCTCGATATATGCACCTCAAACAAACGATCGTGATATTCCAGGATAACGGTTGTCGTAGCAACACAATGTTTATCTCCCACGCACGGACCACCACGAAGTCAGCGTGTATCTCTCTCTACCTTCTTGGTATTGGACCTCACTTCCTCACATCCCCTTTCCCTTCAACCCCCCCCTCCAAACGCCAACAACAACTTCCGGTTAATAGGCTGTGCCACTATACCAGTATAACTGGCGGGCGCAGGAATCTAGAATATATCAACTCACTAAAACCTTAATATTTGCAATTCCAGTCCTTGTCCACGTGTTGCGCTTCTTCAACAAAGAACACTCAGGACGAAGAGAAATCTTCCTGGTATCTAATGGAAAATATTCAGGGTGGAACTAAAATACTAGCATCCATGGACCCCAATCAACGCCCAGCTCGAAGGCAACGGACAGTTGCCCCCAAATTAACAGCACCATCTCCCCTGAAGAAGCAATCCGACTATCACCTCGTCGCCCCTCTAAAGGCTGCTGCCACAAAATCGCTAGTCCCGTCGGCACTTGCCGGTCCATCTAAAAGGTCACAAAATACAGGTGCACCAAAGACACCCAAGCAAACAAGCAAAGAACGGAACAAGAAGTTCCTCTGCGCTACCCCGCCCACAGTGCTCCAGGATACTAGAGGGAAGACCGAGTATGGTCGAGGGCGCCAACTCGGCGAAGGGGGTTTCGCAAGATGTTTTTTGGTACAGAACAAGGAGGGCGGGTTGTTCGCTGCAAAGACTGTAGCTAAGAAGAGTTTGCAGAGCCAGAAGAAAAGAGCAAAGGTTCTTCCGCCCCCCTCCTACTATTGAATTTGTTTCAAGAAATGACTGATTCAAAAATTTACAGTTCTTCGGGGAGATTCAAGTCCATAAAACTATGATCCATCCTAACATCGTCAAATTTATAGAGTGCTTCGAGGACCCGGATAATATCTACATGATTCTCGAACTCTGCCCTAACAAATCCCTGATGGACATGTTACGCGCTCGGAAAAGGTTTACAGAACCCGAGACACGTTTCTTCGTTTTACAACTTCTAGGAGCTTTGAAATACATGCATGGAAAAAGAGTCATCCATCGTGACCTGAAACTTGGAAATATTTTCCTAGATGAGAACATGAACGTTAAGCTTGGAGATTTTGGTTTAGCAGCCCTCTTGGTTGATGAAAACGATCGCAAAAAAACGATCTGCGGAACGCCAAACTATATTGCCCCAGAGGTTTTGTTTGGGGGTGGAAAAGAAGGTCAAGGACATAGTTTTGAGGTAGACCTTTGGGGTGTTGGAGTTATTATGTAAGTTCCAACAACTCACGATGAACGCTGGATCTGATTGGGTTAGGTATGCCATGCTCGTTGGGAGAACCCCATTTCAAGCCAACGACGTGGATTCTATCTATAGGTATGTGAGAATATCAATGCAAGGTTATCACAAAATGTTGACTCTCGATTAGAAAAATCCGGCATAACACCTTCACATGGCCAGAAGATGTACCTGTGAGCTCCGCAGCAAAATCGCTTGTAAACTCCATTTTGGAACACGACCCGGAGGCTCGTCCTTCGCTAGACGATGTTGCAAACCACCGATTCTTCAAATCTGGATTCTTCCCCAGGTCTATTCCGTCGAGTGCAACCAAACAGGAGCCTATATGGCGAGGAACAACCGGGCAAGGCGTAGGGACTCTAACTACAAACCGAGAGGACTGGATCAGAAACTACGAGGAGGTTGCTAGGATTTGTGGAATTGGGAAGATATCTGAGGGGCGGTACAGTCCCGTGGGTGACCATCCTGGAGAAGTTGTGGATCTTTTGACACTTCCCACCTCCAGGCCGGCATCCGCCGCTTCAAATCAAAACAACAAAGTCCCAGAGAAAGTAGAAGCCGTGGAAGAAGAAGATGTCGAAGGAAAAAAAATGTCAATAAAAGAGAAGGCGTATCTCCTCCCCGAAACATTGAGTCCCAGAGACGGACATGCTCGAATGAGAGGTGTGGGTGTTTTAAAGAAAATTCCAAGCATTCTAGGGCCTTCGAGAGGCGGACTCTTGGGATCGGGGTCTATTGCGGCGCAAAAGCCAATGGATGACGTCGAGGAAGAGGACGAGGAGGTGGAGGAGGAAGAAGAGGTGAGTGAGGACGAAGAGCCCGCACGTCCTCCACCCAGGCAATTGCGACAGCAACCAATACGTAGAAGTGCGGCTATTGCTGCCGCTGCAACTGCTGCGACTACTTCAACGGTAAATGCCAAAGCACCCGCGCCCGCGCCCGCGCCCGCGCCAGCACCAGCACCAGCACCAGCACCAGCACCAGCACCAGCACCAGCACCAGCACCAGCACCAGCAACAGCACCAACCAGGAGTGTATTTCCAGCAAGAAGAGGATTGGTGAGATCCCATGCCGCGGAGATGCGTGCTGTCTGCGCAGGTCTAGAGGCAGATAAACCTGTACCACCACCACCACCACCACCACCGGCTATGGCTGCACTTCCCAAAAAGCAAACGACTCTAGAAGCGCGGCCCGAACGACCAGTGTCATCCGCAGAATTGCGAGAGAAGACTCCAAAAGAAGACGTAAAGGAGCCGGCCTCGGAAAGCACCGGTCCGGTAATCCCCTTTACGCCAGTTCTTAACTCCAAGATTGGCAATTCCATCCCTTCCACTACAACGTCCGCAATAATTGCATCGCTGCAACCTTATATTCAGAATTTTAGCGCCTTCACGGCCGGGAAGCTGCATCTTCTCCCCCCCCAACCTCCGGCTACTATCGAGGCTGTCAGATCATTTAAAAGGGGCGAAAAGAACTCCAGTTTATTTATCACCAAGTGGGTGGACTACACAAACAAGTATGGGGTTGCTTACATTCTTACTGATGGTACCTGTGTCGCCATGTATAACGACAACACATCGTTGGTTGTAGACAGTGTCGGCGGACAAAGAGTGGAATTTATCACTCAGTCAATTGTCGACACTCCTACGGGTCGAAGAAATAATAAACAAGAAGTGACTTACAGGAGATTATCAACTACGATGACAATAATGAACCAGAAAAAGAAGTCGAGCAGAGGTTTGGCGAGCAAAGTTACAATGTGGAAACGGTTTGGAAATTATATGAAAACAAATCTTGGATCGGAAGCAGAATGGTCTTTCACAAGGGAATGGGATCACAGCGAGCAAAGCGCACATGATCCCGAAGGAGGTATGGTATTTGTTACACATTATGCCAGATTAAGACGATGTGCTATGTTCCGTTTCTCGGATGGTGGCTTTCAGGTTGGTTTGCACCTCAGTTGTCTTCCGGGCATATACTAAGATTTTACATAGCTTAACTTTATCGACCACTCAAAATTGATGGTCTCATCTGGGGGGAGAACGCTCAGAATGATCACCAAGCATCATCAATTTATCGTCATGTCCCTCGAAGAAGCACATAGAGAGGTGTTTATTGTTAGAAATAGAGTACTCTTGGAGTTTGGATTAAGGGAGAAGTTGGAGTATCTCAGCGAAATATTCACCAGCTGGACGCACACAGGGAAATTCCCTAGAGATTATGATGTTATCGAGGGAAAACCTTTAATTGTACTGGGAGAGGCGTAAACAACTTTCTTTGGGGTTTGGTGTTCATTTAGTCTCTTTTGATCATGGGTGGTTGGCGTTGTTGCTTACATGTAGTTGATGATTGGGTTTTTGTACTTGCAACGGACTTTTTCCTTTATACCCCCACTTTATTTTTGTCTGTTTATAATGCTACTAGATGATTTCGTGCTGCTTTTGTTTATCTTTGTTTGGGGTATAGGGCAATCGTCAGGTGAACAGAAGAGTCTCAGGAAAATCATCTTTTCTTGACAATATGATAATTACATGCACCCAATACCGTGATTGTGAACGTTGATCTAGGGTGCGATTGTTACCGCAAGTAACACTCCGTGAAGTATGTACATACCTACATGTAAATAACATCGATGGTAGTATATATATGTATATACATGTATACGTAATACATTGGATCCTAATACAGCCAAGCTTTAAATGAATGGTAGCGATCACAAAAGATCACTCGTCGAAAAGCAATATTCCAACTTAATACAACGCTCGCGCACAACACACCACAACCGACATACCGGTGCTTCCGTAACTGTTTTATTTTGCGTTGCGCCATAATCAAAACTTAACCTTTACCATTAGAGCGTATTTACTAACCGTCAATTCTGACAATTGATATACTTCGCCACTCTCCAAAGCGACATCCGCAAGTGTCAATTTTGGATAGGGTTTCTTGCCAGGCTGTGAAATGCGTCAAAAGGATACAAAATGCAGCCTACGCATTTCATATCCCGTCAGCGTATATCACAGATAGTGTGAGGAATTATCAGAACTTCAGAGTTATCCCAATCACACCTTCCTTGTGTCACTAGCTCTCTGTGGAGGAGAAGTGTCAATTTTGCCTTTTGCAACCGTCAATTTTAGTGTCAATTGTCAAAAATGACATTTAGTAAATACGCCCTATTAAGTCCTAATTATCAACTTCTTATCAGCCCCCTCCCCCCCGGGGGGATATTTCCGGTCTTCAGAAATTCAATAAAATGACTGCGGTGCTGCATCTGAAGGATTATGCAGCTGTTGTTGCATTTTGACTCTACTGTACGTACATTATTAGATTGATAAGGTGCTTGTAGATGTAGGTATATACATGTTTCTATTACATCCCATCTTGCGTACTGTAAATATCCCATAAACTTGCATTATTAAATAAAGGGGGTTGATATATCTAAAGTTACTATACTAATATACGATTTGGGTGCATATCATACATGTACATATAGCTCATATGCGAGGTTGAGAATAGCAGAACAATAGGATTGTAAGTGCGATGAGGCTGCAAATCATCATGTGTCGGTTTAGTTACCATGTTGGGCACATGCATTCATAGCGCGAAACAGAGTTGCTCGGCGTGGTTCTTATGGCTTGCCCTCTGCCCCATCAACAGAGTCTCTCTTTTTCTTCCTTCCCGCCTCGTTCGATACATCCTCCCCAGCTGCAGCACACCAGTCGCTAGACGTCATCTATCACAGCCAACCACTCTACCAGTCGCGCTATTTTGTGTGTGTTTTCTGTGTTCTGCCCATCAGCCTTACCTTTATTGCTGCTGCTACCTGCGATATCTATAGTACACGAGGTCAACACGAAAGGGGAATCCCGTATTTGCCGTATTTTCGTCGTGACAGAGTGCGCATCGGCGCACTTCGACCTATTCTTGCGTGCCGTCGAATAGGTTGATTATCCCTCAGATCTTATCTTAAAAGGTGTCGCGGTCGGCGTGGTGTTGATTTGGCCTTTTACTCAAGCATATTAGGAGAACAATCAGCACTCGCCGTCATGTCTAGCAAAGATAGCTGGCCCCCTCCCCCACCGCAAGAGCAGCCTCAGCAACAGCCCTCTCAACAGCAGCAGCCTCAGCAGCAGCCCTCGGGTGGACCTCTTCCTCCATCATCATCATCCCAACAGCAGCAACATAGACCTCATCCATATACGTAAGTGTTGTTCTTGCTCTTCTTCACTTCCGGGGATACTTTGCCGGATGAACTGTTGGTATGTGTGTGTGTATACTGAAGACTGACGCGCTTGATTCTAGAAGTGGATCTGGACAGACACAACCTCCTGTTTTACCCCCTCCTCCTTCCATGAGCTCGGGCGGGTGTAAGTTTCCCTTTCCATTGAACGAGAAGGGCCTAAATTCTGATGTGCGTTGGGATGATAGCAACTTTTTTTAATCAAGCAGCATCGCATCCTATGTCACTTCCTACATTATCAACAGGTTCTCACCCGTCTTATTCTTTACCATCTATGCAATCTATGTCTGGACCACCGCCTCCCGGAGGTAATATGGGCCCCCAGCAGCAAAGAGAGTCCCAACAAGCCTCCCAAGGGCCCCCTCCTCCACAGCAGCCTCAAAATTCGCAGCAGCAACAGCAGCAAGCTCAACAGCAACAGCAACAGCAACTACAACGCTCTGGATTGCCCTCAAATAGTCCTGCACAGACTGCACTCGTCATGCAGACATCTCCACCCGTAGTTACACAAATGCCTCTTTTGAATTCGTCCCAGGGACCTCATCTAGGTCAACAGCAGCAACAACAACAAGGTCCCGGGGGACCTCCCACTCACGCATTGTCAAGCATTCAGAATTCTATCTCCGTGCAACAACAACAACAGCAACAGCAGCACCAAGGAGGAATGAATCAGGCAGTTAGTCAGGCTCAGAGTCAAGCCCAGGCGGCGGCCTCTCAAATGCCCCCATCCGCAACCGGACCCGGAAATGGGCCCGGGGGCCCTATTCTTAATGTAGGAGGCCCCCTACCAACAGCCCTTACCCCCCCCCGTTCCTTTGCTCCCCTTCCCTATAGCACCGTTGCGGCGCACGATGTGGACCGCCGCAGGATGTCTTCGTCTTCGTCTTCTTTAGCTTTGCAGGGTACTCATGGTCAGTTGAATGTGAAGGATGCTTTGTCATATCTCGATCAGGTCAAATATCAATTTCAGGAAGAGCCGGATGTGTATAACAACTTTCTGGATATCATGAAAGATTTCAAGAGTCAGGCGTATGTAACCCCAAACGTCTCTTAATTTTCTTCCCTTTCTACTTGTGGAGAAAGGAACACAATGGTAATTGAAAGGTTGGTGATGTTGACAAAGTTGGTCTTCTAGAATCGATACCCCTGGGGTTATTGACCGTGTTTCTACCCTATTTAGTGGCCATCCGAGCCTGATACAGGGCTTTAATACTTTTTTACCTCCTGGGTACCGTATCGAGTGTTCCCAAGACCCAAGGGACACTAAAATAACTGTTACCACCCCATCTGGGATTCATCACGCCTCGTCGGGGGGTGAAGTCTCAATTGGCGGCGGAAATGGGATACCCTTGTCTAGTGCTTCTCTCAATGGTAATGGGAATGGCCCCGGACAACCTGCTCACTCACGGTTTTACGAACAGCAAGGGAGTAGATGGGGCAGTGGCGGTGTGGATAGTGTCATGTACGCTTCCTACGGTCCCGGGGTTCCTGGTCCTGGTCCTGGGCAGCAGCAGCAACAGCAGCAACAACAGCAACAACAGCAGCCGCCCCAGCAGTCGGAGCCACTTTCAGCAAATCAACTGCACCAACAACAGTTGGCGCAACATGCGCAGGCACAGCAGCAGGCGCAACAGCGGCAGGCGCAGCACCAAGCTAGTGTGCAACAAGGTGTAAATCAACTACAATCCGCAGCTGCTCATACTAATGGGGCCACTGTAAAGGTACCGGCTGGATTAATCGTTCCTCAAGGTCCCGGAACACCTTCTGGTGCTAGCGATGCCAAAGCAGGAAAAGGTCCTGTCGAGTTTAACCATGCCATTAGCTATGTGAACAAGATTAAGGTAAACCTTTCTCACTTCACATGTTCAATTTGGATAAATTCACCCCTCTTGTGAAAAATTCACTCACAGCTTCCTAGAATCGATTTGCACAACAACCGGAAATCTATAAGCAATTTCTTGAGATCCTTCAGACATACCAACGGGAGTCAAAGCCAATCCAAGATGTTTACTCGCAGGTTACAGAGCTTTTCAAGACTGCCCAAGATCTTCTTGAGGATTTTAAACAATTCCTTCCTGAATCTGCTGCTCAAGCTCGGGCAGCAGCCGCAGCGAAGGCAGCACTTGCAGAGCAAGACGCAGTATATCCACCTGGAGGTTTAGGGCCTCCGGGACCTACAGCGGCAGCACAAGCTAGGTTACCACCTGTCGGAAACTTTGCACCGCCACCGAGTGTTGGGAAAGAAAACAAAGGGAAGAAAAGAGGCCCACAGGTCCCAACCCAGGAACAGAAAACTGATACAGCCGTAGCTGGCAGTAGTGTTTTGACAAGTAGAGGCGCGGCTAAGGTGGGTTAAGATATCTCGCATTCTCAATATTTCAATCCCGTGCCCCGCACAAACCCTTTTTCGAGAGGACATGCATATGGGCGGATCCTTAATGTTGACACGATGACTCTGGTTTTTGGTCTGACCCGTGAAGAAAGCTCATTACTAACAAACTGGTCATATTTAGAGGCATAAAACTGGCGTAAATAAACCTTCAGTAACAGAGCAATTGGCAGCCGTTTCGCCAACCCTAATTCCATTTCAACCTGAACCGTTAGGGCCATCGCCACAGCCTATGGCATCGACTGAGGAGTTGGCATTCTTTGACCGAGTAAAAAAGTTTATTGGTAATAAGCAAACTTATAACGAGTTCCTGAAGTTGCTCAATTTGTTCTCGCAAGACCTTATCGGTAAAGACATGCTTGTTGATAAAGTTGCAAACTTCATTGGTGGCAACAAGGAATTGATGGACTGGTTTAAACGATTTGTGGGATGGGAGAGTAGGGAAGAAATGATAGACAATATCCCACGATCTCTTAGTAAAGTTAGACTGAGCGTTTGTCGTGGACTGGGACCAAGTTATCGTTTGTTGCCTAAGCTAGTAAGTACAGCTGCCTATATTTGATAGTCAGGAATTAATGGTTTTCTTTTTCTTTTCTTTTGCAATTAGGAAGCTCAAAAACCTTGCAGTGGGCGAGATGAGATGTGTTGGGAAGTCCTTAATGATCAATGGGCGTCGCATCCTACCTGGGCATCCGAGGATTCTGGATTCGTTGCGCACAAGAAAAATCAATACGAAGACATCCTCCATCGTATCGAGGAAGAACGCCACGATTATGACTTCAACATTGAGGCTAACCTTCGAACTATTCAACTTCTTGAGCCGATTGCTCAGAGAATTGCGGGGATGACGCCGGAGGAAAAGGCGACTTATAAACTGCAGTCGGGCCTTGGCGGCCAGAGCAAGACGATTTACCAACGGATAATCAAGAAAGTTTACGATAAAGAGAAGGGTCTCGAAGTAATCGAAATGTTACACAATAACCCAGTTGCCACTGTTCCAATTGTGTTGAAACGCCTGAAATCGAAGGATGAAGAATGGAAGGCTGCTCAGCGCGAATGGCAGAAAGTCTGGCGAGACCAAACTGCAAGGGTATTCTGGAAGAGTTTAGATCACCAAGGAATTACCATTAAGGGTAACGATAAGAAAGCGTTCACGATTAAGTCCTTGGTAAACGAGATTCAGGCCAAGCACAGAGAACAGGTGAACAAGCGGGTTAGTGCCACAACACCTATACCCGAGTACCAGTTCCAATATTCTTTCTCCGACTTTGGCATCATCTTAGACGCCAGCAGGTTGCTGGCTGTTTCATTGGAGCACAATAACATCTTCAGCCTAAACGATCGCGAAAAAATCGACGGTTTCATCAAATCCTTTATTCCCCTTTTCTTTGGTATGAATTCGCGGGATGTGGAAGACACCGTCAATAGCATCGCCCGGAAAACACCGGATGAAGATCAAGATGATGCACATTCTCCAGCAGCTGGTGAAGGTACTTCAACCCGCAGCGGTCGTCGTGCTCAAAGACAAGATCAAGACCTTCTTAGAGATGTTCTTAAGCGGGGGAAGAATGGCAAAGCTTCAAGGAAAGAGAAAGAAGGGAGTGTCCCCTCGCGCGGAAGTAAAGAATCTACTCCGGAAATTGGGCAGCATGATGTGGACATCGAGATGAGCATTGACGGACCCGCAGATCGCCCGATCAAGGAGGAAGGAAATTGGATTGCAAGGCCGTTAAAGCATCTCCCCGATATGAAGCCCGGAACACCTACTTCTCATGCTGATGAACCGATGTTGCCCATCAAAAGGAATATCTACTCACTTTACTGCAACACAACCATTTACGGATTCTTCAGAACCTTTCAGATTCTTTGTAGCCGTTTAGCCGATATCAAAGCGTCGGAGGCAGACATCCGAAAAGACATCGAAATTCGCAAGCATCATAAGGTTGCAAATGAGCTCAATATTGCAAACCAGCGTATTGAGGACCTATTTGCAGATACTGGTCCAAACGCAAATTATTACTCCCAGGTCCTGGATATGTGTGAGAAATTCATTGAGGGTGACATCGACTCCAATACTTTCGAGGAAGGACTCAGGTCAGTGTATGTCCAAAGAGGATGGCAGCTATACACAATCGACAAATTGCTTCTTGCTATTTTGAAGTTTATTCAAACTATTGTGCCAAATGATACGAAGGAGAAGAACCCAGAAAAAGAAAAGAATGCGGACATCATATTGAGATTTCAGCGGGATAGAGAGCGCAGGGAATTTACCAAGGAGAAAGGGGAATACCAGGAGTTGATTGCTTATAGACGTAATATTGAGGGGATGCTTGGCCAAGATGATAATGTTTACCGGATTGATTGGGTATGTGTCTTTCCTTTCCTATATGGTAGAGTTTTGGATGAATACTGACATCTAAAAAGCATGAGGATACAAAAGAAGCAACGATCCGCTTCGTCCCCCGGAACGAAGTTACGGTCAATAATGATCTTGACAAAGATGAACGCTGGAACTACTACATCCAAACCTATATGATGGTTTCTCCCACGGAGGGAATCCCGCTTGAGAAATGTAAAAAGGTGTTCCTCCGTCGCAACCACCCCTCAGAAGAAGATCTCCCGGAGTCAGCTGGGTCTCCTCGAGAGGCCGCCAATAATGCCATTGCAGATGGTGCATGCAATGAGGAGAATATGGAAGTGCGGATTTGCGTCAACACGTATCGTCTCTTTTTCATGCAGAACACCGAAGATTTCATAGTAAGGACAAGGAAAGAACGGATGGCAATGGGGCCGGAGCAGTTGGAAAGGGTAAAAGAGAAGAGGAAAAGGAGATGGAGGGAGAAAATTTTGGGAGATGCAGGTTGGATGAAGGAGCTAGAGAAGGAAGAGGTGGATCGAAAGAAAGAGGAGTGGGACAGGTTTTTGAAGGAAGGGAACCACTCTGTAAAGGATGTAGATATGGGTGGTATCTAGCCGGCAACAAAAATGTTTTGCCGTTAATCAGGCGGTGGTCGGATTCATGAGTTGTCTGGGTTTTTTTTTGTCTGTTCCCTATGTCTTTATATCACTGCTTATTTGCTTTGTGCAACGGGTTGTTTTGTTCTCTGTATTTTTCTTCTGGTATTCGTTTTATTTTATTTTCTTCTTTTGATGAGATAGGGCGGCAAAGGGGATGTTGTGCTGGGATCCGGAGACACGGGGCAAAATATGTATCACGCTGTGTACCTGTTAACATTTTGTAACGCTACATGTGGATCTTGATCATATGCTGCGGAGGAGTTGTAATTTAAAAACGAGGTTTTGTAGTGATGTTAGTAACCATGTATCTGTTGAGGGAGTTTTCTGCAGGCTTATTACGGAGCTCATTTCCATCTGGATAGACCCGGCCCTATTAAACCCTTCCGAGATTCGTATTAGGAATCGTGATTCCTATCTAAAATTCGTTTATCAATTACATCTGGTCTCTACTTTGCGATTCTATCGAATCAACTTTGTCGGGAACATTAATTCGGCGGAGAGTAACGAATTCTTTTTCTTCTTTTATGAGAAGCGTATTTCCCAATTGCCCTAGATATGCTGGAAATTATTTGTTGAAGTTTGTATCTTTCCTAGCTATGCTTTTTTCTAGATTGAACCCAGGCGAGGGTAGATCCTCGAGTGGAGTGGAGGGACGATGAGCGATTGAGTGCGTTGATATCTGGCTGGCTACATGACATACCTACCATGCCTAGCTTGGTCCTCTCCTGTTATGTATTATGTTCATTAGATTGAAGATCAGCCCCGGTACTTACATACTGGGCGGGCTGAATCTTTGATTTTGAAACTGAAAGAACATATATTAGAAGTTAAAGCTCCTTGTAGGATAATATGCCGCTTTTCGTGATTCATTCTGGTGAAGCAGCGCATCTCTGGTCGTAGAGCGAGACATACAACGGGTGATTTCGAAGGGCAAGAAATAATAATGCAATTGGCCCCGGAAAGATGAAGGGGGGGGTGAGTATAAGTATAATGGATTTATGGATGAATCATTACTCATTGGGATATGAGGGTGGTGGTGGGGTAGAAGAGGGGTTATTCCGGGGTGCAAACGTGAATGAACTTACTTAACTACACACGAGATAGTACTACCAATTCTCAAAAGAAAAGGACGGCGTTGCAGTCTGCGGTACTGTTGGAGGCACACCTGGTCCGAGAGCTAGATACTATACCTATGCGACATAGGGCATACCTAGAAACTCCCAAGAATCTCATCGGACACAAGCAGGGGTAACCGTTATCGCTGATTTAATTCTTGTGCTCTAGATCCCTCGCGGGGAGCAGGAGGTAGAGATGATCGGGCTCCACTTTCAGCGTAACCACATACACCCCAGAACGGCTGTATTTCCTCAGAAACTCAACCTCAACAGGTGGTGGATTATTCTTTGCGGGAGTGTGCAGTGTGGGGGGAAGGAAGGTTATGTAGTTACGGCTCGATTGATATCAGGAATAGTACGCGCTTGACTTTGAGCCTGCAGCGTGGGGACTTTGTTGCTTAACTGAATTCCCGTGAGACTGAGAAATTGTTGGTTCTCTATTCCCGAGGGATATCTGAAATAATATTTTGCTTTCTACTTTCAGCTCAAGACAGCTATCCAGCCGCGAAGGCGAAAAGATTCCGATATTCTAAACTTGAACTTAGTTTGAGCGTCAAGGTATGTATGTATGGATGTAGAGAGAGTACTCTACTGTAAATGTATGATGTACATGTAGGTTATCCATGTAGGTACTTTAATTGTCGTCTGAGTTCCCTTGGCCACGTCGTACTTACTGATCTTTGCTTCTTTCAAGATGTTGAAGCCCTCTTCGCTTCTGGCCCCGCGGTTTGATGTCGTCTGTATAGCTCTTCATAATTGTTGTAGCGGTCCATCATTTTCGTTTCTAATACTTTCAACATTTGATGCATTCCTACAGTCAGTGTATGTACCAGTGAAGACACCAAGATGCCAGAAATTAAAAGGCCTACTACATGTGATCTGGAGACTTTGATTTTACTTGTATTACTGGAGGGCGAAACAGGTCGTTAGATTCCGTTGCAATCGATAAGGAATAAGCCTCTTCAGAAATTCCAGTCCAGCCTCAATTGATGTCTTTTCCTTCCTCCCCGCACTTTACTCTGCTTTATCGGCCTCCGGCTCATACGTAAGTTGCGTTAGTGATTTTCCTGCTTCAGATGTTTAGGACCGCAATCGCAATATTCGCACATTGCCACCCCATCAAGATTTAAACATGGCCTATATAATATGTAGTCATCCCACAATATTCTACACAATAACATATCCACTACTTTGATATTAACTTGCCAACCCACCCAGAGCAGGCTAACCTCCGCCCATAATAGGTTATATATCGCCCTATCTGATTTTAAGAGGACAAAAGACAGGGAGGTAGGTACCCCACCACCGCATTTCACCCACCACCCACCAATACCTAATACATAAAAGCTAGAGTATACTGTATTTACATACAGACACATAAAGTACGCGCATACTTAAAGTGAGTACATACAGTATTGCGCCCTTTCGTCCTACCAACGGTAAAGGGTATGCATGTTTCTCATACTCGGCAGCCCGAGGAATTTCGATAAATACGAAAATAGTAGTGTCACTAACCAAGGGTCTGTTGTAGATCGTAACCGCATCAGAGAGAAAGCTGAAAGGCCAGAAGAACAGCAATATCAGATTCAGGAAAGTCGATTCGAGACCGCGGTGATCGGCCGAGAAGATAAAGGACGGCAGTCAGTAGTAGGAAGAGCAGAACTCGCAGGCAAAGGCTGCTGCAAACAGCAGTTCAAGAGGTGGCGGCTATTGCTCAGTTCCCCCACCCTCCACCAAGCCAAACAGCCAAAAACAGTTGTTAGAAACACCGGCGGCTGTCATCTGTCTTTCTCCAACCCATCAACTCCCATCCTACATTCAGGTTCCCTAGAAAGAGAGAAAAGAAGAAAAGAAGAAAATAAAGAAAAGGACTCGTGCAGATACACGCATGCGATAATTATGTCCGACTCGCATAGTTCAGACGTCATTAGTGGGGTTGCTGGCCGTGGCGGCGGTCATGGAAGTAGGAATGTAGCACCGCAACTGCCCTTCACCAGTCGGAGATCACCATACCCTTTTTCGAATTCGTCAACATCAACTTCCTCTTCTTCCCTGACACCTCACCCCCCATCAAATGATAATCATTTGCCTGGGTTGACGGGATATGCCTGCAACACCGAATCTGCTGCAGAACCAAGCCACAGCTGCGATCCAAATTACCATCTTGACTGCCGCCTCCACTTCCTCAACCACCCTCCCCAGCGGCACCAGCAGCACTACCCCCTCCACCAATTTGACCTGTCAACCGGTCTGGCTTCCCCCCGAGCGGCCACACCTCTCCCGGGTCCCCCCTTCTACGCACCGTGGGATCCTTGGGACCCCACCCAAAACAATGAAGATCACCCCCATTGTAGTCCCTCCGCGCAACAGCAAGCCATTGCGTCTTCTCCCGCCGCCGCCGCTATTGCTGACCAAGATTCCCTCTCTTTTGCATCGACCCTACCGGATACCTGGAACAATCGTACTTCTCCCGCTACCTCATTCGGCTCTCTGTCAAGCACTCATAGCTCTAATCTATCCTCTGATACTGAGTTCGGCGGTGCCCCAATAACTCCCGAAGGCGTTGAAGATACACTACGAAACAAACACCACTCACCACCTCATAACAGCTTCACTAGGAATAGGGTCCCCTACGCTCTAGCTATCAACGAGTGTGACGAAAACGAGGAAGATTCAGACGGAGGCATAGACCTTTTTGGTTGTGACATGGCTTCTTCGGGTCCTGTTGAGGTGATTTATTCATCCTCCGCTCTTCACGCCACAGTCATGGATGAAGACGAGGACGACTTTTCTCCGAACAACTTGGTCACCCGCCCACCGTCTCCGATGGGTGCCGGCTCTTCTTTCTTCATGGATATATTTTCCTCCCCTTCCCATGAAAATCAAAATCCACTAGAGGGGGACCTATCGAACCTCCCAAGCTTTCACATGCAACTGAACCCCCCACTAGATGATGGCTTTGATTCGCAACCTAACGTCGAGGAAACATCAGTCCAATCGATTTTCCTGGAAAGCAATCTACAGACGCCCACTACCCCAAGCACACCCGCTGATATCCTCATCGATTCGTCGTCACCGGACGCCCAGCTTTCTGTCTCCCGGGGCACGGATGGTCTTGAAATCGCTGCAGGGGAGGACGAGGAATTATTTGTTGTCGAGTCAGAGTTGAACCATTCGACGGGCCTACAAGAGAGTATGCATTCTCAATCATCTTCCCAATCTCCTCCAACAGCAGCCGCAGTTCCCATACCCCAGGCTACTTTTGCAGTCGCCGCGGCGGAGATCATGGCAGCAGCAGCTGATGTTGGAGGATTTGTTCCCCCTCCTGCCCGTGATTCACTTCATTCACCCACACTGCCCCCCCCACTGCCTTTTGATCCGTCCCTTCCTTTTCATGTTTCAACAGGCACTTTAATTCCTGTATATGAATACGAGGCGGGGGACTTCAGTGAAGGTGACTCCAGTGATGAAGGTGACTCTGATGACATAACTAATCATCCGTTTGATCGTAATCTGCTTCTCGAAGACATTGAAAACTACAACAAGGATTTTGCGAAATTTTGTCTACATGCTTACTACAGACACCGAATGAATCCTACGAAATATCCAAAGCTATCAGTAGCTGCAGCCGACGTCAAGAATCTGCGGCGACCCGTGCAAGTGATGAGAACCGAAATGGAAGAGAATGGGTGGGATTACCAGGCGATCCCATGGGACCTTCTTGGGATCAGCCGTGAGGTAGCGAGAGTAATCAGGAGGAAGGATTACCCCAATTATGTAAACCTCAAAGGTCTTGAGTTTGAGGAAAACCCTGTATGTTGGAAATGTTTCCCTCCCCTTACTGTGATTTCGCAATGTTTCGTGGCTTTGCCGATTTAGAATCGTTTGTTCTGCATCCTGTTTCTTATATTGCCCCTACTGCATTGTCTCACAAACATTCCTTTTTTTTTTAGCTTGAAGGTTTGCTAGTGACTGATTCATAGAATAGATAAGGATTCCGGAAAACCGTAATTTTTTCAACTTCAGACGAATGGACAACGAGCAACGTTGTCGTTTAATACATTTCCAATTGAGAAACCTTATTGGTGTCATATCGAGAAATGATGTCTTCTACGCCGGCGATGGGATAGTTGTGCATACCAACCCACTGACGGGTAAGTCAAGAACGATGATGGATCTACGGACACCGGACAGCTGGAGTGGGAACCCGATAAGGATCTCGACACTTGGTACCTGCGGAGGATCGAATGGTGTTGTGATTGCGGGGTGCTTCTATGGGGAATACGCGATGAAACCACTCCATGCACCTGCCGATGCTAAACCAATCACGGGAATTGTAACGCAGAATGAAAGCGGTATCACGAACCATGTGCAGGTGATTAGAAACCGGACTACAGGCACACCCAATGCAGTGTTCTCATCTAATGACCATTTAATTCGGGTTTTGAACTGCGGAGAGGGTATGAGATTTATCATCGAACACGAATACTTGTGGCCGGTAAATTGCTCTGTCACTAGTCCCGATTCGCGGCTTAGAATTGTGGTTGGTGATGATACCGAGGTCTTGGTTTGCGATGCAGAACGAGGGACAACCGAGTTTGTTTTGAAAGGTCACCGGGATTTCGGGTTTGCGGCTGCTTGGAGCGACGATGGGTACACTATCGCTACCGGAAACCAGGATAAGACTGTACGCATCTGGGATGCAAGAAATTTAAGCAAGACTGTGAAGGTTTTACCTGCCGTAATGGCGGGCGTGAGGACGTTGCGATTTTCACCGATTGGTTCTGGAGGTAAACGGGTGCTGGCAATGGCGGAACCAGCAGATGTCGTGCAGATAGTGGATGCCGTTTCGTGGGACTCATTACAACAGATCGATTTCTGGGGCGAGGTAGGAGGAGTGGACTTTGATCCATCTGGTGAAGAATTTTACATCGCGAACGCGGATCGGTCTGTTGGTGGGATCATGGAATTTTCAAGGACGAAAGGTTCAGTATATTACGAAGACTATCATTGCCAGAAAGTACAGCAGCGTTACAACGTGGGGGGGAGTGTAAGGCAGAGGCGGCGCAAAAGAAGCGCTTTCATCGCCTCTTCAGATGATGATTCGGAATCAACCACATTCTCGGACGAGGAGCCAATGGAAGAAGAGGATGAAGACGCCAGAGAGGACCTGGATTTGAGGAAAAGGGGCAGATATTACGATAAAAGACGGTATAAGCGACTAGGGCATGATATGAGTAATGTTTTCGTCTAAAAAGAACAATGAGTGATGCCGTCATTTTCGTTTGAGTATTGGGTTGTAGTCGGTTTGTTTATTTCGTGGTTTTCTCTTCGTTTTTTTATTGGGTGTCTTTTCTCTTTTTTTTTTTTTTCCATTTGATTGTCCAAGGGATTCTTGTTTGTTGTTTTGATACTTTTAAGGCGTGATATGGTTTTGGTGTATCCTGGCGGCGGTTATGTTATGGTGATTGCGGGGAAAGGGTAGAACAGGCAACTGTTCATTTTTTTTCTTTTCCTTTTCAGTTAAATAATTTCTTGGACTGAAAAGTTTGGGGTCCTCCTTAGCCAGGCTTTAAAGTGAAATAATATTGATCCATGTTGCCATGAGAGTCGCAGAGGAAAGAACGTCAGTTTGGGATATTGCAACTTCATGTTATTTGTCATGCACTTGAAGTCAGCATAAAACAAAAATCTAGAGTGTTTCCTAAGCATAGAGATTTCGAAATAGATTTTGGATGGGCCTCCGGTCCTACTTGTAGCTACATGTAGCGCCTATAGCTGAACTTCGCAAAAAAAGAAAGAAAAAAAAGAAAAAAAAAGAAAAAGAAAGAGAGCAAAATAGAACCCCGCCCACCAATATAAAGCATAGTCTTGATAAACGTCAAATATGTTTTCAAAGCTTCGAGAGAGAGAGAGGTTTTTGATTAGTGACAGCCGTCCTATAGCTAGAAGCCGCACTGATAACTGGTGCACCTAGGTGAGTCAGTAAAAGTAGATGAACACCAAACCTATCTTCTCAATACAAATACTGCAGCATTCTGTGTCGACGCTGAGGATGGATCCGGTAATGCCCTGATACATTTTGGAGCCAGAATATGTTCCCATACACCCCCCAGTATAATAGATCTATACCTATACTTCTCCAAAATACTCTCAACGATCCAACAAACCACCTTCAAGTTTGCATCGATCCTCTGAACCGATGATTCATAACAGTCGGAACCGACATATGGTGGCAGTCGGAACTGACTACCTATACTCCGTCAGAACCGACTGTGCTAACCACGCCTTGGAATACTGTGAATCTTCCCAAAAGATTAAATCTGTAACCAGGCCCTCAAATTCCAGTAACCTGATTGGTGCCGTCCTCATACAAGTAGAATTTGGGGTTCTGACTGTACGAATGACATTAGCAAAAATGTAGTTCTGTACTCGTTATCAACCATAAGAACCTGAAAATGCAGCGTGATCGTGCCAGGTTGTGACAGGGAATTGCCCAGGGTGGTGACAAGCCTGAGGATTCGGGTATCAAAATGGAACGTACTAGAAATGAGAGCAAACGGCGATGGAATGTTGTAGAGAGCAGGCATTGTAGCGAGCAAACGAAAATGAGAGGTTGTAGAAAATAAAAGAGATCATGACTGATGTAGAGCTCTCATCCTTCAAATCCAAATCCATTATTCTATTTCTTCCATTGGGATTTCTCTGTTCAAATGCCAGTAAAAACCCACGAGGTTTCTTATAAACAAAGAGCATATATACATGCTCTTCAGTTCAATGCAAAATGGACAATCGCAAAAATTGCCAGTAACCAAGGTTTGTCTGTTGGCACCGTTTGGAATATTTGCCAAGGCCCTGTTACACTCAAGAAGAAAAAAGGCCAACCTCCTAATCTTGACTCGCCTTCCCGTCAACTCCTAGTAGAACAAACAACTCTCAACGCTATCCAACGTCGCAAGCCCTTCTCGCAAATTGCAAAAGAATGCGGTACCACAGCCAATGATCGAGTCCTCTGTAAAGCATTTCGCAAAGAATGCTATGCTCGACAAGTAGCTAGAAGAAAGGTTTTTCTGATAGCTATACACAAAGAGAAAAGACTGGCCTTCACACTAGCACATCGGCATTGGACAGCGCGTGATTGGAGGAAAGTTATTTGGACAGATGAATGTTATGTGTTTCTTACAGTTGGGGCTAAAGGCAAGACCTACGTTACCAGAAAGATCGGAAAGGAAGAACTATTTCATGAAGATTGTCTTGTTCCCAAATTTAAACAAGTCAATTTAGTTATGATTTGGAGGGCAATCGTGGATGGTAGGAAATCAGAATTGATTTTCTGGGATCGTGCCAACTGGGGAAGCATCAGTGCATCAACATATATCCGTTATATTTTACAGCCTAGTCTTCACCCCTCCTGGTACCACAATAGTGTTGATTTAGGTTTGTATTTTTTTTTTTTTTCTTTTTTTTTCCTACCAGATCACTAATTATATCTAGGTTCGAGATTGTAGGTAATGGAGGATGGTGCACCTGCACACAGGGCTCGGTCTACACAGCTGGAAAGGCAGTGATACAATATGCCATCTCTAGAATAGCCTATATGCTCACCAGATCTGAACCCTATTGAGAATGTATGGGGACTTCTGAAGGGCCGTATTGAGAACAAATTTAGACCTACTAGTGCAGAAGGGATGAAACAGATGGTTTTGGAGGAATAGTATAGGATAACGAAGGATGAAATTTTAGGATATATAGATACTATGCCAGATAGGATTGAAGAGGTAATTGCTAATAATGGTGGGCAAACGAAATGGTAGGATAGTCAGCAATGGTAGGATAGTTATTTTGTATTTAGAACTATGAATGTCAAACTCCACTCACAAACGATCACGAACTCTGTCCGGCCATGGCCTGACGTTCCATTTTGATATTCGCTACCCTGGATGCTTCCCTGTCACAATTCCGGCCCGATCACGCTGCATTTTCAGGTTCTTATAGTTGATAGCGAGTAAATACGTATAGTACTTGCAAAGAAATAGATGCCTAGCCTTGAAGCTGTATAAATTAGAAACCATTTCCATCAGCAAGCTTCACTATTCCCCAGGGTGCAGAGCCTACATCCTGGCATGAAGCTTGCACCCCGAGCGTCTGATGCATCCGATGCCGCCAGAGGATAGCACTCCCATCAGGCAGAGCCAGGAGATACTGCTCACGTCAGAAGAGCACTCTCCAATGCCCTTTCCGACAGGCACCACCAGGCTATACACTTCACGCCTGGAGAGAATTCGCCAATGCCCTTTTCGTCAGGTGCCCCCAGGATATACCCTTTATGTCCCGAGAGCACTCGCCAATGCCCTATTCACCAGGCGCCACCAGGCTCTACCTTTCACACCTGGAGAGCACTCGCTAACGCCCTCTTCACCAAATACCGATTGAGGAAATCATCTGCATCCAGAGAGCATCCGCCAATGCTCCCTTCACCAAGCTCCTTCAAAGAACATAGCTCACCTCCAGAGGGCACTCGCTAACGCTCTCTCTGCTCCATCAGTGAATATTACCCACATCCGGAAAGCACACGCCAATGCTCTCTTTGCCCGTCTCCACCAAATGAATTGACTCACATCGGAGATTATTGGGCAATTCCTTCTTCGCCTTGTTTTGCAGGAGATATTCCTCACGTTCAGAGAACATTCGTTAATGCTCTCTTCGCCAAGCTCCGCCAGGCTCTGCCAGGGGATACTACCTGCATCTAGAGAGCGCTCGACAATGCTCTCACTGCCAGGTTCCATCAGGGTGGGTGCTACTCGCGTCGGGAGACCACTTGCTAATGTGCTCTTTGCCAAGCTCCGACAGGGGATATTACCCACGTCCAGAGAGTATTTCAAAATGCTCCCATCATCAGGCTCCATCAAACGAATTGACTCATATCTGGCAGCACCATGAATTCTCCAGTACATGTATTCAGAGCACCCACCAATGCTCATAGAGCTACCAAAACATCCGTAGTAATACTACCCAAGATGAGGCAACCCCTCACTTAGACCCTTTTGAATTGATATGCTTTCGTCAAAGGCTAGGCAGGCACGACCAGTCCCTCAAATGATATCTCACATGGGTACCCTTCATGCCGCTGTATGGTCATTCATGGGATACTGATACGAGCACTGTTGTGTATACCGGTGATGACTACTAAACCTTTGACGAACGTGTATGTATCTATCGATTCGTGAAAGGCATACTAGCCTTGAGGTTGAGGCCATGGTACGGCTCATCTGAAAAGCTCAATGTCCATGCATAAACAGCAAACATGGACTGGAAAAAGGTGCAGGATGACTTTACTGGTCGGAAGACCAATGCCTGCCTACCGGGCCCTCCTGGAGCGGGCTTGCTGGATAGTCAGACTCAGATACTGAGCGGCTGAAACTTCACCTCCTTCTTCCAATCCGAATGCTTAGCAGAATAACATGAATTTTGAATTAGAGGGTCCAATTGTGGCTAACTTTCCTAGAGCCTCACGAATGCCCTCACAGCATTCACTATAGAGCAATTACGACTACCTTGGCAGCATTCAGATTAGAGCACTCATGACTGCTCTCACAGCATTCAACTAAATTCATTCCACATACGCAAGTATATCCTAGTATTTTCCAACCAATTGCCAGCCTCCACTTCAAACAAATAGGCCATTCCCAATGTATTCCGAATATTCATGACCCACATCCTCTTCCTCCTCCTCCTACAGACCCTCAGCAGCCCATATGAACTATCAGCAATACCACGATCCTTTGCTTCGAGCAGCTCTACTATACATGGCCTATGGGCTCACCCTGTACTGTACCGCACCTTGAACGAAGCCTCCACACGTACTGGTAAATGTCCACGAAACACTCCCCACTGCTCTAAGAACGCTACAGACACCTATGCTCAATTCTTTCTCATTTTCCCCTTCCTAAAAGACGCGTTTCCAGTACACCTAATGTTGTGTACCTCGTACACCTCAGGTCTTTGGAAGATTGGTATTGGAACCTGCAAACATATAAACATCTCTACCCGGCACTCTAAAACACTTTCAGAGCTCCCGGTGAGTTTTGAGAGCATCCCACATCCCCTACATACTCTTCTATCGGGCGGTACAACATGATATGGCTTATTTGCAGTGCATCTGCAATATTGAAAAGTCTTTCCGATTTCGCGGAGGGGTTGTAAAAATGCTTTAGAGGCAGTCGGCCTTCTACTATCGGTCATTCATTTGGCGTTTTTCTACGATCTTCGATTTTGAAAATCTCAAGTAACTCCTTTAGGTTATCTCGATGGCTCCAAAGAATGTCGTCAGTACTCTCAGAATCCCCAACGATGTCTTTCAGATTCAGAATCTGAATCTCTAACGCCAATTGGCGCCCCCTATAGTCCAGTATCTGCGTCGCAGCATCGACCTTGTTCGATGCTCTGTATGCCTCTTTTACCTGACGTATATAGGCGAGCTCGCTGATGTCGGTGGAGTACTGAGGAATGCTCCCAAAGCGCTGGGTATGTTCCCGATAGTGCGTTAACACTTGCAATTTGATGAATTTGAAGTGAGACCTTTCCCGGATCTCACGGATCTCCTTTAAGCATCGCTCAGTGCTCTGGGATCCTGCACCACTCAGGCTGAATGCTTTTGTCCGATCTCTCGCATCCTTTAATATTCTCTTTTATATCCGGAATTCTAAAAAGATATCCTTGTGTTTATGGAAATCCTCCAGATAGCTCTCCATATAATTCAATGTGCTCATCATATGACTCCCATACTGCGCTATTAGTGGAAGTCTATTAAGCTTCCTTTATATTTCAATGCTTTTGCAAAATCACACCTGACAGCCACGCCCAGGTTTCTCTCAAGGGGGTGAGTAGCAAGTATTCCGCAAGGTACGAAGGGTGTAGTAGAGATTAGTGTGGGAACTCGCAATAGGGGTCCTGAGGGATTTTAGCGTCGGTAAGGGTCAACAGGACAAGGGAGCAGCGAAGCGGTGGTCTTCTTGAGTAATGAATAGGAGAATAATATTGTATAATAATAGACAGCATAGATACAGAAGACGTTGCATAAAGAAAGAAAGAAAAGGAAAAGAACAAGAAATGAGAATGAACCCCCCTAATATACCTAAGGAAATCCCAGCGATGATAAATTCAAAATGGCTCATATATTAACAACCAACAGAACCCGGTAGAACTCAATAGAACCTTTCTGACTAATCCAACTCCTTGTAGCCCAGTGTATTCACTAATCGATCTATGAAAGTTTCTCAGAGCAGCCGCGATTGCTCCAAGAATAACCCGCCCCAGATTTCGCATCTCCTTCCCTTGCCATTGGGTTGTAGCACGATATGCCTTGTTCGGTACTGCCAGTTTAGGATAAGACCCAATCGAGGTCCAAGCCTTGTCAAATTCCTCCAATCAATGATGCTTCTTCAAGAAACCCTGCACTCATTCCATCATATGCTTTAACATCCCTAGATAGATATTGTGTAGAATGTCCGGTTTGTTGAAATCATATGGATTCACCCTCAGCATACCCCAGAAAGCATTGAAGAATGTTTTCACGAATCTCGCAACAAGGTATTCTACCAGTCCAAGGTTTCCTGGGTTCTCTCCGAATAGCTTTACCCACTTCCGGTAATCCTCGTGATTGTGCATAGGGCTCTGACGAGTGCTATGAAGATGGTGGAATTCCACCTCGCATCTTGGACAAGTGCTAGTACTAATACTTTGTAAGTTTGAATGTTCAGGTGAACAGCGATCCAATCCGACAACACCGGAAAGCATAGATGTTCGTACCCGTCGATGCATGCGATTAGCTCGCCTTCCTGAGAGTACTCCAAAATGCTTTCGAAGATCTCCCTCAGGTGCGATGCAGCGCCATTTGACTCTCACGTCGTAAAGCGGAATTAGAGAGTGAATTCTTCCCGAGCTTAGGTGGAAATGGCAGCAGTCATAGGAGAATAAACGAATGCCCAGTGGGCTTAATCCAAACTGACGACTTGATGTTCCCGATGGTAGGATAGATTGGTCAGCCTTTCTTGTCTCCACTGAAATTTGTCAAATGTGTGCCATCCAACGCACATATAATTAGTACCGCAGTCGACCCCGCCGGTAAAGTATTCTGTCCAGAAAGCATTAGCGACTGTCACTAGAGCACTGGCTAGTGCGAGGCTTAGTACAGACCTGTATTTCCCACCAGCAATCTCCCGTATGCATTTCTCTATACATTCACTCGCCAGACTCATTTTGCTCTACCACTGGCAAATACATCAATGATTCCCGAAAGGCTCATTGGCCCAGAAGATATCGCATAATTACAATTGGATCCCGGTAATAGTAAGATATTTTCTCCCCCCCAATATCCACCTCCGAATGATGTCAGCTCGCTTTGCCTAATAGATCGTTCATTTCCTCCAACCTCTTGATAAAACCTCGCCCAGTCCTGTAGAAGTACTCGCCACTATTTACGGGAGTATATAGAAAGAAGCTATCGATGTTTCCCTGTGAGGCTTTCGAGTGTATGAAATAACGTGCTATTCTAAACTCATATACTGAGCGGAATGGATGCCAGGGGATCAGAGAAGGTTCTGTGAGCATTCGTCGTTGTCTTCTGAGTGGTAGAGATGCTCCCCAGAACCTTCATAAATTGTTGTCGCTGCCTTATGCCTATTTGCATCTCCATCCACCTCTTCCATCATAAAATATGATTTGGATTCTAGATCTGAACTATTACCAGGGTCTTGATCCAAACTATCCGAGTCCGAACCATAATGGGTATCTGAATAGCAGTCAGGAATGATTTTTGGGCTGTCATCAATGTTATCTGGTGTCTCTTCAAGTTGGTCGCGCTCCAGGAGTAAAAATTGATTTCCCAGCCATTCATCTGCTTCGAATGGATGAATCATTCAAAGATGTCTATCAAAGTTCGCGGAGGAGCTATACCTCTTGCTGCAAAATGGGCAAGATGATTTCATCGAAATGTCATGATGCTGGCAAAGTACTCTAAAATTTGGTTTCTGCTGAGGTCGAGGAGGCTCCTTCCTGCAGGTGGTGCAGAGTACTCGAACGATTTGATTTGTCATCTAATCAGGCTCTTCCCTGCAGAGTGCTTAAACGATTGGGTTTGTCACCCAATGGGGCTCTCACTGGCACCTGCACCCCTGTCAGCAAGGCGGACTTTCAATACGAGTTTGACATCATACATCTCTAACCTAATACAGACACAAACACCAGCAGGAAGAAACACCAACCACTACAACCAGGTGGACAGTGATGCTAAATTCTATCCCTCTGAGGATTCGCGAGTGCTCAAAGAGTACTCGCGAATGCTCTTCAGATCGGGAGAGGGTTCTCATTGCCAAATTCAATACTAATATCAACTACGAGCTCAAAAGATAGTACATTCTCTCAGAGTCAGCTTTCTCGAGAACAGAGCACCAACACCAACAAGAACACAAACACCAACAAGAAGACAAACATCAAGCCAACACCAGAATATTATTGACGTCACCCTTGGTACCGTCAGAGGATTCCCGAGTGCGCCTATAGCATTTGGATTATCTACGTCATATTTTGAAGCAAACATTGGGTATGAGCATCTGAGGATGCTCCTAGAGCATTCGTGAGTACTCTCTGGAGCGTAATAAGCTCAGGAAAAAATCTCTTCGTACTCGATATAAGAGCACCCTTCTTCCCCTTCCAGGTCGTGAGAAGTTCCTAACCATCTTCAAGTTCAAGTTCTTCTCTACCTCTCATTTCAAGTTTTCGGCAATTCTAGGTTTCAAGATTACGTCTTGAATTCGCATTCTTCAAGTTCCATCTTCAAGCTTTCAAGCTATCACACCTTGCAATGATATGTAAGATGGTATATCTCCCTCAATTTAATTAATGTCAGAACCATACTCACCACACGTTCAAATTAGGCTCCAAACACCTCTCAAAGCACTCCCGGTAGCTCACAGAATACCGATCAACCTCAAAAGAGTCGGAAGAAGCGCCAGCATAAACAAGACGAAGACGATACTAGTAGTAATAAGAGGTCCTACCGAAAAAACAAGAAACACAAATCGTTCCGAAAGTATAAGAAACACCGAAGCTCCTCAGGTCGCAAACTGTCTCGCAAAACTGTCAAAACTATTTTGGATGAGATACCAGAAACACCCTTGAGGCAGTCACTAGTACTATCCGGGTTCACACCGATCAACAATAGCCGAAAACAAAACCCCATACCTCCACCAATCTGGACTGAACCCCGGACTCCAAGCATAACTGCATCAGATATTGAAGTGCTCTTTCCACCTGAGTGGGGAACAATCCAATCTGATTCCGAGCCTAACGATCAAGACTCAGAAGCAGGCCCAGCAACAGGCTCAGGAAGAGGCCCACTAGCAGCAGTCTCCACTGCTTCCTCAGCATGCACCAGTGCTTCACCTGAGGCTTCTGTACGGACAACCGTACTTCCCGTTCGTTCTGCCCCAGCAGTACCCATAAGTGCTCCCGAAAGAAATATTGCCCCGAAGACCACAGTACATCGGCTCAGGTCAAGTGCAGTCCGCTCGACTGTCCCAGAAGCATCCCACACTCTTCCAAAAGCACCCGCCAGTGCCTCACAGAGGGCCCAACCACCGGAGACCCCTACATTCAATTACCGACACCCCCGCCGGTTGCCAGTCCCTCCTGTTACAGGCGCGTCCAGACCTTTAGTAGCAGAAAGCCTCTCACCGCTGGCAGTACGCCAGAGATGAAACATACCTGAAACACCCCCGAGTGTTCAAGAAGCATACATTAGTGCTCCAGAGGCATCCCCGAGTGTTCGAGAAATATTCCCAATCCTTCAAGAGACACCCTCGTGGCAGCGATTGCCTTTCAAGATGACTCAAGCAAGCAAAACAAAGATGACTCTGGGTTTACTCAACGTACCCAAAGTGTACACCCTCATCCACAACAGTCTGAAGGCGGAAATACAGAATGTGGGTTGGGTCAATAAAAGCATCTCCGTGATGGCTGCGTTCAATGCCCTATGCCTTTACTTGATGAACTTGCCCTCCCTCAACAGTTTTCTGCCAATTTGGACTGGGGGTGACTCCGATACCCATAGAGCACTGGCGAGTGCTCTACATTGGCTCATCGGGTATGTTGGTACGAAAGATAAGTTATCAACGGGACAGGGGTACCGTCAGTTCAAAGAGGTTGCTGGTAATAGTGATGATGATGAAGACGGCGGTGCTCAAGCAGCTGGAAGACGCTCTCGCAAGGGCAAAGAGTATGCACTACCCCCAGACCTAGTGCGACCTTCCATAATGGTCACCGTGGTAGACCCCGATGCTCTAGGAGCATTCTATATTATCGTCCCACCGCCTACCTATGACTGGAACGATCCCCTGAACGAGCTTTCCTTCATTGGAATTTTGACCAAGATAACGTTCTCTGAGCTATGCAACCTCATCCTGAAGCATACCACACCTGGCAGAGCAGTCAGGACTATCTGGAGAGGACTCGATAATATTCCTCCAGCAGCGGTTCGGCCGGTGGAGGTACAAATTACTGATTCAGAAGAACTGGCAGGTTGGATGAAGAACAGCAATGGGAGGCCTCAGGCAATATTGGCGGTACTCTACAGAGCAGGCACTGATGCTAATCTAGGTGGCGCTGAATCCCCCCCCGTTGAACCTCACTTTCCCTCACATTGAGGAAGATGATTACAGCATGATCGATCTTCCTGCAGAAGATTCGGATTATGAGGAGGGAAAGCATCGGATAAATACAAAAGGACTGAGGGTATATTTGCCTAGAACTGATGCTAGTAATCAAAGGCCAATTCAGACTATTGTTAGGCATCGCGATAGACAGCAGGATGCTATCGATGATTTAGACCCCAAATACTTTAGGAAGTATCCTTTGGGTGTCGGGGTTGCTGACCCAAACTTCGTGCAGGGGATAATCTGGACGCCTGCCGGGATAGCAGCTAAGAAAGCTGCTGACACACTCGTGGCTACAGGGGGAGGAGCTGAAGGAGGTGGAGGAGGCGGTGGTGATGGTGAAGGTGGTGGGCCAGCTGGAGATGGTGGAGGCGGTGTTGGTGGTGATGGTGGTGGGCATCTATCACGGGGACCGTAGGCAATAGACTGTGGTGCCAAGGAATACAACTGAGGTATTGACGTAGACGTGGACGTAGGCGTAAAGGTATACTTTGACTATGGACTATGGGGTGGCTCTACCTGGTATGATAAACCGGTTGGAGCCCTATGACGTAGTGTGGACAAAGAATAGTATTCGTGGAATAAATACAGATGTTGCGTAAAGAAGAAAGAGAAGAAGGAAAACAGATAAAAGCACAAGACAACGCCCCCTTATATATCCAACCATAGTCCAATGATGACTAATATCTCCGCGTAACAGAAACTAAAAGAACATAACAGAAATCCCCATTACAAATCCTAATACCACTACACAATACCTGCTTTCCTCGTTCCAGTCTATCAACTAGTCAAAGATACATAACTGCCGTTACAGACCACGCCCCCCTCTAAGGCCTACCTCCTGGTAGGCTTAGGCTTCCCTGGATAACGCTCATGGAATCGTTTAACGATATCATGTGAATGCTCAAGGTCCGATAGTGGTTGCCAGGAGGCTTCATCATATCCCATATATCGTACCAAATACTCAAATCTTCCTCTTCGTTTCCTCGAATCCAAGATATCCTCGACTTCCGATTCTTCCTCTCCTTCGATTTCAACCGGAGGTGGTGGCAACTGTTGTTGTCCCGGTAAAGGATCATTCGCATCGGGTGACAATAGCGAAACATGAAATACTGGATGAATTTTCATTGACCGGGGAAGTTCCAACTCGTAAGCATAGGGATTGACAATGCGCTTAACGTTATAAGGTCCAATACGTTTCCAGTCGAATTTCTTGGAAGGTCGTTTTGTTAGAATATGACGGGTCGATAGGAAAACTTTATCTCCTAAATGGTATCGAGGAGCTGGGGTCCGATTCCTATTGGCTGATTCTTCCTGTATTCTTTGCGCCCGAAACATCTCATTCCGTAAGAAGTCGATGATATCCTTCATTTCTCGCGCAATGCTATTAGCTTGATCTTCCGCCGTCGTTCTACCATGTTCCAAAGGCCCAAATGTTATCCTAGGATTTCTTCCCGAATTAGCATAAAAGGGGGAAACTTTTGTTGTTTCGGAAACGTGGTTGTTGGTTGCAAATTCAGCCATCGGTAGCCATCGGACCCAGTCGTCTTGTTGATAGGAAACATAGCTTCGGAGGTATTGTTCCATTATGGCATTGATTCTTTCTGTCTGTCCATCTGTTTGGGGGTGGAATGCAGTAGAGAACTTTGGCGAGATTTCCAGTCGATCACAAAGAGATCTCCAAAATTCCGCAACAAACTGTGTTCCTCGATCGGATACCATAGTGTCGGGTAATCCATGTAGTTTCCAGACGTTATCAATATATAGCTTTGCTACTTCCCGTGAATCCGCCTCCTTTGTCGTTGGTATCAAATGCCGCATTTTGGTTAGTCTATCTACCACGACCAAAATCGCATTATACCCATCACTCTCAGGAAGATCAGTCACAAAATCCATCGAGACGTCTGTCCAGGGCCCATCGGGGATTGGCATGGGGCGAAGTACTCCATAAGGTGCATTGTGTGATGCCTTACTACGGATGCACACATTGCAATTCCTGATATACTGATCGACGAACTTCCGCATCTGTGGCCAGTAATATTCTCGACTTAGGAGCTCCAGAGTCTTCGCTCTACCCGGATGTCCTGCAGATGGTTTGTCATGGTGTTCTTTTAAAAGCCTTAGTCGAAGGTCATCGTCGTCTGGTACATATAGCATGTCTCGATAAAGTAGCCGACCGTTGTTATCTTCTGTACATTCGGCGAGTGAAATCTTATTCGAGTGACGAACGCCGTTCCGGAGCATAGCGAGGATCTTATTTGGGAAACTATCTACTTGGTAAGCTTTTGAAAATAACTCCTCTACAGTAAACGCTCCTTCAGCGGATTCATTTGACAAAGAACCCGCGAACAAACTTAGCTTAGTATCCAAATTTTTTCGCTTCAGAATCACTTGACTCTGATGCGTCAACCGTTCATCCCCCTCTTTAGGTAGGTCACCTGACCTCCTAGTCAATGCATCTGGTTTTGTTCCTTGTTTTCCTGGTCGAAATTGTATAACGAAATCGAAGCGTGAAAGGAATTCAGACCAACGGGCTTGTCGACGATTTAACAATTTTGTTGTCATAAAATATTCAAGATTCCGATGGTCGCTAAGAACTTCAATTGGAAATTGAGCTCCTTCCAGGTGATGTCGCCATTCTTCGAAACATCGTATAATTGCTAAAAGTTCTTTGTCATAGATTTCGTAGTTGCATTCTGCAGGAGAATGTTTCTTGGAAAAGAAAGCAACTGGATGTAGGATTCCTTCGTTGTCACGTTGAGATAGGATTCCTGCTGAAACATAGTCGGATGCATCGGTTTCTATCACAATTTTTCGATCCGGATTAAAATGAGCTAAGATTGGCGCCGTTGTAAACATCTTTTTCAAAGTTTGAAATGCTTCCTCCCTTTCATCCGTCCAATCAAATTTAACATTCTTCTTCGTCAAGGCTGTAAGTGGAGCAACAATTTTCGAATATCCTAAAATAAATCGTCGATAGAAATTTGCAAATCCTAGAAATACTTGAACATCGCGAAGATTTGTCGGTGTGGTCCATTCCAAAACATCAATAACCTTCTTTGGGTCCATTCTATTTCCATTCGGAGTAAGAATTAAACCAAGATATTTCGTTTCCTGAACCATAAATTCACATTTTTCAGGTTTAAGGTGAACATGATTCTCATCAAGTACCTTTAGAACCTTTTGAATGTGTTCTTTATGTTCTGGTAGAGTTTCGGAATAGATAAGGATATCGTCTAAGTATGCCGTTACAAATTGGTCGAGATAGGGACGTAAAATATCATTGATCCAATGTTGAAATGTTGCAGGGGCATTAGCTAATCCAAATGGCATTACTGTATATTCGAAATGTCCATATCGAGTTCGAAATGCCGTTTTCCGTTCATCTCCCTCCGCTATCCTGATTTGATTATATCCCCAACGTAAATCCAATTTCGTATAGTATTTTGCTCTTGACAACTTAGCTAGGGTTTCCTTTAACAATGGTAACGGATATCGATTTTTAATTGTGATCGCATTTAGGCCTCGATAGTCAACACAAAGTCGAAGAGTTCCATCGTTTTTCTTTACGAACAATATAGGTGCTCCCGCTGGTGATTCACTGGCTCGAATGAATCCTTTAGGTAAATTTTCATCAAGATATTCCCGTAGTGCTTTCAACTCAATTTGAGACAATCCATATATAGGTCCATATGGTGGTCGTTTACCTTCTTCCAGTACTATCTCGATGTCGTGGGATGGTCGATGTGGTGGGAGAATCGAAGCGTCGTATTCTTTGAACATATGGAGACGATGGTGAAACTCTTTCGGTACTAATTGTTCAATGTTGACCGTAGATTTTTCGGTTGCTGAAACAATGACCGTATGGTGTTCCGGTAAGGGAATCGAGATACCATGAACAATGACTGCAGTTCCATTGAGTGAACAGTATTGACAACAGCTTCGAGAGTCAAAAACAAGTAGATTTTCTTTTGGTCGAATTGTAACATCATGTCGTCGCATCCAAGGTATCCCCATCACAATCGGATAATGTCCTAACTTCGTTACAAAACATGGCGCAACTTCCCGATGACCATGAATGTCTAGCGAGACATCGACAATGTGGGTAATTTTTCCTGACTTAATAGGCCTTCCATCTATAACGTCTACATGGCGGGGTATTTTGAGGGGGGTCATTGTAAGATTGTTGTGGCGTGCAAAAGATTCATCAATAAAAGCATATCCTGATACTCCAGTATCAATAAGGGCGTAGGTAGGTATGAAAGAATTTTTATTCTGTGAAATCGAACAAGTTACTACAAGTTGATTTCCATCCATTTCCTCCTCTGATACCGAAAAACCAGAAATACACATCCTAGAAAAATCCTTAAATGGTCCCTGGGCTAAGCCACTTAGTGCAGGGACAAATCTTTTGCCGACTCGTTATCGCTTCCGCCATTTTCTTGCACCGTCAACGCTGCTCCTCTCATAACAGGCCTCCTTGGTTGGTTTCCCGTTGCCCTCGCTTGGGGGCAATCCCTAACCATATGTCCAACACCTCCGCAATAAAAACATCGGCCCTCAACTAAGCGGGCATTTCTTTCGGTAGGGGAAGGGCGACGACGCCCTCCAGATAAATCCATTGGTACATCACCTCCCGGGCGGGATGAGGGATGACTTTCAGTAACAGGTGCATTGGCGACTGGGGCGGCAGCGCGGGGAGCAGAAATAGGACTTACTGGTGAAGGACGAGGGGCCGGAGTAGTAGTAGTGGTCCAGGGTTTTTTACTTCCTCGCTTAGCTTCTGCCGCTCGGCGACGATTATCCAACCGTTGCAAAAGTGTCGCACAAGCATTTACCGTTGCGGGAGTGTCATGGTGTATCATTGATTCATCGAGTTCCGCATTAATACCTTCCATCAAAGCCTCAATCCGAGAGACTTCATCCATACCCGACTCAGCAGCATACCGTTGAAACTCAGGAAAATAATCGGCGAATGTTCGATTTCGTTGACGGATGTTCCTAAGATTACTCCTAGCCGTACGCATCCGATCGGGGTCCCCAAAAGCAGTGTCCAAAACCTCATAAAATCGTAGCATAGAGGGCAAAGCAATGCCTTCTTCACTGACGTATTGTAAAAACTGATTAGCGGCAACGCCTTCCAATCTGCTGAATGCATAGGATAGTTTAGACTGTAGTGTGGGATAGCGATCGGCATTTCCCAATAACTTAATCTTCATTTGTTGCTTAAACAGGTGTAGTCTTTCTCGATCACGATCCCCCTTGAATACTTCAGGATCTGGGAGCTTCTCCGACCGATAGGTAGTATCTGTAACGGGTGGTACTGGGGGTGCAGGTGGAACATTGTCTTCGTTGGGTGCTTGCACAGGGGCGACAGCCTCAACAGGAGCCTGTTGAGCTCGGGCAGCAGCAAGATCTTGTTCAAACCTTCTTCTCGCCCTCTCGGCTTCCGCTTCTACCTCTTGTAAATCCGTTGCATATTGAGCAAGACCATGTTGGCACTGTTGGAGAAGCGCATAGGCTTCAGTTCCAACAGTATCATCGACCTGTGGATGCGCTTGAAAAAGGGCTTGGAGACTATCGCTGAGTTGTTGATAATCAATGGGTGCATGTTCCGACATTGTAAACTATGGTGTTGTATTGGTTGGCGATAGAGGACGCAACCTACGTATCACGGGGACCGTAGGCAATAGACTGTGGTGCCAAGGAATACAACTGAGGTATTGACGTAGACGTGGACGTAGGCGTAAAGGTATACTTTGACTATGGACTATGGGGTGGCTCTACCTGGTATGATAAACCGGTTGGAGCCCTATGACGTAGTGTGGACAAAGAATAGTATTCGTGGAATAAATACAGAGGTTGCGTAAAGAAGAAAGAGAAGAAGGAAAACAGATAAAAGCACAAGACAACGCCCCCTTATATATCCAACCATAGTCCAATGATGACTAATATCTCCGCGTAACAGAAACTAAAAGAACATAACAGAAATCCCCATTACAAATCCTAATACCACTACACAATACCTGCTTTCCTCGTTCCAGTCTATCAACTAGTCAAAGATACATAACTGCCGTTACAGCATCATTAGTCTCCTTTAGTATAGTCTCTCACCACCTTTCCTGTGGATTTCTTACTACTAAGATTTGAAAAGCTGCATAGATTGCTCTCTAAGCACTCGCGAGTGCTACTGAGATAGAGATGCTGTACGATTTGATGTTTTGAATTTCCTTTGTCTTGCGAGCATATATTAATGGATGTGTTTTATCTTATTAGATGAGATTTGATGAGATTAGATTAGATTAGATTATTCCGTTTCGTAATTGCATTGCTTTTATTTCAGAGTCGAGTCAAACTCCTAGGTTGCTCTCTGAGCACTCGGTATTGCTACAGAAAGTGCAGTAAAACGAGTGATTACAATGATGCGGTTGAGCGGATCCCTGCTGTAGGAGGATTAGCTGTACAAATTCTTCTTGATTAGCGGCGCAAATATTCTCGCCAAGAATTGATTTCTAATCAAAGATACCGCGAGTGCTCCTAGAGCACTAAGAATATTCCTGCGACCTATCAGAATGGCTCCCACTAATCACTCCTCCAGTTCAGTACCTCTTGCTCCAAAGCGCCCAGGACTCCTAAAACGACCTGAAGAACATGAAGATTTACTGACTGATGAGTTTGAGATACCTTACCGACTATTTACTCCACTACCAGCCAGCACTCGGAGTACTCAATCGACCACCGCCATCCAAGTAGCTTGCAAAGGCCTTCTCCGTTCTTCCAAAAGTCCCACTGGTAGAAGCAGTCCTACAAGGGTAGAATTTCATCTCCCCGGCGACCATACTGACCTTGTTGAAGTGCAGGAGCAGGCTCAAGCAATAGAGGTGCCAGAGGTGGAGGAAATAGTTCATACCAGCCAATCAGAGTATGATGATTCTCCAGAGAACGAGCCCGAAAGTTCTGAGGAGAATAAGGATGAACCGGAGGATGAACCTTAAGCCTCTAGCTGGAGGTCTCAAACTGTCAGAAAGAGACCTTGCACAGCTCCGGCGACTACTGCCAAAGTACTGGGCAATACTCAGAGGAATGCAACTGGCGCAGTAGCGGAGGTAATTGCTTCCTCCGATGTGTCAGTAGACGTGATACAGGTTTGACTCTATTCTGCTCATTTTATTGGTTTTATTCAATAGACTTGGAGGTTAATGGTTCAGAGGGGAGCTCGACTGGGCACAAAGGTAATCCGGAAACAAGGTCAGGGTAGAGCAGCACCCATTTCGAAACCCAGCGAGAATGCATATCAGAGAGCACTCCCGGCATCCCAGAGAGCACTGCCGGCATCCCAGAGAGCACCCACTTCGGCACTCAGCCAGAATGCATCTCAGAGAGCACTGCTGGCATTCCAGAGAGCACCGCCAGTACCCACACAGTCTAGGCCTTCTGAACCTGTTTATTATTCTCATGATTACAACTCTTCAACGCGCCATATCGATCTTTCCTCAATGCGCTCTCAATACGGGGAGTCCTTACCTACTTACTGGCCATATCGTTCTTCACCTCCCATTGACGGAATTGGCGAGAGCTTTGTGAGCAGTCCCCAGATTTCTTCAAGCCCTCAAATTCCTTCAGCCCAACCTCACAGCAAAATTCGATTGCAAGGAGTCTACGAAATCGACTATCTTCCCTAATCCAGAGAGAATGAGAATGCTTTGACGGTGGAAAGCAAGGTTAGTATTCCAGAGATCACTCACGACATCTTTGGGAGTACTGTTGACATTCCTGGGAGCTAATTGGCTCAGAGGTCTTTGTTACCCAACTCGAGGAATGCAAATGTGCTCTCAATGCAAGCACAGAGGATTGAGAAAGTTTCATGCATCCACTAGTGAATACACTGGGTTACGAGGAATTGGATTAGTCAGAAGGGTTCTATTGGATTCTACCGGGTTTTATCGATTGTTAATGTATGAGTCAACTTGTATTTGTCATCGCTGGGATTTTATTGGGTATATTAAGGGGGATTCGTTCTTATTTCTTGTTCTTTTCCTTCTCTTTCTTTCTTTCTCTACGCAAAATCTTCTGTACCTACACTGTCTATTACTATACAATATTATCTTCCTCTTCTTTACTCGAGAATACCACCGCTTCGCTGTCAACCTGTCTCATTGACCCTTACTGACGCTAGAGTCCCTCAGGACCCCTATTGCGAGTTCCCACACCGACTTCTACTATGCTCTTCGTACCCTGCGGAATACTCGCTACTCACCTCCTTGAGATTACGTTGCGTCGTCATCCGCACCGTACGATGTGTCCACCCCCGACCCACCTACATGCGCCCCACCCAACGATTTAGAAGAATTCCAGCGGCAGTATGAGGCCGGCGCTGCTGACTTATTTAACAAAATCGCCGTACTTGTCCAACGCATCCGCCTCGAGAGGGATACCTCCCGTACACAACTCACCGCCGCCAATGAAACCATTGACAATCTTGAGGAGCAGGTAACCTAGCTCAACCTCGACCTCAATGTCGCTCGCGCCGCCCCCACCCCTACCGCCTCTGTCCCCGTTGCCGCTGCTCCCCCAGCTGCTACTGTCCCCGCCTTCAGGTCCGAAAAGTTTCCAGACCCTAAAAAATTCGACGGCACCCATACCAAGCTACCCGGATTCACCACCCAACTCCGAATGAAACTTGAGGTCAATCATGATCGATTCCGAAACGAGGCAGCAAAAATTATCTATGCTGTTAGCCGCTTGGAAGGAAGGGCCCTTGACCAGGTTGTCCCACTCATTAATGCTAACCCTGCTGCCCCCTTCTCCTCTGTTACTGCCTTCGTTGCCCACCTGGAAGCCTCGTTTGGAGACACAGATCCCCGGGGTACCACCCGTCGCCAACTCGTCGCCTTGAAGCAAGGCAAGGGGGACTTCGCCACCTATTACTCACAGTTCCTCCGTATTGTAGCTTTCATGGATCGACTAGTGGATATACGGGGTTATGAAGAGTCAGATTAGTCAGAAAGGTTCTATTGGGTTCTACCGGGTTCTGTTGATCGTTAATGTATGAGTCATGTTGGATTTGTCATCGCGGGGATTTCCTTGAATATATTAAGGGGGGTTTTGTTTGTATTTCTCGTTCTTCTTCTTCTTCTTCTTTCTTTACGCAACGTCTTCTGTATCTACGCTGTCTATTGCTATACAATATTATCGTCCTCTTCGTTCTTTAAGGAGACTACCGCCTCGCTTTCCCCTTGTCTCGCCGAACCTTACCAACACTAGAGTCCCGTAGTACCCCTATTGCGAGTTCCTATACCGTTCCCTATTACACTCTTCGTACCCTGCGGAATACTCACTACTCAACCCCTTGAGAGTAGCCTACCTAAACTACAACGAAGGAGCCAAGATCGATGCCCTGGCCGAAGGACTGTCGGAAGATCTGAAGGATGCCATGACATACCGGACAGACAGGCCTAACACGGTAGAGGCATGCGTGACCATGTTAATGACAATCGAAAACCAGGTTCGGGGCCGTAAAGTGGAACAACGGGCCATCCGTAATACGATGGGACAATTTACCGCCCCCGCCGCTGTCGCACACCTATTTCATACCACCGGAGGCCTCGCTCCAATGGACCTCTCCGCCCTCCAAGTCCGTCCCGCTCAACGCTCTACCATCGAACAACGATACACCTTTGTCAAAGGACAACGCAAAACCTCTGCCGCCGAAAAATAATGGCGAAGGGACAACAACCTCTGTATGTACTGCACCAACCCCGGCCATATCTTCGCCAACTGCCCCTCTGCCAATCACCTGCATAGTAATCAACCGGTTATGAGGGGTGCCCTCCTCGCACCCAGCCATACGGCCGTCGACCCCGCTGCCCCATCGATCGTTAGTCCCGCCTCCTCTGAGTCGGGTTTTCAGTAGTCCCAGGCTTGATCAATGGCCCCTGCCCGGGACCTTCTAATGTTTCTCCTTTGTCTGCATTCTCGAACTCTGGCTTCTTGGTATCATCTGTGGAGGATAAATTGCATGGGGATCATTTTGTTGCTTCGTGTAAAATTGTAAACAATAAAATATCCATTCAAACCCACGCATTGATTGATACTGGTAGCTCCAGGTTCGCATTCATTGATGAAACATTTGCGCACTATAACAATCTCCCATTTCTCTCCCTTAAATCACCCCGCACTTTTGAAGTCATCGACGGACGGCCCATATCTTCCGGACAGATTACCCAACTCTGCTACCTACCGCTATCAACTGGCTCCCACCATGAAACTATCCCCTTCTTCGTCACCAAACTCAGCTCATACCCACTCGTACTCGGAATCTCTTGCCTTCAATTACACGACGCCACATTACGGTTTAAGGACAATAGTATACTGTTCGACTCCGAATACTGCAAGTGCAAGTGCAACTCCTCCGTAATACCCGTTCCCATTAGATGGATCGCACCACCACCCCGTCTCCATCTCGTCAGTTCAGCTGCTCTCTACCGCTTCGCTCGAAGGGACAAGCTCCAAATCTTCAGCACAACTATCGAGGAAATAGACTAAGCCATGGGCGAGCCCCATAAGGAAGACTGGAGGAACCGAGTCCCAACCCGGTACAAGAGGTTTCACAAGATGATGGATGAGAAGTTCGCTAATGAAATGCTGCCTCGCCGCCCCTATGACCATAAGATACCGCTTAAGGAAGGGAAAGAACCCCCGTTTGGGCCACTTTATGGTATGTCCCGTGAGGAACTCATCGTGCTCAAGCAATAGATACAGGACAACCTCCAAAAAGGCTTCATTCAGGTCAGCTCTTCACCTGCCGGTGCCCCTGTTCTATTTGTTAAAAAAGCCGATGGAATACTCCGTCTCTGTGTCTATTATTGTGGCCTCAACAGACTCACTGTCAAAAACCGCTACCTGCTGCCGCTCATCCGAGAAACTCTCGATCGCCTCTACAAAGCCAAGTGGTACATCAAACTTGACCTTCGCCAAGGGTATAATCATGTCCGAATGGCGGAGGGTGAAGAATGGAAAACAGCCTTCCATACGCGCTAGGGACAATTCGAATATACGGTGATACCCTTCGGCCTTACCAATGCGCCGGCCATCTTCCAACACTTCATTAATGATTGCGTCTGTGACTACCTTGATATGTTCTGTACAGCCTACCTTGACGATATTCTCATCTTCAGCGACACCTTCGAGGAACATCAAGTACACGTCGAAAAGGTCCTGGAAGCCCTACAAAGAAATGGAATACTGCTGAAACCAGAGAAATGTGAATTTCATACACAAAGCACCACCTACCTCAGACTCATTATCGTACCCAATAGTATTAAAATAGACCCGAAGAAAGTGGAGACAGTGAAGAATTGGATCATCCCCAAAACAGTTAAGGATGTGCAAGCATTTCTAGGTTTCGTTAACTCTTATCGCCGATTCATACGCAGATTCTCGGAACTGGCTTCCCCCCTTACCAGACTGACACGTAAGGACATATCATTTGAACGGACACCTAAAGCCCAAACTGCGTTCAACGCCCTGAAAGAGGCCTTTACAACGGCTCCCATCCTTACCCATTTCGACCTGGAGAAAGAAATTACTGTGGAAACCGACGCATCTGACTATGTCGCTGCCGGTGTACTCTCCCAATACGATGATAATGGTACCCTTCGACCCGTCGCATACTTCTCAAAAAAACATTCTCCAGCCGAATGCAACTATGAGACTTACGACAAGGAATTACTGGCGATTATTCGATCATTTGAGGAATGGCGACCGGAACTTGAAGGGGCTACACACCCAATCGCCGTCATATGCGATCATGAGAATCTCGAATACTTTATGAGTACTAAACAACTCAACCGGAGACAAGCACGGTGGGCAGAATATCTGTCACGGTTTAATTTTGTTATCAAGTACCGACCAGGGAAACAAGGAGGGAAACCGGACGCGTTGACAAGAAGATCAGGAGATCTCCCTGGAGAGGGGGATGAAAGACAGTTGCATCAGAGCCAAGTTGTGTTGAAGAAGGAGAATCTTGATGCAAAGCTAAGTTTGTTGGCGGGTTCTTTCTCAAACGAACACGCTGAAAAGAACGCCTCACTGCATGGAGTATTCGATGAAGGATATAGCGCTGACCCATTTCCCGAAAAGATACTGGATATGCGGAACAAAGGTGAACGACAATCAAAGGACATATCACTCGCCGAATGCACCGAGGTTGAAGGTCGATTGCTTTACCGAGGCAGCATATATGTCCCTAATTACGATCCTCTTAAGCTGCGAATCCTGCAACTTTACCATGACGCCGCCTCTGCTGGACACCCGGGACGTGAAAAAACATTCGAACTCGTCAGTCGAGACTACTACTGGCCCCTTATGAGAAATTATATTGCCCGCTACATTCGGAACTGCCACACCTATCAACGAAGCAAACCCAATACCCATGGAAAACTCGGCGTACTTCGACCTTTACCGATTCCCGAACAACCATGGCAGGAGGTATCAATGGACTTCGTTACTGGCCTACCGGAGAGTGAAGGGTACGATGCAATTATGGTAGTGGTTGACCGGTTAACAAAGATGCGACATCTCCTGCCCTGTAATACTACTGTCAACTCCGAAGACGTCACCCAACTATATCTGCGAAAATATGGAAGCTCCACGGACTACCCACACATGTCACCTCCGACCGCGGTACGCAATTTACAGCTAAGTTTTGGAAGGTTCTTTGTAAACACCTCGGCATCGAAGCCACAATGTCCACCGCTTTCCACCCGGAAACCGACGGCCAAACTAAAAGGCTGAATGCTATAATGGAACAATATCTACGTGGATATGTCTCTTATCAACAGGACGATTGGGTAAAATGGCTCCCTATGGTAGAATTCTCTGCCAACAATCAGGTCTCCGCATCCACCAAAGCTACATCATTCTTCGCGAACTATGGTTTCCACCCCAGTTTACAGTGACGATCAAATCGCTTGACAGGACCCCACCAAGCCTCAATGCTAATGACTTCGCCTCGAAGATGAAAGAACTCCACAAACAGCTACGTTCCAATATTAGCACGGCACAAGACCAACAAGAGCAGGCCTTTAATGCCAAACGAACGCCGACTCCACAGTACGATATCGGCGATATGGTGTTTGTTTCAGTAAAAAACATCCGAACCACCCGTAACTCTCGGAAGTTGAACTGGAAGAAACTGGGACCATTCCCCGTCAAGGAAATCATATCGCCATATGTGTACCGAGTCGACCTGCCTAGAAGTATGAAAGTGCACCTCATCTTCTATGTATCGTTGCTAGATCCCGCTGCAATCGACCCTGTCCCGGGGCAAACTCAACCACCACCCCCGCCTATTATCGTTGAACAGGAAGAGGAGTATGCAGTTGAGGAAATCTTGGACTCAAGAGAAACAAGAAACAACGGCTTGCAATATTTTGTTAAATGGACAGGCTATACCGACCCTACCTGGGAACCCGTCACATACCACGATAATACCGCCGCCGTTGATACCTTCCATATACGTCACCCTGCAAACCTGGACTGCTGGAAGGGAAGATTAAGATTAAGGCTCGCAGAAGATCGCGCTTGAAGGGGGGGGCTACTTTCATGGATCGACTAGTGAATACACTAGGTTACGAGGAATTGGATTAGTCAGAAGGGTTCTATTGGATTCTACCGGATTCTGTCGATTGTTAATGTATGAGTCACCTTGGATTTATCATCGCTGGTATTTTATTGGGTATATTAAGGGGGATTCGTTCTTATTTCTTGCTCTTTTCCTTCTCTTTCTTTCTTTCTCTACGCAACGTCTTCTATACCTACGCTGTCTATTACTATACAATATTATCTTCCTCTTCTTTACTCGAGAATACCACCGCTTCGCTGCTCCCCTGTCTCATTGACCCTTACCGATGCTAGAGTCCCCCAGGACCCTTATTGCGAGTTCCCAAACCGACTTCTACTATCCTCTTCGTACCCTGCGTAATACTCGCTACTCACCTCCTTGAGAGAAAGAGTGCAGCATATTAATTGGGGAGCATATGCTTCTACATGAGCCGTTTCCACCTGTAGTAAGGCTTTCGGTACTGGTTGTGAGCATATGGGCAACTGATAGTCGCCGGGTGGGGTGTAAGGTAGGCCTTGATGAGGTAGTCATTAAACAGTTGAGTGCCCCTGAAACGATTACGAGTGCTCTGGAAGCATAATTGAGAACGATAGGTCAGAAGTCTGCACTCCCGTATCTGTTCCCACTTGATGCATGAGGTAAAAGGGCACCTGGTGGACTCTACGATATACGAGCTTGGAAATCTTGTGGGGCTTGAGGCAAGGACACCTTATGTCGAATATCTTTTAAAGAATGATCGTTTCTTGAACCTCCAGTAGCATTATGAGGTATGATCAATACCCAGAGAGCACCCGGAATGCCCACAGAGTACCCAGAAATACTCAGAGAGCACTCAAGAAAGGTGTTAACAGATACTAGACCTACCGACTGCGCCTCCTTGCCCCAGAAATCGTCGATATATTGTATTTTAAATACCTTCATGGCATCAGGATGCGAGGGGTTAGGGACCCCGAATTCCTAGAGCGGATAACCCCTACACTCATTTGCTTGATATCGATGGCGATCTGTCACGGTATTTGGGCATGGTCGATAGGGACTTATGTTAAGCCTGATCATTTTCAGTCGCAGAATGAGAGCGTTGTTAGTAAGTATTGCCAAATGCCCTCACTGGTATTATGGGTGCTTGGAGAGCAGTGATGGATGCTCTCAGAACTCTGCAGACTCCTGAGTGCTTTGGGAGCAGTGACGGATGCTCTCAGACCTATAATGGATTACCGAGCTGACATCCCTACTCGAGGAGAAAAGTTTAACAGGATGAGCAATACATAGAAGGGGAGGAGTAGACAAAATCAGGAGGCAATCTTGTAGGTAATCAAGGATAATCTTTGAGAAAAGGTATGCTACTATGGTGGCAATGGGTGTTCTATTCTAAATACTTACCTTGATAAATACGAGAAAAGAAGGGTGTAACGATTGAGGTGATACCGGAGGATGGGTTTAGTGAGGACGATGAAGCTTTGACTGCGGATCTTGCCGCATTCCGAGATGCTCGGAAAGTACTCAGGGGTGCTCCAGGAGGTCCTTCAAGTTCTGACAACGGCTAGGACGAGGTTATTTATGCCCAACTTCGCGGCATTGACAGTGAAGAGGAGGGAGAGAAGGAAGAAGAGGAGCAAGAACTACCAGTAGCGGGGGATTGCGAAGGGGGCGGGGAAGAAGATGTCTAGAACACTCACGAGTGCTTAGGGAGAATACTCGATAGTGCTTTGTAAGAATACTCGCAAGTGCTTAAGGAGAATACTCCCAAATGCGTGGGGAGAAAACTCCCAGGTGTGTTGGGGATAGCTTAAGATTTGTTCCGATACATATTTTGTATTATATCCAGTAAGAGAGTTCAAAGAGGTATTGTCGTTAGTATTTAGTAATAGACAGGGGATCACAGTCTTGAGTACTCTCTAAACAATCTCGAGTCCTCTGTAAACAGTAGAGATCATAAGGGTATACCTGGAGAGAATAGGGCTTCAGGGGTGCGACATGTTCAAAGACCCGATCTCAGGCCCCGCTGGAGCAGTCGGAGTACTCCAGGAGCTGCGGGAGCAGTCATAGTGCGTTCAGGGGAAGTCAAGAGATACGAGCGCCTAACTGGTGCTCTCAGGTGAGGGGACTAGCATCGGGGTAGCGCCGAGCACTGGCGCTCAGTGTCCAGGCAGGGTTGGAGGGCTAGTGCACACCGGGGTAAACTAGGGTGCACCGGGGTGGAAAGATGCGCGCCAGACTGCGCCAGGAGCACTGACCATATCTCTGGAGAGGTAGTTTAACTACCGAGCGCCCTGAGCACTCTGAGCGCCTCAGGCATCTGGTGAAGGCTGCAGGTTTGCTGATGTCCCTCTAAAAACACTTTCCAGCTCCTCACTACAGATTCCAGCTCCTCGCTACCACTTCGAGCTCCTAACTCCTCTTCATCCTATCCGAAATGCTCAAGTTCAAAGAACATTAACCAAATCTGAAAAACCATTGAGTGAAAAAAACTACGGACCAATGGAAGAAATTATAGCTTGAGAACGAGATAGCGCCACCGATTGCAATACCAAAAGCTACTTCCACCAGAAAAAAGATAGAAAATAGCGAAAAAGTTAGATCAAGTAAGTAGAAATTTGATCAAATTGCAAAGTGACATACTAACACACACACAAGATTTCACAAAGAGGAACTTCATAAGAACCCAGCTTGCAAGAAGATAGAGAAATCTTCAGATATAACTCCATGGCTTTACTAGACAGGGTCAGGCCATGATGTGCAAGAGCACTATCAGCCTACAATTATAACAAGATTTAAGGTCATTTGAATGCTCTATTCGGAGGCTACCGAGGGAGAGTCACTCTCTAAAAGAATATGTAGAGAAGTTAACACTGTCCGTCCATCACACCCTAATTTCATCTCCTATATAATTTATGAGGTACTGATATTTTACAGTTTATAAGAACAAAGATAGCTTAAACTTGTAACCTCAAGACCGGAGAAGAGGAAAAGCTAGTAGTGATAGCAAGTTGTTTTATTTGACTCATTGGGGGCCTTTGGCAATGCCATAATAACATACCTAGTCGAAAGATGGCCCAATTCTTATTCAATATGAAACTCATGGCATATACAGCCAGTAGACCTGGTACTTTATCTCAAGGGTGAGAGTAGCGAGTATTCCTCAGGGTACAAAGGGGTAGTAGAAGTCGGTGTAGGAGCTTGCAATAAGGATCCTGAGGGACTCTAGCATTGGTAAGGGTCAACAGGCCAAGGAAAGCAGCAGCACGGTGGTCTTCTTGAGTAAAGAAGAGGAAATAATATTATATAGTAATAGACAGTATAGGTACAGAAGACGTTGCTTATCAAAAGAAAGAAGAGAAAGAGAACAGAAACGAAGGCAAAACCTCCTAATATACCCAAGGAAATCCCAGCGATTATAAATCCAAAGTGACTCATACACTTACGACCAACAGAACCCGATAGAACTCAATAGAACCTTTCTGACTAATTCTAACGGAGTGGGGTTCTATAACAAGGACGTAGGCACATTCCGAGGCAAGGATCGATTCAGATACATTCTAAGACGAGGACAGGGGACCGAGCTGAGTACCGATTGAAACAGAATAGAATGTTACTAACAAACAGGATGAAGACGTTGCGTAAAAAACAAAGAAGAAAAGTTCAAATAACAAGCACAAAGCCTCGAATATAAACCCCAAAGAATAACCCAATAACTAATCCTCGCAACCACAGCTAAATAAATATCAAACAGATATAATATCCCACAACTGATCCCGATCCTTCTCCATTTAACCCAGTGTATTAGCTAATCGATACATGAAAGTTCATCTTCATCATAGTCATCCACATATTCATAGTCATCTTCATAGATATACAGAGCAGCGTCGTCCTCCTCTAGATGATCATCAAGTCCGAACCACTAATGTGAGGAGTATTTCTCCACCACTTAACCCTCAGGATAGCTATCGAAGCTCTCTAAAAGGTTCACTGGGCCTTTACCAAAATCTGTATCGGCCTCTGTTGTTGATCCAGAAACTATAGAATTTACAGAGGTGAAAGAGCTGGCCACACTAGGAACACTCATTGCACCCCATGAGCGTTTATTAACAGAAGACAAAATTGGGGCATGCTGATTAGGTCTATCAAGAATCAAGCATTTCTGTGATTTTGGTATGAGAGGCATGGTGGTAATGGTAGTGGTGGTGATGGTGGTGGTGATGGTGGTTGAGAGCAGAAGTGGGCATCTTGAATACCGTAATGAATGCCTTGAAGGTCTCTACTATATAGTACTATTAATGGTTTTTCTTTGTCTCTTGGCGATAAATGATCTAACCTGATATAGTTATACCGATCAGAGCCAAAGGTTTTAGAAGCCTTTTCAATGGCTCGCTAAAAATCCACTAGTGTACATTTAAGGTATATGACTGCTAACATATCACGCTAATCTATATTAGGATAGTAACTGCATCTTGAAAAAATAAACATGCTTCAACAACCAACAAAACACAAAGAAACAAACAAGCTTAATAGACTATATCCTCCCAACTTGAAGGAGCCTTTCCCATGCCTTGATAAACCCCCGATGAGCCTTTCGAGTCCCATAATAGACCTTGATAACCACTTTACTAACGATGATAATTTAGGCTAGATGGTCCTCTTCATCCTACTGATCCTCATCGCAATTATTGTATTGATCATGTCTATCTCCCTCTATGCCGTTATTCGCTCTGAACAGGTGATTTTTCTCAGCGACAGTCCAAAAGCGGGTAAGATCGTAATGGCAAGAATCAAAGTTAATGCCATTAGGGAAGTGCCGTCTATAATGCCTATTGAGGCTTCTCCCAAGCATTTGAAACCTCTCGATACACTCGTAGAATACGGTCAATATGACTTCAAAATCTCTAACTTGAGTGAGGATCGGAAATTTCAAATCTTTCTTATTCACTCTATCTGTGAATTGAAAGATTTCTTCATCCGCGTCAAGTTCGACTGGAATTAGATCATCCGATGTCAAGTCATGCTACCTATTGAGAGAGGGAGTTTGTGGCCTGTGAGCAGCCCGCCTAAGCAGTGCAGTAGGCCTATTGAGAACCGCGTGAATTCTCGATGGTTTAGCCTCACTGGTTTTGAAGCAGGCTTCCAACTCGTCGGCGTCACCAATACGACAATATTCTGACTTTTGTGGATACACATTGACACTCCGGGGTAGAGAATTATTGATGGCTCTATAGAAGCCTCGAATAACCCTCTCGGAGATGCCCACAGTGAGTGTTAGTACACGCTTCATCGCAATCTTTGTCAACTCTTGCAAGCTAACATCCTGAAGAAAGGCAAGTGCGGGAGGTAGGGATGCTGGACTGAACCATTCATATTGATGGTAGGCAGCACTTCTTGTGGTTCTTGTCTTCATTGGGTTAAAAACATGGATAGTTATTGTAAGTCTAGGTGTGATTCCTAATTCCTTCCAATGATCATCGGAAGAGCCTTAGACAAGGTCTTCTGAAGCTTATATAGTATCTAGTGCACGGTCTATACGGTGTGTATTCTACTGGACTTCTGGGTTTGATCAACGATAAGAACATTGAGGGCTGCTACTATTCTCTGAGAGTTCCTCGAAGCCTTCCGTATGAATGTAGGCTTCAAGGCCCTAATAGTTCTATAGTCGATTGGGTAGGTAACTAAATGATTATATGAATCCTCTCCAGACGTTAGCTTGCTAACCCACTCTAGCCTAATTATCTCTTCCTCCAGGTCAGTATGCAGAGCCCTGTAGAGGGCATTCTTCTCAGTAAGCTGCAGCACCTGCCTCATTTCTGCGATTATGTTATATCTAAAAACTGCTGGTTGTCTTCCTCTTAGAGCCATTTTTGGAGATATTGGGGTGCCTTCTTTAAATATAAGCCGAGGCTTTTTGGAGACGTGATAAGCTTTCCTTACTTGTGCTAGAGCCTTTGAAAGATTCTGTATAGGTTTGGGATAAGCTTGCTCTCTCGTGTCTATGGAATCTTCATATGATTCGATGCCAAGAGATTCGGGGGATGATAATCGTTCGTGGAAGGATATGATGGTTTGTAAGCTCTCCCTGAATGGTACAATGAGCTCAGGAGAGGAATGCCTGGGCAGTGTTTCCTATAATATAGCACAAAGTTCAAAGCCTGAATGCTCTTTCGGAGGGTTTGGCAGGACCTTTTTATTTTCGGAACTTCCGCCAACGCTTGATTCAACTTTCAGTAAATAATCTCGGTTAGGTTTAATAGGGTCTTTTTGTTTGCGTGTTGAGCTTTTTGAAGAGCTTGATAGGGCTTCCCAATTTGAATCCGATAAGAAATCAGGAGGGTATAGTGGTGGCCGTGTATCTAGATATCAACAATGATTCTGACAGAGTTTAGACACAGGAGATCTAACCATTTTATACATAGATGAGGATGGATGACATGAAAGGCAGTTGATATTGTATTCAACTAGAGTTAGGTAGATTTGATAGCATAGATAGCATTCTTGAAAGCTCCTGGAGGTTGATGGAGGTTGATTGGAGCTTATATACATGTATATATACTATTCTCGCTATAGCAAATCAAACCGTACTATGTCAGATATTAGATATTTGTGTTGGAGTTGGATGATAACATTTCACTCGTTGAATTAGTACAAGCGAGCTTAGTGCTATCTTTTGGCATCAGTGCCAAGAGCTCAGATCAGTAACTCCTGATGCATACTTTAGGGAGAATTTCCAAAGGTCTGGGGAGCCTTTCCAATGCCTAATATCAACAATGAGATCGCATTATCCATTTTGCATACGAACCTAATCGAGCCCTAGAGATTTTGATTGACATTTGGCGAAAGAGCATTCGGGACAGGGAGCTGAATGATATAATACGCAGCTATTCCTGCAATACGAAGAAGCATTTGGAAGCCTTCAGGGATGCCTAGGAGAGCACAATGAGGATTCGAATTTGGCGGAGTACTATAAATCAGAATCTGACGAAGAACCGAATTGTGATTTGGACTCTGTACGTCCGTAGTTTAACCTAGCCACTACGATATATGAGGCTGCAAGAGAGACCCTTTTCCTAACACTGGGATAGAATGAGGTTACAGAGAGCTTTCTCATAAGCCCATGGAGTCCGCTACAGTCCGCAGAGGAATTCAAATTATCGCATTGGTTCCTACGATTTGGGGTGTCGCAAGGGCAAATAGACGATTATTATCACTCCGCTAGCCTTCCAAAAGGCTTCAACACAACTGGTAGAGGCCTCGCATCCTGTCTTGATGAGATGTCTTCTGGGGACTCTCTTGGAACAGAGAGTTGTGTGTACTCAGAGGTTAAAATAGTTGGTCAGGTGGTGCCTTACTACTACCGCGATCCTATTATGATACTACGATTCCTTTTAGGGTAGCGTGCATTCAGGGATTCATTATTGTATGCCCAAACGATGAAGTATAATGAGATGGCAGAATGAATGTATGGGGAAATGCATACAGTGGACTGGTGGTGGGAGATGCAGGTTTGTAAAGCCCTCTTGAATGTGTACTGAGCGTTTACTAATGGATGTTAAAAATACTCTGCCAGAGGAATCAATGGTCGTACCATTGATTTGCGTATCAGATGGCACCCACCTAATAAATTTCAGTGAGGATAAAAAGACTTGGCCTGTTTATTTAACGATTGGAAACATAATATCGGAAACTCGAAATAAGCCCTCTAATTACGCGATTGTATTACTACCACTACTACTTGTTCCACTGAAGTCAGGAGTGGGGGAATGTGTAGATAAACAGTATCAGCAGAGCCAGCTGACTATTTACAAAGTCTTCAGAGATATTATCGAAGGCCTTCGGAGCCCTGATCAGAGTCGGAATCTGATAGCATGTGCGGATAGTTTCGAACGATTTTGTTATCCGAAACTATACGCATGGCTTACGAATCACTCAGAGTACACCCCATTACTAAACATCAATAATTGTGCCTGCCCAAAGTGCGATGTTGACTTCAAAGGCCTTGGAGGCCTTCAACAAAGTTCGCCTCGGATTCAAGAGAGATATATAGAAATAGCCGAGCGGTATAAGATGAATACCTTCGATAAGGCACCTATGGAGTACCTGATATCGAAGTTCATTAAGACTCTCTACAATACCTTCTGGCCTTTGCCAAAGGTCAATGTGTACGATTTTCACAAGTCAGATATTTTGCATAATCTTTCTCTGGTATTATGCAAACATATGATGGGATGGGTTCAGTTGTTCCTGAAGAATCACAAATGCCTAGAGGGATTTGATCAAGCATAGGTATCTGTTGAGCCTTATCCAGAGCTCTCTGTATCTAATAAGTCATATCGGACAACCACTCAATGGCAAGGTAAAGAAATACAACATCTTGATCTGATAACATTAGGAGCCTTTTCGGTAGCTTTTTGGAAACCCCCAACAGCCTTAATAAGGGATTTCAGGAGAGCGTTGAAGTATGTAAGAGCGCTAATTGATTTCCATCTAATGGCACAATATACAACACACAGTAGGGAGACACTAGAATATCTACAGGTTTACCTCGAAGAGTTCCATAAATACAAAGATGTATTTCTGGAATTTAGGGCCTATAAACGCACTAAGAAAGATATAAAAGATCGAACTAGGGCAATACAAGGCCCCGTAAGCCTTGAAAAAAGCCTGAAGGAGCTTGAGAGCATTCGCAAGGGTTCCCATTTCAATTTAATTAAGATGCATCTACTATCACATTTTAGAGATCATTTGGAGCGCTTTGGGAATGTACTAATATTTTCAACAGATATTAGCGAGCTCACTCATAGACAACACATAAAAATGGCTTACACAGTCTCAAATAAGATCGATGCAATCATTCAAATTCTCGAGGCATATGGCAATGGAAGTACCGGTATTAAATCTGAAAGATGTTGTTCTTTCTCTTCTAGAATATTACGAGGGCTTAGGGAGCTATCAGGAGAGTCTGCGAGATATAATAGACATCTTCAATAATGAAGACCGGCAAAGGGTAAAAAACGAAGGGGGGGGTTTCACCAAAACCTAAGTTGGCAGCAATAGATAGTACCGCTACTAGGTTATCACATATCGTGAATGCTATCAACATTAATTAAACAGTGCTGGTAAGGGCAGTATCGGAATACAGTAAAGGGTTAAGCCGGATTGAAGATGGCTTATTGAGCTATCTTAACAATCCCGTGAGGTGTTTTAAATGCCTACAGATTCCTGTGTTTGTTTTTCTAAAACCCGAGAGTTACGAGATTCATAATGTAAAGTATACAGGTGAGGTATTATTTAGGAAGCGGGCAATACAAAATGACTGAGCGTGGATTAAAGTAGATACCACAGAACCATGGGGTGCATTACAGGAAAGATTACCGGGGCATGTACGGGCAATATTCCAGCTACTTGACAGTGCTATAAGCAATGTGTATCAAGTCGCCTTTATTAAACTGCTAGAGGCGAGGGACAGAGGCCTTCCAGAAGGCTTACATGGTCTTTTGAGAGTCGGAAGGTGCTCCTGACAAAGGTTTTGGGTAGTGAATATACCAAGCATCTTGGGAATGGCCTATTTGTTTCAAGTAGGGAAAGGTCAATGGTTAGTAAATACTAGAATAGATTTGAAAACATGGAACGAGTTTCTTATATGAGGGTGCAGTAGATAGATATGTAATAAAAGAAAGCTCGCTGAGCATTATTGAAAGCTTGACAAGTCGTAACGCAAACATTACAAAGTAACATAGCTCGAGGTGCTTCGAAAGGCTCGGGGGACCATTGCAAGAACTTGTTGGGCCCGTTAAAAGCGTAGAATTTTGATATGCGGTGGAGACCCTGGGTGATATCTCTGGAGATCATCCAGAGAAATGAGGGTAGCTCCGGGGGTTCAAGGGAGTAAGCGAGGTATGAGGATGCAGGGGAGATGTGAGGAGAGAATATGCCTTAGCAGCAGTCTCCGGAGACTTCTTCTGGTCTCCTGAAACACACTGTAGCTTGCTGATAGAGGTTTCTTATAGTAAGGTATAGTTGTACATAAAGTTTGAAGCAGATTGAATTAGTATAACGTACGTATCGAACTAGCGGAGAGGTTTTGCGCTCTCCAGCCAGATATCAGGTGCGCTATAGATAGGCTGCCGCGCTGCGGGTCAAGATAGTAAATTACCCTTTATGAGTTACATATTATAGTTGAGGACTTGTGCGAGCAAGGAGGCCGGATCAACCCTTTTGTACTTAATTTAGTAAGAATGAAATCCGGACACGCAATAATTGCATGGTTTAATTCTACTCAACTGGACCTCAGAATGGGTACAAATTTCTTTTTTGTTTAATTGATTAAGAATGGCTCAATTAGACTACAATCAAAATTCGGTATGGCGGAACTCAATGCACCTGATCTGTTTGAGATCCTCATGTTATTTATCCTACCGCAAATCAATTTGCTATCCCGTATGGAATTGTCTGAATCTTAGCACTACACATATATATATATATATTTATATATCATAACAAAACATCACCAATACTGAGTATAAAATAAAAAGTTACTTTCATTTTGATGAAGTGAGGGTAGCCAATTTCTCAAATTCTTTCGCAATCCCAATAGTCAAATGAATGAGCTGCTGGATATAGTGATCGAAAGCTCTCACTTTCTATTCCAGGTAGTATACCCTATGTACCCAGCATATACATATTAGATATGCAATGATAATTACAGAGAGACAATAAATCTATACATCTTTCCTTCAAAACGTTGATCTCCTTAAAATTACTGGTATCAGGGACTTGAAAAGCGTGGATTGGAGATATTTTAATAAAAATTCTTGGGTCTCGAGCCCGAGGGCCAGTGGCCTTGATAGTAGAATTGAGAGTATAGGACCTGCGGAGAGTAGAAGAGCCGGGAAGAGTAGAAGAGTCGGCGCTGCTCATGTCGAATTTGAACGCGGTGTTTGCATCCTCCATCAAAATAGGGGACCGGAGCTGCTCCAAGTCCATTAGTATACACCACTTGTCAAGAGTCATTTGGAAAAAATCTTTCTCTGTCAAGTTGCCTAAGGGCATCATGAAAGTGTTGCTATCGTTAGCAGGTTCCGGGTCAGTCATGGCTTTTAAATTTTTGGTAGTATGTGATTGTGAATAAAGGGTACTTGTCAGGTTATCCCTCTACTCTTATAATATACAAAATTCTTAAAGTATAAATGTTCGGTTCTGATGCTCAGTTTCGGTGCTCAGTTATGATTCTCGGGTCTGATATTGGGAACCGATGTTCAGTTCTGAAGTTAGCTACGGTATTTTGGGGGATACATACATCTATATATGATCAATATTCGGAACCGAATGAACACGTAATATCACGAAAACAAGATCTCTAGAATTAGTATTCGCCTTGTAACGGGGTCTCTTCCAAGAGAAAGAGAATGAAGTACAATAGAGACGGCCGTGCAAGATAGACAATCAGGTTGCAGATTATTCAAAGATACTATCGCTAGAACTCAATAATCTTTAAGGGCTCTGCTACCAATAAGAACTTGATATTTCTTTCTGATGAAGACTGGAGAGAACAGGACTGAAGGGCGAGAATGAACTTGAGTACTTATACTCCGAAAGCCTCTATTCTCTGCTCCTAACTCCTTACTAAGTTCCGGTGAAGTCTTTCCTCAGTGCCGGAAACAATACCACCGCTACCCCGCTTTTCTCTAAGCGTCAGCAGGTGTTTCCGATACCCAAGGCAACCACCCTTAGTCAAAGCCTTTGTAACACCTGCAGCCTTGGTTGCCACACAACTGGGGCTTGCATGAATGAGCTGCCGCTTAGATGTAAGCTTAATCATTGCTGTGGAGCTTTCGCTTATTGTAGACTTCCCTGGCGTAGTCCCTGCACTTCGGCGGACTTACAATGCTTAGAGGATACAGACGATCACCAGGCAATCAAAGCTTTACTCTGGCCGGCCTTCTACTCACTGGCGAGGTACAGACTCATCAGTCATTGCTCCCATGAATAGATCCTCTTCCTAGCGCCCGGAATGTAGTTACTCTAACAGCTGGTAGCTAACCACACTGCCGGTACTTGCATATCACCGTGCAACTGGCTTCTAACAATAACTCTCAGCATGTAACCGGGCCCTGTGTGTACTTATATACCAGACAGTTGAAATGGCTCCATTACACCAAAACAGGTTCCCTACAACCATTTCCAGGTTGGATCGGTCCCGACATGGTCAAAATACTGCAGTATTTGAGAAAATTCGTTGCGCTGCAGCAGCGGTATTCTCTACCAAAACTTGCATATTGACGTCCAAATTCTGCCTCTAGTTAGCTTATACCCCTACTAAGGCACAACGAATATTCTCAAATCTTACAGTATTGTTAAGTAGAGACCTTATATTAGTAGAGAATCAATGGAGAGTATGTCTACGATCTTCAATATAATTATCTTGAAAGTATTTGAGTAGATTTGTTGAAATCCAGCAAAAGAACTCTGTCAATCACCAAAAAGCACTCGTTTTACTGGCTGATCACCAGTTGGAACCTTCATACATTTGCCAAGACCGACTCGATATCATGCGGGATAGAATTGCAAGCTGATTTTGCTGTAAGAGAAATAAATTCCTAGATCTCGTACGGGGTAGCAAGTGATCATAGGTATCGGCATAGTGGGTTGCGGCTGTATGTTATATATATACAGTACTAAATGCATCGATGGGGCAGGTGTGTAAACGTCCTTCAATTAATACAATTCGCGCGCAAGGTCACACTGATATATCGATACGCCACACAGAATATCAAATATTAAGACCACAGCGGCACTAAACCGTAGCTATAGACTAACATACTCCCACTTTTAATTTGCTAAATGTTTTTCCGGTTTGCACATCTGCCTCCCACCGATTCTCGAGCCATACATTCTTATGATGTTTCGCCTCGCGCGGGCCTTTGAGGAAAACGGTTTTTCGTGGCGGTCTTGGCAAATAATACATTGGCGAGCTTGAGAGTGAGCTTGAGAGTGTACTCTCGCCTCTGCCATGCCTTCTAAACCTCGACGATATATGATATTCAAAGGACTGGACATATTGGGATTTTGAGGGGTACTTCTTACCACTCTAAAAACAAATGCCACGCGACACACTAGTACTACGTCTCTACTAAGATACGAGCCCTCTGTCTCTTGTGATACAATTATCTAGCTAGATAAGCTAGGCTTTAGAGTATACTGTGCGCAAATACTCACGCAAGATATTTCTACCCAGCCGGTTCTAACGTTTGTGCGTATAATTCTCGAGTCGTACACGCCAACTAGAACGCCTGCTGGTGTTGTGTCCGGCGAAAAGAATTAAAGCGGATGCCGATTATGTTCGTACGGCTCGATTTTGCTATCCTGTCCCCGCAGCCGTTGTGATAATACCCATTTAACTTTCGGGGAGGCCATAAAGTACATCCATGTGGTCAATAGATACATGTATTTCTATTATATATTGCGACTTTCAGGTTGGTTGTCAGCTGCCTCGAAATAAGAAAAAAGAAAAAAATGAATTCTTCATCCAGGTACAGCGGTGGGTAATAAGTCATCAGACGGAACGCCACCAAAATACGCGTTTGCAGGCAAAATTGTGGCTAGGTCGTCCGATGACTTATTACCCACCGCTGTACTGTCTTAGACATGCACCAAACTAGTTGTTGGTGGAGGGCCTGTATGTATCTCATGCTCAGCGAAGGTTGGGAGCAAGTCCGGCGTCTGTCATTTAAACGCCTCTATTTTAAAACATGTCCCACATGATTGAGAACTCCACTTTTCTACATCGACCACGAAACCGTCCCAGAAGTCCCTATATTCTTTCTGCTGGAAGGGGTTAGAACCGGTGGATTATGATAATAGAGGTCTAGGGATTAGATTGAATGATAAGTACATATATAAACCACATCTTTGGCACCAACTTCATACTAATTACTACGACGTGTGGATGAATTGTACTTAGAGGTTTTGAGACGCTACATGTGGTGGTATAACAGCGAGCAACTATCTATCAGGATAGGTCAGTATGTATTACATACGTACATCTCACATGTCTAGCTTTGGTATTTGTGCCTTTAAGATAGTCCAGATTATTTGGCTTGGTAGTAACTACGCGCGCCTCTTGCGAGTGATGTTTTGTGTCCCTGTATATCAGGCACATTGTATAAAATATTTCGGTTCCCTGAATTAAAGAAAATAAGGGCTACCCCGCACGGAATTTTCATGACTCGCAAGATTGTGCGCAGGTGCGGGGTCTTATGAAACATGAATCTACGCAGCTTCAAGGCGAGGTTGTGGGAATCGTATTTATCGCTCAGGCAAAGGCTGGCACAGTGTCTTTCTCAGGATACCGATCCTTTAGGCCGGATGTGAATGAGTAGCTTGGCTAATTAAGGGATCTATAGCACCAAAATCTAAGGAACTGAACAGCTTCTCACAGCCTGTTGTCAGTAGCTAGCCCCAAAGATCTGTACTTTTGGAAACCAGTACCGTGATATCGATATATCATCTCTCCGTGGGCGTTTCTTTTATCACAACCTCCGGCCTTCCTATTTGATTTACATCGCTTATATCCGGCCCAATAGATAGAATATACGTAAGTATTTCTGCTATAAGTACAGGTATGTGGCCACTTGGTTGAATCCATGAATATACGCACGCAGCTGTGCAGTCCATACGATTCTTGTCGGTGTCATTAATTATTAATTGAAACGTACATAAATTATATTTTGCCACAGATAACGACATGTAATTATTTATAAATATAATATGTACATGTATATATCATCTATAAGTAACATGCTGCACGCAAATTTGCGCACAAAATATAGAACGGACAATTGTTACTTTGGCACACCTGCGACGGGGCTAGATCTATTGAATCCACACGTACGTACATGTAACATAAGAAATGTGTCAAGTGACATCCATGAATACTGGTTTTCCGGTTTAGTAAATAGCTCTAAAATTGCGGGTTCTTACCGTCCATCTTGCGTGTTAGTTTAGAGCCTTCATTCTCCAAACGTATTGATTCTACGCAGCCTTCTAGGAGCCTTGATTTTCTAGTCAAACAAATATATATATACCAGCCCCAGATATCTACATGCCGGAAGATATTGGATTGTCCGGTTTATATAAGAGCATTACCCACCTTATACAACTTAATGCACAGATTGTGTCCTCTATTTATACATATGCTGCCCATTTAAAACGTGTGCCCCCTGATATACTAATACTCCTTGACGAACTTCGCGCACTCGAAAAGACACTGATGATATTACAACTACGCAATCTGTTAACGTCGCCAATATCGGTTACTAGTGCTATCCAATCAAGGTTGCAGCAATTAAATGACCTCAACCGGAAATCCAGTGAATGCCTCCAGAACCTTACTTCAAGGCTAAAGCCGTTAAAAAGTCCGAGGTTTGCTGGCGTGCTTGGAGGCACGAAGTGGCTGCCGAACATGAAGGAGGCTCTCTATGATCATGCATCTGACGTACAAAAACAAAGAAAGTTTTACCTTTCTATCATCACTTTCGATAAAGAGTAAGATAGACCCAACCAACGACATGCGGTTTGAAAACACTAACTTTTTATGACTAGATCTAGACCCAACTCCGATTCCACAGAGGATACCTTACCAAGGATACCTCCAGGGGCTACACTGGGCGATCTGCGAGTCGAGTCTCCTATATTAGATTCTTTAAACAAGGGGACCACCCAGGACACGGGTGAGGGTAACAATCTCACATATATATATTCAACTAAAACATTACTAACATAAAACCATCAGATGAGAACCTTAAGCAAGTCTTCAGTTGGCTACGCCATGATGATCACCAAAGGCACCTTGATATACGCCAACAACGAATTGCAAAGACTGGCACCTGGATTTTAAGGGACATCATATTTCAGAAATGGAGAGAACAGAGGGACTTTCGGTTGATTTGGGGCCATGGGCTAGGTACGTACTTTAAGCTTCACCACCGGTTGATTTTATATACATTTAATAATGATGATGTTCTCTGGGTACGTAGCTGGAGCTGGCAAAACATTTTTAAGGTAAATATCTTTATCTCTTACTTTGCGAGGTGCACTTATGTATTCTTGTTTACTTACACCAATATCTAATCTAGCTCTATTGTAATTGATCATCTGCAATCTCAAGCTTATGCGAAAAACTTTGGCATTGCCTACATTTATTTCAGCTATCAGGATCAGGAGCAGCAAGATCCCATATACGTTCTCGCTAGTTTGACTGAACAACTATTTCGCCAACACCCAAACATATCTAAGAAAATCGAAATTATAAACAACTTGAATAAGCTAAACACAAAGGGACAAAAACCTTCTATCAATAAGTTATATACTATCCTTCTTGAAGCTTCCAGGAACTTCGATCGAACGTTCATCGTTTTCGACGCATTAGATGAGTGCGACCCAAGTCGGCGGAGGTTTCTTCTTCCCCTATTCAAACGCATGGGCGAAGACTGTTTCAGCATTTTCCTGACCAGCCGGCCTTACGAAGATATCAGGGACTCTCTCCGTCTAACAATGAAAATCGAGATATCGGCTAATAGGGAAGATATTGGAATGTATATCCAACAGAGGATTGAGGAGGATCCGAGAGCAAGACTTCTTTTAAAGCAAGGCAATTTTCGGGATCAAATCATCACTCATCTTGTCGATGGTTCCAGAGGAGTGTAAGTGGTATTTAGAGCCTTTGTTTCAGTGTACTCATTAACTAATTAGAACTAGGTTCCTATGGGCAAGGCTCCAGTTGATGCATATCTGTAAACAAACATCCACCGAAAAGATACTATTTACTCTTGAGAAAATTCTGGACGAGAGATTTTCTACTCCAGAGAGATTTTTGGATCAAAGCTATGATAGAGCCATGATGAATATCTGCAACCAAAGAAAAAGCTCTGTGAATCTAGCAGCAAAGATCTTCTCATGGCTAGCTAGAACACGACGGACACTCACCTTGGATGAGCTTCGAATAGCAGTAGCAGTAAAACCGAACACATATAGACTCAGTGAGTCTGATTTACCAGACCGAGCCAAACTACTCGAAGTTTGCGATAGCTTGGTGACCGTCGGCGAATACAGCAATACCGTTCGGCTTACCCATTACACTGTACTGGAGTATCTCCTAAGAAATCCTATTCTTACTAGCTCGGGGGATCCTGCATACGAGTTAGCTTTGACATGCGCCACATATCTCTCATTCGACATTTTTCATCCAAGAGTTTCATTCAAAGAAGGTCGACAAGAATTGTGCCCTTTCTTTAAATATGCAGCCTGCTATCTATCCTCTCATCTCAAATCTTACGATGATATTGCTTCGACAGAAGCTTCTGCAATATTATCCTTGGCAATTCTAAAGTTCCTTATGAATTCCGGAAATGTAACTGCCTATTTAAAACTTTTCTATACTCAGAAAGGACCGTACGATAGTCGAGGTAGCAAAAGGTCATTCTGGAACAGTAAACGAGGAGAGTATTTACGTTTACATGTGGCATCTTCCATAGGAAATATTTCGGTTGTCCAGTTACTATTAGAGGGTCCCAACCTTACAATCAAGAATAATGGGTGGAAAGTACTTTGTTTGGCTAAAAAAAACCTAGAAAACGAGTCAGTGGCAAGATTATTGATCAAGGAGGACGATAAAGACATTTTAGAAAAAGATGATCTAGGACAAACAGCACTACATATCGCAGCGTCAGAAGGACATACCGATATAGTTCAGCTACTACTTGATAAGGGATTAGATCCTTTAGCCCCCGACAAAGAGGGGAAAACAGCTCTTCACGGGGCCGCATTTGCAGGTCATGAATCGGTGGTCAGAACCCTTCTCGAATACAAAGGCAATTTCTTGGCTTTGGATATAAAAAGGAATGAAGCCCTTTGCTGGGCAGTATCGACGGGATACCAAGATATTGCAAAGGATATCATCGAGAATACATCTGCTACTGTTGGCGATGAAGAATGGATATTAGTCCCATCACTCGTGGAGGGTAATGAGGCGAGCGTAGGGGCACTACCATGGAACCATGCCGATGCCCAGATAAATATACATCATGAGCCAACAATTGAGCAGTGTAGGACACTTGCCTTGATACCCTACGTTGAAAATATTATGCCTACAAACTTCGAAGCTAATCATTGGCCACCACAACGTTGGAACGATCCGGAACGCAGCCTGTCGCCTAGTTTTGTTTCTAGTTACTCGACTCAATCGTGCTCGACACCTCGTGCTCCGACTCAGACTAGTAGCAGTGTTAATCTATACTACAAAAATGATGAGGAAGAGTTTTTTATAACAGAGGAAGAGGACTCGTGCTCTAGCTCATCTGAGCGCAGCTCAAGCTGGGGCATCGTACATTACACAAACGGCAATAATGATAAGGGGAAGCGAAAAGCTGTCGACTCACAAGCAAGCGCCCCTAAACATGAGAGTGCATCATTAGGTGTTCCGAGCAAGGGCCTGGATGATGCACTGGGCCGAAAACGAAGAAGGAAGGACGGAGGCTCAGCACCCACGGTCACAACCAGTTTAAACGGCATCAGTGATTCGTCTCGACTATATGCGTGTCCTTACTATAAGAATAACGCACAGGCGCATCCGCACTGTGCAAGGTGGAACGCCCCGAAGGTACACAGAGTTAAGTACGTATATAATTCAATAAACCTAAACTTCACATATACATATAACTAATTTGGTTTCTTGGTATTCTATTGAAGAGAGCATTGCAGGAGAGCTCACATCAAACCTCTCCAGTGTCTGCGCTGTGGACATTTTCGGGCTGGCGACCAAGGTCAGATAAGCGCACATTTAAGAGATATAGATTGCGTAAAGAACTACGAAGTCATCCCCGTTGGAAGCGAGGATATTGCCAAAGCAAAGGCTCTCGAGACAAGAAATTTGCTTTGGGGAGCGATATATGTGATCTTATTTCCTGATTGTGAGGACAACGTACCAAGCCCTTGTAAGTTTATCCCCCCATATGTCTTCGAAATATCCTCTGAAAGAAACAGACTGGGATGATCCCATTCCAGTCGTGATACCCGCTACATCTGGAACATCTGGAATCGTCTCCAGCCAGCCGGTTAGTCAAATCTTCGAATTTTTACTATGGCTCGGAAGGAATATTGATATCCAGAGCTTTCATGATAAATTTCTCGAAGAAACCCGCCAATCCCAGCTACAAGTAAACCAGGGGATTGGAGCGATCGATGACAATGAGCCGTTTGATTTTGAATCATTTCCAGAAACAAGTTCCAGGAATGCATCTTCACAGATACGGGAACGAGATCTTTTCTCAGGCTATAGCGCCATTCAAGCCTATGGTGTTGAGGCAGGCAATAGTCAAGAGGAAGCCACAGGAAACATTGACCAAAGCGGGAGAGAAGTCGATGTACCTCAGTATAATGAATATAGAGCCACACAAACCTTCAGCATTGACACTTCAGATAATCAGGAAGAGACTACAGCAGACACTACTCAAAGTGGAAGCGAATCCTATCGATATAATGTAGGATCTTGGGACTTGGGAGCGGGTGCGCGACTTCCCTGGTAATTTACAATTTAAACCAAATTGGTATGTTGAAAACCTTCTATTTCCATAATGAACTATAAACTTAAAAACCTTTACCAGGACGGGCTGAATGAATTGGCGAGTAGAACCAAAAAAAATGTCAGGGTTGATAGAACAAAATCATGGTGTGGTGGTACATATGATATTAAAAGTTTTTCTTTATTTGAAAAGTTTGGTCGAATATTTTTTTTCTTTCTATATATCATTTATTATGGAGCGGTAAATGTGTCAAAAGTAATTTTACCACCGGTAGTAAATTATTTACCGCCGGTGGTATAAGCACTGAAGTTCAGTCATTGTATCTGCATGCTATCCTACATTAGTACATTTCCACCTGTATAAAACTGAGTTTCGGTCTTTATGCTGCGCTATACTAAATAAGTAAATGTTCAATCATTAACGCCAAAACTTATGAAAATTTCCTACCGGTGGGCAATTTTCATATATATTGGTATTATATGGCCCCTTTTGGCTAAAAGGTCTGTGCTTTTATCATAAAGATTAGCATTACAGGGTATAAATACTGATATTATTTTCACCACCGGTGGTAAAATAATTTACTACCGTTGGTAAAATACCAACAACAATCTAGGTATATAAATACATGTATTATTGTGCTAGTCCACGCTTAAAAACTGTACTAAAATTGACTGAAACATCACTTCATTAACATCACACACACATAACACTGTCCTACTAATTACAATATTCCTCACCATTGGTAGATATCAACTACATGTAATTACATGCAGCCTACTGTTGAAACACCCAGCTAGTACTGTACAGTAATCTTGGCTAGAGTGGCGAGATAGTCCGTGTTTGTACTTGAATAGTAAGCTAGTCAATTACTGATTGGCTAAAAGTAGCTTGGCGAGAGTTTGTCCTCGGAATAATGCGGTCGATCATTGACCCTGGCAGTCAATGATCGTTGGTTAGTGCGGGCGTTGCATGACTCATGTAGTGCATAAGAAGAAGTAGGTAACCGTGCGTGCGATCTGTATCACTCGTACCGCAATCACAACCATTAATGTTTTGATAAATAAAAGTAAATTCGTATACTCGTTTTTTCGTTTTTCGTTACTCGTCCACCCAATAAAAAAATAAATAAAAAACTCCTCCCAAAGGAAATACCCAAAGTCCCTTGATTACTACATACATGTAAGTATTACCCCCATCATTTTGTTTTGTGCTTCCCTACCATGAACCCCTCCCATACCCACTCCCTCTCCTACCAACCGCCCTTGTCCCCAACCCTTCCACCGCAACCTCATCCTGGTCATCAATCCAATGTGTCCCGATCCTCAAACTCCCTTCCCCGGAATACTCCTCGACCCGGTCCCCATTAGCTGTAAATGAAGTCCTCGTATTCTTCATGACCGGCCGTCCCGCCGAGCTCCCACTACTATTCCTCTTTGCGGCATTCGGCCGCGGGGACAACGAGTGCTGCATTTCCAAGCCCTCTTCATCATATCGTGGCGCCGGTTTAGGTGGCGTCCGGAGGTGCTCCTCGGTGTGTCTGGACCCACAGCAGCTCTGGTCTGATGAGTGTGAATTATGGGTAGCAGTCTCGGAACCGCCAAAGGGGGCTCGCGGAGGGGAGCGCCGTGGTTTCCGTGTGCTGAGGCCGAAGGTCGAGGAGGTGGTGGCTGGGCGGGTCGACCGCATCTCGAGGCCGTCAGCGTAGGGGTCGGTGTCACTCTCGGCGGGGCTCGGGGGCGAGTAGGTGCTGGTTCGAGGGTTTCGGGAGCCGCTGTAGAGACCGTGGGGGGCTCGGAGGGGATGTATTCCCAGGTGCGGGTGTGGGGGTTGTAGATTTCGGACATTGGGATGGTAGTATTGGTTCGGAGTGTAGGTGTGCTCGAGCAAACTATTTGTTCGGTTGATGGATAGGTATGGGAACAGTGGAAGTGTAGGCAATCAGGTAGCTCGATAAGTATCAATTCGATACCTGTTGGGTAATTGATGAATTATGAGTATTTCTAAGTGGTGGACACCTAAATGTTATTGATAACTGTGCCAGATAGTAGTGGTCAATTAAGAGACCCCCCCCGAATTGACAGATATGATTGCAGGAAAATAATCAAATCAAGAAGGCAGCTTCGTGCAGATATATATATGCGTGCAGGTCGTATAAACTGATAAGACGATATCTCGAGATAGTAATCACTCAATTAATTGCTGCAGCCTTTTCGTTCGAAAAAAAAATAATGGGTAACCGCAGAGACTCTCAGAATCGTCAAAAAGTGTGGTAGTGGTGGTGGTCAATGAAGTCTTATGTATGTACTGTGGGTAGTTCCTCATACGTGGTTGCTGTATGCGCTGGGGGCGTTGTTGTCCTCCTTCCTTGTCCCACGCACATTAAGGCCATGCACGGGACAACCGACGATCCAGTAGCAACACCACGATACTGGCCGCGCATGGACCGCGTGGGGAGCGAATAGCCGTAACTAGTTTGATGATCTTTTTTTTCACGGGCGGGGTAGGCTCTAGAGTTGACGATAAGAGGAGCATGAGGAGTGGGCGGTTATGTGCATACACGCTATTGAATTGACAATTGGTAGGTTTCAAAGGGTGGAACTGGTATCATGATCATTGATATGTACCCCTGGGTTTTGGGAATATATAAGAGAGCAGGGAAGGAGAGGCATGTAGCTACTAGCTACGGGGACACTTTAGCGAGAGTTTCCTAGCTCTTTGGCTCTTTCTTCTAACGAGTGTCTGCTCTGCTCTGCTACAGCATTTTATCGTCAGGTATATCATACACAGACTCCCTTCACGCGATGATGTTGTCTTACATGCCACCTTGGCACCCACGTCATACCATGCAAGCGTGCACCGATTACACATGAGTGAGTATACTTAGTACCTAGGGTATCCGCAACACCACAACCACGTCTCCCACCACGGTTCATCGACAACATCGAAACCAACCACAAACAAAGATGGCCACCACTGTGATAGCCCCAAGACACCCCTGCACCTGCAATCACACTCACCACCACCACCACAATAACACCCAAGATGCGACACCACGTCGTTCACCCCAGAAACAATTCATAGTTCCCCCGCTCTCGTTCCAGCTTGTCGCAACCGGCGTCTACCGTAGCGGCTACCCTCTCGAGATCAACTTTCCCATGCTCGAGCGCCTCTGCCTCAAGACCATCATGTACCAATCCCCCTTTCCTCCGATCTTCGCTTCCCCGCATCCACTAACAACCCAGCAGCTACCTCGGCGACCAGGACTACCTCCCTGAGAACCTTGCCTGGTGCTCGTCTCACAACATCAAGCTGTACCACTACCGTCAGCCTGCCGTTCGTGAGCCTTTTGTCTCCAACGACCCAACCTACATCAGCGAGGCGCTCACCATCCTGCTCGACCGCAGGAACCATCCGGTGCTTGTCCACTCGAATAAAGGGAAGCACCGGGCTGGGGTGCTAGTCGGGTGCATGAGGCGGGTGCTGCAGGGATGGAGTCTTGCAGCAACGCATGCGGAGTATGGCAGATATGCGGGTGAGAAGGGAGAGGCGGATTTAGAGGTGAGTGATTTCTTGTGAGGGAGTGATTGATGGTGATGCGGGTGGATGCTAATGTGTGGTGGGGGGTGGTAGTTCATTGAGCTATTTAATCCGGAGCTGACTTACGAAGAGGAGTGGGCGCCGAGGTGGTTAAGGGAAGGACCTGAGAAGGCAACAGGTACTATAAATTGATCATCTAGCTGACAATTGATTCTGTTTTTTTTCTTTTACTTATTTCTCTATTCTTTCTTCTTTCTTGATTAGAGCTCTCCCTACGGGTCTGCTTCGCGGCATATCACACACCTACCCATCCATCTAAATCTTTGCTCTGCTCCGTTCCCATCCTCCCCCTCTCCCACTAGCACACCCACTCCCCAAAGCCAGCCCACCTTTCCTACCGATCATCCGTATCATGCCATTTACGAGGGGGGTTTAGCACAAACAAGAAAGAGGGAGACTATTATCTAGCTAGGGCCCGGTTAGATCCACGGTTTCTCCAAAAGATTTTTGCTAATCTCGCCTCGTAAAAATTGGTGGATGTGGATGGTGAGTGTGGGAGGAGTGGGCGGGCCGGGGTTGGATGTTTGTTGGTGAGAGGGGAGGAGGGCGGGAGGTTGTGAGGGGGTTGAGGCTTTGAGGATTGTATGTTAAAGGTCTCTATTGTACTGGTAATATATATATGTGATTGCGCACCGGAGTTGGGGAGCATCGGTCTAGGATCTTGGTTGGGTATATGAGGCGGGTGATATAAGGGTGGAGTTTGTAGCGATGCAAACGGAGTATTAAGAGGTGAGTGATTTTCTGTGAGGGGTGATTAGTGATAATGCGGATGCTAACATGGTGAGGCGGATTTAGTTTCATTAAGCTGTTCCATCCGGAACTGGAGTATGAAGAGGAGAGCGGCGAGGAGGTTAAGGGAAAGGCCTGATGGAACTAGATGTAGGCGGCACAAACCAATTTTGCTTTCCTCCTTCTTCCTCTTATTTTTTCTTGCCTTTACTAGGAGTTTTTTTTTACGGATTGGCTTCATGGCATGATATAACACATACACTTCCACTACCACTTCTACATATTCATACTTCACTCCACTCCTGCCCCCCTCCTCTCCCGCTAGCACACCCACTCCCCAAAGCCCACCCCCCTCATCCTCACCGATCATCCGTATCATGCCATATTACGAGTGTTTCAGCGGAACTATTGTCCGGCCAGGGCCCGGTTGGATTTACGGTTTTTAGGCGGGAGGAGATCAAGGCTGAAACAAGTCGTAATATATGGCGGATGTGGATGGTGAGTTCGTAGGGTGGAGGGGGAGGGCCGGAGTTGGATGTTTGTTGGCGGGGGGCGGAGGAGGGCGGGGGGGTTGTCGGAGGGGTGGGTTTGTGGTTTTGTGGTTTTGTGACTTTATTGTTCATTAAGCACCTGCAGCGTGGCATGTAGTGGCTAGTTTTATGGTAGTAATCTTTAATTTACTGGCAATACTTATCTATGATTCTGTATCCAAAGTGCACTGCTAGAGCGATAAACTCGGGCGTTATTGGGATTCCCCCACTGGAACTAAAAGGTCCACCTGAAATGAGAGTTGACCTGCACAGATTCAGCTCTCCTAGAGAACCAGCGATTTACCAACCACGGCTGTACGTGCTCTTTGAACAACATTACAGACAGAAGATACGACGCACTTCCGACCTGGCCCTTCTTTGTCCCGGTCAGGGCAGAAATTTTGTGATTGGATCAATTACTCCGCGAATTAACTACTGTTGTGGTGAGCCAGTCCAGAAGTGAAGTTTACTCACCTCCGGCAGCCCATTCTGTAAATGGAGGGTAATATATCATGGCTAAACCTTACAATAGTATCTCATCAGCTAAGATCAAGTACGCCATATCTCTTCTCCATTTCCGAGCCCCCGCACCCAGAGCCCACCACATACAGCTGCGATGTTTCTGACTGCTTGAGGCGAGCAGAAGAAAATGACCCGAAATACCTCCTCTGTCTTGGCGTACCCTAGTAGATAAATACTTCACAGCTTCTTCAGCTAGTACCAATAAGCAGGTATACGTAAATAATTTAGCACCTAAATATGTTTGGAACTGTGTCATACCTTAAGCGCCTTATTAACACCACCCAAAACCTACTCTTTCCATCACTAGACTTTGGGGTTGTGGAATGTCTTAACGTAAAGTCTCTCTTCCAAACGTGTCCGGAAGATATAATAATCCTTGGCCTTAATTGCAAACGCGCATCACTTAGCATAAGTGTTTCTGACACTCGGACCACCACCTGAGTTCCTGAATGGTTGGGAAATAAACCCACTTAGTAGTAGTTTTACGGATATTTCCGGCGCTAGAAGTGTACTATTAGTGCGGCGCAATTGTTTTTTGTCTGTGGGGGGCACATTGCAACACGGAAGTCTTTAATTTTAGAACTAGAATATATGGAAGAGTCTTTCTACATCCTTTCCATAGATGCATTAATCTCCTCTCAATGAATTAATTTCCCAGGGCGGGAAGAATCTCGCCACTGGACTGGTTTCGTGATCAGGCCGAACTACTTGTAGTGAGTGTACTGTGGTTTACGAGTCCGAGTGATATTCTATGATTCATATTAATAGATTATCAGGTAAAAAAAAGAAAAAAAGGAAGCGACTGCTTTCACTAAAATATACTCTAACGTTCAATCCTTAGGTTATGTAGATGGTCTTTACTCTTCGACAATACTTAACCCAGGGTCAGGCTATTATACAATCCCTTACCCAGCTCATGCCTAATATAATAACTCCTCTCTAGTCCGCCCTGGCTGCCCATTTGAGGTCATCGTTCATTGAAGCATGTGGAACAAGAAAATCCAAGCTAATGGTATTTGGTTGGGACATCCTCAGTATTGTTAGAAAACCTTATTATTTGTGACTCAGACATCTGGGCTTCAAGGATGACTGTGGCTCTTAGTGGCAAATAGCACCTCTAGCCACCCAGAAGTTCTTCCGAGCCCTGTGGCGAACACCTATACGCTCCTAATTCAGTATCACCCTCTAAGTAGCGTTCGCACTACCAATGAATGGAATGCGGGACTACCAAGGGATTTGGTGAACAATATTAGAACAATGGTGTAGGGGCAACCCCTTGGAGTTGACTCGGGGACACGAGTTAAACGTGCTGATGGCTGAGGCGCTTTTGTTCATTAGAAGTTTTCTATAAACCGGATCCCTTGGATGCGGTTGCCCAGCTTTTAAGGTCGGAGAAGGGGTTGATCCTCGCTCAAGGCATAGAGAAGCTCCGGTTATGATATCGAGTGTAACCCCCACCGCCCACCTGGGCTTTCGTCAATGAAAAGCATGTGGTCTCAACTTTGTGTCTTGGCAGTTAAGAGGACATATGTACCACATACTATGTATATATTTTATACTTGCAAAGTTATAATAATAGCGTCCAAGAGTACCTCTGTAACGAAGCGGAGTGTAGGTCTAGCTTTGGCATATCTCCCGTATGCGTTACGGCTGACTCGGATATCGATATATCCTGTACCCAAACGTATTGAATAACAGTGGTGCTGCAAAGAGCGCCCGGGCCTAGCGAAAGCTTTGTCCTTTTGTCGTTGGGGCTCCGCCAATGCCTGATAGAGTACATATTGTACATGCATTCATCCACTGCATGTGTATGCAAGTACGAGTGCTCGAGCGTTGTCGCCATTTGGTGAGCGCGCTTGCCGGAGGGGCCCAATGCTGATCATGAGAACAGATCGAATTACTCACAGCACGAAATGTCATTGACAAAGTTTCCGGCAGATAGCGGTTGCACAGGACAACTTGACAATCGAATCGGACACCTCCCGGTCTAGACACAGCATGCAAAGAAGGCATTGCTGTCGAATCAAGCCATGAGCAGTTAAAGAATACTCTGAAACTGTCAGGGGGTTTCAATGACAGATTATCCATGTACCTTCACTCAATCATAGCTGTCTCCGAAACTTTGGAATTGATTAAGTTGGCCTATGAGGATTTTGACAATAATCTCGTGTGGCATGTTCCGTAGGTACAATATCGCCAAGACCTGACCGCCCAGCCTTGTCCTCATCAAGCCACAGACTTCTCTTGTCATGTCCGCCATGGCCAATGATTTAACCTAGAGGCACAGCCTCGCATCCATTGCATCACTTAAAGCCAATGCGGGCGGGAAGCGTTCTAGCGAGGTGTGGGAAAGTCATCCGAGTGGCAGTTCAGAAAGAAACAAACATTAGCCGAGGCGGGTGCTGGGAATCCTGCTTAAAGGTTGTGGGGGAAATTAGATGCGAAATAAACCATCTTCATAAACTAGAATGTGGGTCTTGGATTCTCACTGGGCATCAATATCAGCATTACAGCTAGTAGAGTAGCGAACTATGGAGGATTACGCATATGTACTTCACCTTATAGTGTGTCTGTGACTTGGAATTGAGCGGGAGCGCTGGCACAGGAAATAACTCGAGTGATAGGCCATGATTTATCGTTACACAACAATACAATTATGAGGCGAACTTGCAGTATGTGCGGTAAGGTGTCAACAACCCCGGTTGCCTTCCGGACATCGCCGGGTTCTTTTACTTTTGTACCACTTTGTCTAGCTCCATTCTATGTATATTCCGCACCTACACCAGATTTAGCCCTATGTGCATATCGATTGGACAGATGATTCCTGGGGGAGGTCCATACACTGACCTGTATGTACTCCAGGTACACACATGCTGTCTGTCTGGAGATCCTCACCTTCTCTTGTTCGCCCGCTACCTACCACCTACCCCATCATAACAAATTCCCACATCATCACATCACCATAAACTCTATCCAGAACGACTATTCGCAGTAACAGGATGTCAATCCTCGATCTTCCTGCGGAACTTTACTTCCTCATTGCTGAATATATCACATCTCCATGCGACCTCAACCATCTTCTTCTAGCTCACCGTGGCCTCGCAATATTCATAGCCCCTGTCCTCGCTAAATATGCTTCTACTCCACCATACGCTATCCCCGCCCTCTTCTGCTTCGCCGCCTCCCGTAACGCTCTAAGGGTCAAGTCTCACCTCGAAGAAGTTAGAAAATGGGACCCAGATATCACTACCGACGTTGAATCCATCATCTCGCAAGGTCCCAACCTTGTCTGGGACGTTATTGTCCCAGAGGAACTCGCGCCGTCAATGTTCCTAGACAAGACTGTCACCCAGCGAGCACTCCACTGGGCAATCATGAACGAGAAACTCTCAATGATCCGATACCTCATCTTGCAAGGCGCTGATATTGAATACCGAGATCCCAAAACCGGCGGAAAGGCGATCGACCATGCCATCCTCAAAGGAAACGCGGAGATTGTTAAGATACTCATCGAAAACGGGGCCGACGTAAGCGTGTGGGAGTTCAAGTGCGGAAGCCTTCTACATTGTACCATTGATTGCCTTAGGAAAGTATCATACTCGATAGAGTTTAAAAAGGCAATGGTTGCATATGAGAAGATCTTAGTACTGCTACTGAGAGGAGGTGCGGATATAAATGTTTGCGATACATATGGCCACACTGCACTCCACCTTGCTGCACCTAGCTGGCCAGAGGTAATCCCGCTATTTCTGGAATGGGGTGCCGATATCAATGCTCGGGATTACTTCGGAAACACACCATTGCACCTGGCAGCGCAAACAGCACAGACAATATTTGGCTTTATTGATCCGAATATGCAAAGTGTTGAGACACTGCTCGCAATGGGTGCGGACGCGACAATAAAGAACGACGTAGGCCGAGAAGCATTCGATAGGTCGAAAAAACTTGTCCATTCTACTGAGCTCAATGGTCCCTCGGATTTAAGACATAGGGGTTATATGATACGGCTGGTATTACTTCAAGGACGCCGGTATAGGCCGCATTGCTGGTTACCTTTGTGAACATTTCTTTGCCATTTTATCGATCA